ATAAAAAAAGACAATGTGTCTGGATCGAAGGGATGATGTCTTCGAGAAATATATTACTGCACTCATGATGTCATTTGGTAGAATGAGGGTACCTTATGCGGTACTGTAGTCTGTAGTTATGAAGTAATTTTACCTATTCAGGTATTAGTACATACCGGTATGAAGCAATCTGAAATCCTTCGATATTGATCACAAAGAAGCGAGCGGGAAATTTGTCATTTTTCGTGACGTACAAATAATTCACAGTCGACGACTCACTTCGAACTTGTACAATAAATATTGTACCGTAAGCAACGAGATTTCACACAACTTACAACAATCATGAGTGAAGCTGAGCAATGCTTGATCCCACAGCAGATTATCGGCGGTGGCAGCACCCCCGCGGTCGTCGTTTTCATTTCAACTGTTGCGTTGGCCTTGTACCTATTGCAGGAGAAAACCCAGTTCGTTTACCATCTATTCTTGTGGATCGAGTATCTTACCTCGAGTATCCCAGCTCTTGAGATCGAAATGACTCCCGCAGAGGCCTCCGATGATGGGGTAAAGGGAGAGCCCTGTAAAGTGATGGATCTCGTAGATGAATCCAATCCTGGAGTGATCAACTGCTACGATCCGTCGACCAGACAGCTTTTGGGCCAAGTCAAGAATATGACGGCCGAGGAAGTTCACGAGATTTTGGTCAAGGCCAAGAAGGCTCAAACGGAATGGTCGAAGACTACATTCGCTCAGAGAAGAATGGTGCTTCGCACAATTCAGAAATATGTCTGCGAGCACGTGGAGGACATTTGTCGAGTTTCCTCCCGGGAATCTGGAAAGCCTATGGTGGATGCTGTGTTGGGAGAAGTTACGACTACTTGTGAAAAGATTCGTACAATCTGTGAGTGGGGTGAACTGTGGCTCCGTCCCGACTACCGCCCTACTGGGCTGATGCTGATGCACAAGAGTGCCTGGCTCGAATACGTTCCCTTGGGTGTGATTGTGGCGATAGCGCCATGGAACTACCCATTCCACAATTCAGTAAGTGACTGAACGTATTGCATTTTTTATCATGAAGTCTCTTTGCCTCAACTGCTCGTGGGGCTCAATTGTGATTGCTGCTCATCGCTAGATAAATCATGTCATTTCCGGGCTAATGGCTGGAAATGCGGTTGTTGGAAAAGTATCGGAGCACGCTTCCTGGAGTTCTACATACTATGGGAATATCATTAAAAAGGCTTTAGAGGTAAATGGTCACAACCCTGACATTGTTGCAACCGTCACAGGTATGGCTGCTGCCGGTCAAGCTCTGTGCAGTGACCCGCTTGTTGACAAGATCATCTTCACTGGCTCGACACCCATTGGCCGCAAAGTCATGGAATCTGCTTCCAAGAACTTAACTCCTGTCATTCTTGAGCTTGGCGGTAAAGATGCTATGGTCATCCGCCAAGATTGCAAGTTGGAAGAGGTTGTTCCGTGGGTAATGCGAGGTTGCTATCAGAACTCAGGACAAAACTGTGTTGGTGTTGAGCGAGTATTGGTCTATGAATCGCTACATGACAAATTTGTCGAATGTGTTGTTCCCAAAGTTAAGGCAATTCGTCAAGGCATTCCACTAAAGGTGTGTGGTTCTGATGGCAAAGTTGATTGCGGAAGTCTTATCATGCCTAGCCAAATGGATATCGTGCAAGCGTTGGTAGATGATGCTGTCAAGAAGGGTGCCACTCTACACTGTGGAGGAATGAAGAAAGCTGACATGGACGGCCAATTCTTTATGCCGACGGTGTTGAGGTAAGATGCCGTTGAAGGTAGATGATGCTATTCAACCATGATTTTCATTCTCACAATCCTTTCTTGTAGTGGGGTCACGGCAGAGATGAAGATCTTCCATGAAGAAGTATTTGGTCCTATAATGACTATAATTAAGGTTCCAAATGACAGCGACGAAGAATGTGTTCGTATGGTAAACAATTGTGCGTTTGGTTTGGGTTCCAGTATCTTCACAGCCGATGCAGCCAAGGGACTTGCCATTGGACGTCAATTCCGAACTGGCATGTTGACAGTCAACGATTATGCTTCGAACTATTTGGTACAGTCCCTTCCTTTCGGAGGTTGCAAGGAATCTGGATTTGGACGATTTGCTGGAATCGAAGGACTCCGCGCACTATGTTTGGAACGCTCCATTTGTGTCGACAGAATTCCCGGGATCAAGACATCGATTCCTTCTTGTATTGATTTCCCAATTGATGGAGAAAAGGGATACCCATTTACTGAAGCTCTCATCCAGTTGTTCTACAATGAGAGTCTCGTCTCGAAGATCAAGGGAATCATTGGATTGATAAAGAATGGATAGATCAAATCTTTGCTAGCATATATGTTCTACACTTTTGCCACTGGTATTTAGACTTTTTATTCAGAAGTTAGTTTCGCCAAGCTATCCTCCAAAGCCTTTGCAACATCAGCATCCGAGCTGCTATCGCCCAATGCAGTCAAAGCTTCAGCCATCAGCCTTTGGGCTGCACGTCTCTTGCCGATCAGGGATTCATCAGAAAGGATAAGAGTGAAGCGATGTGGGGTTCGTACGTAGTTCACTGTTTGCTCGCGTCCCTCCAAGAGCACAAAGATACCATCCTTGCCCATAGTGTCTACAGCGTCAGCAGCAAATAGAATGACTTCTCCTTGGGTAACTTCAGCAACAGTTGGAATATTTTTGGAAACCTTTGGCGATTTCAATTCTGTATTTTGTACCTTCGACACAAGCATATCAAGACCAAGGCCATTGATTCGGGTGTCGTATTTACCATCAAATTTGCCAAATGAGAGCATCTCGATGAAAGATTGAAGGTTCTCCTTTGTGAGGGCCTTTTCCTTATCAAATCCGTCAATGTCAGCTTGCTGTTCGCACCAAGTAACAGCAAGAAGAGTTACGCTACGGAATACATTTCCATTCGACCAGGTGACGACTTTCTTTCCTTCGTCAGCTTCGAGCTTTTGTCGAACTTGTGCCACAGTCGTTCCCTTCGCATTATAATCGAAAATTCTTGGTTAGTCAATCTACAGGTATGGCAGCAATATAGACACTGGGTATCATTTAAGTGGCAACGACAACTGCCACATACACACCTTTCCAGTTCCCGAAAGACCACAGAGGACAATGACGGATCCCTCATCCTTTCCGCCACCAGATGACTTGATCTTCCCCAGAATGTCGTCGGCGACAGTTGCAGGAGTCTTGCCCAGCACATCAAGTTTGACGTATGGTTCTGGAACGTAGTTTGGATCAATGACACCCTTGGATTTGGCAAATTCGATCCCCTTTTCAAGTTTGACGGCATCTTCCTGATCTCTTTGGATAGTCAAGTCACCCTCGGATTTCGCCAAAGCCAAGAATTTGTCAGAGTCTTTCCAGAACTCGATCAAAGCGTTGGATGTTTCAGCATTTTGCTTTTCAAGAAGGGCACGGGAAATAATAGACATACTGTAAGAGCTGAGTTTTCTGGTGGTAGGTCTTGCTAGAAACATTCACTGTGACACATGAAATGGGTATGCTCTGCCACATCGCGTGACTCCAGGTTTCATGACCGATATATATTGAATAATAGCAAGGCCGGCGCGATCAGATCTGATTGGTCCGCACCATGAAAGATACAAACGGTCAAATCCTCGCGACACAAAATTGATTGGCGGCAAATGGCAACTGACAACGACACTTTTACGAGGATGCTACGGTCAATCCTGTTATCAATCATTTTTGTTGGAGCTGCTAATGGACTCTTACCAAGCTCACCCTCCACGTTGAATGTCCGGCCAAGAACAAGACTATTCCTAGCAGGAGGTCCCAATCGACAAAATATTTTTGAAGGTATGGACCTTTTCCGAAAAGGTGATATCCAAGGTAGCATCGATAAGTTTGATGCCTCTGTCCCACCTGGTTCAAGTGCATACCTATGGCAGCGTGGAATATCGTATTATTATAATGATGACTTTGCCAACGGAAGCAAACAGTTCCGAGATGACGTACTCCAGAGCCCACTCGGTAAGGAACCTTGGGGTACTGGTATATTGGACGAAATTCTATCTTCTAAATGTTGTTATGGTTGCGTGAAATAGACGTCGAGGAGATTGTCTGGGATGCTGCGTGTCTTTTGCGAATGGACCCGGAAACGTTTCCACCGAAAAATGTGATGTCACTCCCAAAAGGAAAGAGCGATAGACGGCCGATCATGAGCATCGTTTACAAGTTGTTTCGAGGTGAGGCAACTGAACACGATCTTGCGGATGCTGGGCACAAGGGAGGTCCATCAGAGGAGTTCTACTCGCTGCTTTACCTAGGATTGTTTTGCGAGGCCCGTGGGGAGCTGTCAAAGGCTGAGAGCTACATGAGATCAGCAGCCAAAACAAAGTATGCAGAAGTTGTGGGGTCCCGAGACTATATGGTTGACGTGGTGAAAGTACACTGCTCATTGAGACATTGGACGTGATGGGAAGGTCTACGACCTCTCACAATATCTGACTGAAGTTGGGAGCTGACCCTAAACGTTTCCCGGCTGAATAGAAGCACCCTCCTTACAATTATTTCCACTTGTACTGTTCTCAAGTGTCATCTTTTTCTTACATTGATACTGTACGAAGCTCTCTATCACCGTCAGCTACAGTAGGCGAGATTACTATCGCGCATGGCGATGGATGGTGTGGCATCAGATATTAATCAATTTGACCAGTTGCTTCTTTCTAATGCCACCTACCGTACATGCTGATACCGGTAGTCAACTTTGGTTTTCCAAAGTCAGCTAAAAGTGGTTCAAGGGGAACTATAGCGTTTCTTCATGATCCGGTGCTAAGGTTGACCATTAAGACAAGCAAGGTGTAACTCTGACACATTTGATGAAGGAAAAAGCGTAACGGGCAGAATAGTGACAAGTAAGTGGTACTACCTTAGTGGAAGTGGGTATTTTCTGACCCAAAGATATCAGCCAAACTATTCATTGACAGTGCCAGTACGGTATTAATACACCTGATGACAACCTGGCACCATGGCTCAGATCCGAAGTTTCATTTTTCTCATCATTGGGTGGTGCAGCATACTTCCCCGCCCTTCAAGTTCTGCAATAACCTCAACGAAAACTGGTTACGACACGCTTCATGGAACTGATGCCATCTGTTGGGAGTCACAAATAATCACCTCGGCAAACATAGATGACTCTACAATTTCATCATCGGTGGGAAGCTCGATTTTCAATGTAGAAGGGCTCGTCAACAATTCCCTTTCAGCAAGTCGGAATGACTCGTATGTCATGGATATTCTTTCATCTTGTCCAAACGGAACTTGGCTACAAATATCTGCTCCACAAGATCTTGCGCCCCCAGCGCCTCTGACAAACGTTGAATATAACTATACAGTGCAAGGGACGATATATATTGCTAGCCTTCCTGGCTTGGAGATTGCGTCCGATGATCCCACAAAGGCGAAGGTGTTGATCGAGACGATTGCCTGCCGTGTTAGTTCTTCGTTTTGCTCGCCCTTTGTTGATGAGCAAACAGAAGTAGCCCTTGCTGGGCAACTGGGTGCTAGTGTAGAATTGAAAGATACCCATACAAATATGGGGAAACTTGTACTTGATCTGGAGCTGTCAAATTCCTCAATATACACCTTCAACGTTCAGGTCCCAACACTCATTGAAGAGGATGGGCTATACAACATCATTGGTGTGGCTACATTCTTTGTTGGTTCCTCCTCGCAACCTGAACGACGGTATGACGTCGCAAACTCTCTTGCAAGAGAAAGAAGCAACCAATACATGGTGTATTCCGATCCACCAATCATCTCGAAAGTAGAGCCACAAGCCTACATTATCGCGTATCTGTTGATAGGAATTTCGGCTGCAATTCTAGTCACCATGATCACGCTTACTCTCAAATACTACGATTCGCAAGTGATGCAAATTTGTCAGGTTCCTTTTTTACTGACGTATCAAGTAGCGGCGTTAATGGCAGTTCTTAGTTCCATATTGATGGAGGCAAAAAGCGACGTTTACTGCAACTGGTCACTTCCACTGATAATGATACCTGTCCATGTGCACAATGCTATCACACTCGGCAGACTATATCGCATCCATACGGTCGTGTCTCCTTTGCTCTCGGATCATTTTACGCGAGCCAGTGTCCAGAGGTTTCCAATCCGCCTCCAAATGAAGGTTTTATCTCTTTGTCTCCACGGCAAATGGCAAGATGGCGACGATTCGAAACAAATTCGACGGACTGTAAGACCGCGCCAGGTCATCTGGATTATTACATTATGGACTATCCCTCAAATCCTATTGCAGATTGCTAGGCTCGTGATCCAACCTTTTGAGTTGGCTTTTGAGTATGAACGGGACTATTCAATCGGACGACCTCTTTGTACGGCAGAAATATTGAATCAGCAAGAGAATATTCATGAAAGTCTCGCAGTCTACTCCTTGATCTGGCTTGGATTCCTAGGTACGTGTCTTAAGGCTGGCCAAGGATTTTGAATCCGTCTGAAACTAATTGCTCATCGGTCATCTATTCGCTTCTTGCGACTCTTATCATAGGTCTGACGGTACTTGGAATGGCTTATGTGTCTCGAGGATTGCCAAGTATTTTGAATGAGTCACAAGCCATTTTTTCATCAGTTATATACTCACTTCTGGCAAGTCTCATTATTGGTATCGCTCTGTACATGACACGAACACCTGATGCATCACCTGGCCTACGGTTCGTGATGTTTGTTGCCCTTGTCATTGTGACAGTGATGGTTCCAACGCTTCGCATTGTCGGACCAAAGTTGATATTGGCACATGCAGGGATGAAGATCATGTTACACCAGATGATTTCAGAACACAACAACCAGCACAAACCAAACGCCATGCGATCTAGCTCACGACAATCCAATCATGTTCATATCAGCGGGACCAGTTTAACCAATCCAATCGGAATTCCTCAGTCCCAAGGTACACAAGGCAACACAACTCGCGCTCCTACGGAGACATTAAAAGAAGCACACGGTGATGACGAAACCAAAGAAAGCCAGAGTAAAAATGAGAATAGTGCGAATTCGGAGGACAAATCAAAAAGATTGGGCTCGTTACAAGCGGGAATGGATGGGCAAAATGAGCAAGTGCTTCAAGACTTTGAGAGCCACGTGGATGAAGATAGTGCTGTCTTCATTCCGGCTGGAAATGCCCCACCCAACGAAATCCTTGGAAAGGTGGTGGAATTGCAAAGAAGATTGGACAAAATAACAAAAAGGATAGCCTATGGAATTGCTGTCCCACCCGAAGATTGGAGGCTGCTATCGACATTGACTGGGAATTTGGGATCGACACTGGCTAACGCCAAGTTTGAAGAAGAAGAAAAATGCGAAACCAATAATGCATAATTCACAAATTGAAAATAAAAGCTCTGTCTTTATTTCGTCCTGCAAGCTTCTGTACTCTTATTTTGGGGGCTAATACTGTACTCGTAATATAAAGAAGTACACGTAGTCACACCAAGGGCTGGAGTGCGCGGGAAACAAAAAGGGAAAGCGAGAGACTGCCAAAGTATGAGGTATCGTACATAAAATGTTGGAGAGAAACTAAAACCCGTGACTCACAGGGAGCCAAAACAGAGTAGTTAGTAACGTGACTGACTGGACTGTCGAGTCCCGAGCAGATATATTAGAGCGAACCTGTCAAAATCGACCAAAAATCGCGCCTTAGTGGTTCGACTCCTTTGACCTCTGAGTATCATCTGAGTGATTGAATAATGACGCTGAGAATAAGATCTAGATATTTTATCGTTTGACATTATCAACCCGTCGAATCAATCTTTTCATCTTACGACTTCAAAATGTCTGCTCAACAACTCTGGGACAACGCTTTATCGATGATTAGTGTCACCGAGAAGCATGATTTTTTGGTGGCAATGGTCGACGGAACACTTTCCAACGACAGTTTCAAGTATTATGTGGTGCAAGATGCATTGTATCTTGATGACTTTGCCGACTGTCTTCGTCGCTTAGCAGAATCTGCAGGCTCCGAAGAAGACTCCAAACGATTGAAGGCTTTCGCAACTGGAGCTGAAGAAGCGGAAATGGCACTGCACAACTCTTTCTTCAAGCAATGGGACATCTCAGCAGAGGGCGCAAAGCAAATGCCACACACTTTGTTGTATACATCATACATGAAGCGCGTTGTGGCTACAAGATCACACAAACAAGGACTAGCTGCTCTTCTTCCTTGCTTTTGGGTTTACATGCACGTTGGGAAGTGCATGCTGAAACTTCGAGAGGAACTTGGTGAATGGTAAGTTTGCAGTGGGCTGCACAGAGACAAGGCCGCATTGGAATCGATTCGCTCGCCCCAAAGCACGTTCAAATGATTCCAAGCTTCAGCTAAATTACATATTACTAACACCTGACGTTCTTGTCGTGTTGCTCCTAAAAGCAATCGCCCACCGCAATTTGACGCGTGGATTGACATGTATGGAGGAGACGACTTTGAAAGAGAAGTAAAGGAGTACATTGAGCTTGTCGACGCCGAATGCAAGGTTGCAACCGAGGAAGAGTTGAAGGAAATGCAAGAACACTTCAATATGTGCTGTAAGCTGGAACACATGTTCTGGGACCAGGCAAGCAAACAAATGGATTGGCCAAGTCTTGGCGGCATGTAATGACAATAAATAAAAGTTTGAAGCATTCAATTCTGAACTAGATTTTCAATTCTGAAATAGATGAATGCTTCTGTACCTACCGGTGCTATGCAACCATGAAGCATGATCCACTTTGGTTTTTCACTGTAAACCAAAACATCAGCAAGTGTTCTAAGAAGTCGAAGTATTCGGAAATTTTAAATGCGCTCTTGTTTGCCTGCAACACAATAATGCTGAAACAGCACCGAAACATCAAATGACAATGGATTTTGAATTTGATGATTCCGTTGATTCTTCCAGAGCATCTTCGCGCTCCTCCACCTTAGTGTCGCAACGGAGCCACAAGCGACGGCGACAGCAAGAATCAGATGACGATTCCTCCACCGTTTCCTCTCGTCGCATTGCCGTAAAAGGAGCAGGGAAAAGTGCGTCTGCTGTTCAAGACGCTGGCTCCTTTCAAATGCTTCGAGACGAATGTTTGGACCTCTGTTCGACGATAATCTCTCGCGAGGACAAAGGTGATGGAAAGAGCCTCAATGCCGCCGTCGATCTTGCGTTGCTGTTGTCCAACAAGAAAACACGATCAATTTTATGGCAAAATGACACGCTACAAGACTTGGGCGATATTGATTCCAATTGTGGCGACAATTCCTCTGTCCTGATGTCTATCTTGAATGCGGTTGCTTCTCATACACCTAAGAAATCTAGAGGCGCCAGAAACTCGACCAATCCATCACGCAATCGAAGTAGAACGAAGAGTGCTAGACGGAAACAAAAACAACAAAGTCAAAATGATTCCGTCACTTCTGTTGGAAATCAGAAAGTAATACCAACTTCTCCCCAAATGAAGCAAGTTCTTGCTTGCATTTTCTACTTTCTATCCTGGGATTGTACGCTGTCAAAAGATCATTCAGTGGCAGCGATGGGGACAAAAACAAATCCAAACATAGCACGAAAGATAAGAATGTCGATATTGCAAAACGGCGATGCCTTGCAGGGTGCAGTTCAACTGTTGTTTGGCAAGGAGGCACTTTCCACAGCAAATTCAATACCCAGTCTATCAGTTGCGTCGTCGTCCATGCAAACGCCCAAACCCAATTCACAACAACGAGTGGTGGCAATTTCGGGTATTTGTTCTCCTGCATCGAATGCCTCTACCATTTCTTCGGTTTCCTTTCAAGAAGAGGCACAACAATTAGTACCTATAGAAAGCAAACGCAAACTGGGTGATCCAACTGCTGCTGGGCGTCAAAAACGACGGAAACGGAGACTGATGCAATCGATCGCAGAAGACGAAACTGTGAGCAATCCAAATGAAGACATGTCCTCCAAAAAGATTTTGCCTCCACCAAAACTGAATTGTTCTTCAACTGATTTTTCATTCTCCGACGAGCGCGACACCTTTGCTACGCCAAAAGCACCACCAAAGGTATCTCATCGAGGGCCAAAGTCATGCGACGAGCACCACACTACGACATCAGGAGCTGCAACTGCAAATCCGAAACTGTGGAAGCTGCTTTCCAAAATCAAATTTACTTCTAAATTCATTCCAGATCACCTCCAACAAGACAAGTGGCTCTCTATGCTGTTTTTGCAATCGTTGAATCGGGTGATAGAGGGAAAGGATCTAGAGGGACCATCCTGTATGGAAAATGAGAACGATGACGACAACAACGAAGCCAGTAGCGACGACGAGAGCAATGAAGAATTCAATCCAATCTTATTGACAAACTCATTACTCTACAAAAGCGGCGTGCTCCCTCTTTTGGCAAGGGCTATGTCGGACTCTTTTCAGGAGGTTACTAGGATGTTGATCGAAGACGATACATTCGCCTCTACTATGGATTGGGATTATCGACAAGAACAAATGTCAGTTTTGGCATCTCTAATCGATGGGGCATGTTTGTTCTGCGAGTCGAACCGAAGAGCATTTTGTGAAGAGGACCCTTTTTCCTTTGAAGAACGAAACCAGGGGCTTCTGTGCCATATTTTTCTGTTTCTCGATCAATGTGCCAAGCGGTGCTGCAAGACTCCCAATGACAAAATGGACGCAGTGATGCTGATGGGTCTCCGGATGCTCACCAGTCTAACACACGATAATGAAGTTGCAGGCGAACAACTGACATCATGGAGTGGTCAAGGGGCAACAGGAGATGGATCTATTCGTGGTTTGGATACTTTAGCCAATCTTGTCTTTGTGTTGGAAGGGAGTGGCGATGAAACAAAGAAAGAATCATCTTTGACGTCCCAAGAAGCGTATCACCATAGATACGATTGTATTGTCTTTTGCCTCAACACCTTGGCAAATATCGTGGAGGGATCTGATGTGAGAAGGTTGCTTACTGAAATCAATGTTGATGCTCCTTCTTGTAGAATCTTGTGGCTTGAATGGCTGTGCCGGTGGCTCAAGATTCAAACGGCATCTTTTCAAGATGCGATTATGGATGGTGGCACAAACAATGGGCAGTCATCTTCTCAAGAAAGGGAATTGCAAAAGGCTGAGGAAGATCGACTCGTAGCAGCTGGAAATGGCTGCGTTCTACTGGCTTGTCTGATGAAAGAACCCGAATCTATATCCGAGGAGCCAGAGTTGACCAACACTATACGACAGTTGATTGTTGACCAAATGCCTAAAAGCAAAGATGGTGGTTCGACAGGTGTCATCATGATTGTGAATACACTAAAGGCATTCTGCAATTTCTATCAGTTGTCACTTGGGGATCTGAGTGTTGCCATTGTCGCACCTGTGAAGAAGCTGATTCAAGAATTGCAGGAAATGGGTCTATGATGCTGCAACTATTCAAGTAGGATAAATGTGCATGTAATTGAGTAAAATTTTGTTCACGGTGCAGAACTTGTACTCTGTAGATTCTTCCGTGTTGACCGAAGCGTTCGGTCGCCTGTTAGTGAAGGGAACATGAAGACTTCATCCAAGCCGTCAGTGCTAACTACGATGGCTAAAATACTAAAATTTGGTTTCCTCATAAAATTATTCATCTCACTTGTGAAGCGACAAAACTTGATCAAGACACTGCCACTTTCATTCTTCGCCAACTTCTCGTTTTCTCCACTTGAATTTTGAAAATACAGTAGGAGAAATCTCGGAAGCACCTTGGAGATTCGCGTGACTGGGTGAAGGACGTGGCCCCTTTTTGCCAACATTTTTTAAAATGTCGTCAGCCCTTTTTCATTTCCGTTAAATAAAATGATGGCTTTCCAATAAGTATGTAAATAGAAACACAGTCGTATTTCAATCTGTGCTGACGTGGTCAAAGTTAGTACAACTTGTACCAATGATTCATTGAAACTCCACTGGCTGAAAAAAGTCCGGCAACAAGGTCTTGCCGTTACTTCCGCCAAGCACACCGGATTTTTTTCGGTTCCCATCACTTCTCACAATTTTTACGTCAGAATTCATTTGAAACCAAGAAAACTAAATTCACAATGAGCCTCAAGTCCCAATCTCCCATGGCTACATCTGCAGCACCAGGACTCCTCACACAGGTTGGTATGGCTGGAGGAGCCGCTGTCATCACAGTTTCTTTCATTCACCCAATTGACGTCGTCAAGGTAAGGGTCACTTTGTCGTTTATTTTATCGTCGTCGAAATCTCTTTTTTCTTTTTCTTTTTTTCTAACTTGCATCATCGCTTTAGACTCGTATTCAAATTTCTTCTGAATATGGAAAGCTCGGTATGGGAGGAACAGTCTCTAAGATTACTGGAGAAGAGGGCGTTTTGGCCCTGTGGAAGGGAGTTAATGCCGCCTGGCTTCGTGAGGCATCTTACACGTCTCTTCGTCTTGGTCTTTACGAGCCTGTGAAGGTCATTTTCGGCGCTAACGATGCTGGAGCTCCATTCTACAAGAAGTTCGCTGCAGGAAGTGCCGCTGGTGCCATTGGGTCTGTGGCCGGAAACCCTTTTGATGTTCTCAAGACCAAGCTTATGGCTTCCTCTGGAAAGGAAGTTCCTTCCATGGTTGGAACAGCGAAGGAACTTCTTGCCAAGCAAGGTATTGCAGGATTTTACCGTGGTATTGACTCGAACATTGCACGTGCTATGGTCCTGAACGGAACAAAGATGGCTTGCTACGACCAAGCTAAGGGTTTGGTTGTCGAATCAACTGGATGGACAAGAAACGCGCCACAAACCACTTTCTTGTCAGCCGTCGCTGCTGGGTTCTTCATGACATGCACTGTCTCTCCTTTCGATATGGTCCGAACGCGTCTAATGAACCAACCTTCCGACTCTAAGATGTACAACAATGCCGTTGACTGTATGATCAAGATTGCTAAAAATGAAGGTCCACTTACTTTCTGGCGCGGATTCATGCCTATCTGGTCCCGATTCGCACCAACCACAACTCTGCAACTGATCATCTTTGAGCAATTGCGAGGCATGATGGGAATGAAGTCTCTCTAAATTTTCCAATGTATCTCTAATGTATTAACTATCACATGGGTTTATCGTGATGCCTATCAACAACGCTATGGAAATCGTAAAGAAGACCCTATTCAACCGAAACGGCAAATGTGTTGTGTATGCGAAAGTGAATAGATTCGTCGAAATATCTTCTCAATTTTGTTGCTCGTCGATTACGTGAGTCGTCGTCGTATCCCAGAAATACGACCAATCCTGTGGGTTCATTGCTAGCTTGCCTACAACGCTACGAGCACCTTCAGTAGTTGGAAGCCAGAACAGCTGTAGCTCGAGCGTCGTCTAAAGTGCAAACTTAAATTGATATCATGTCTCAAAACAAGGTACCCTGGTACCAGTACCAGTTCTGGGTATCATGTGTCGCACAGGGTACCGGCAGAGCTGTTTCCATTTCTCTTGCGCGATAGATGCGCGTAGAGAAAACACAAACGGGATGATGATGATGCTGTGAGTCACAAAAGAAGTGTACCTAATCAAAATGGCAACAAGAGGCAGGGGAGCAGCATTGTCCTTGTACAGGGCGATCTTGAGAGCCCACAAGGACAATCTTCCAGCGGAAATGCGCTCTCTTGGAGATGCCTACGTAAAATCAGAATTCAAGTTGCACAAGACTGTCGAAAAAACTGTACAGCTGGACGCGTTCTTCACTGCATGGGAAGAGTATTTGAATCAGGTGCAACAGACCGCACGGATAAAGGAGTCTTCTCTCTCGTTGGGGGAGAAAGAAATAACAGCAAGCTTTGGGCAGCATTTATCACCAGACATAGAATTATCAGAGGAACAGGAAATGCAACTGGAAAAGCTAAAAGAAGAAGCTAGCAAGGCGGGAAGGTAACGAAGTGAACCTTATCCATCGGGCTGCAATGCCTCTCCACTTCACCACTGCGCTGTCTCTGAAAGTCTCTACGAGTAAATCTACCAAAAGGAAGTGCAGAAACCTGATATTATACCTCTTATCCACTACACTTTATTAAAAACCCTCAGTACTGTCTATTCAATTTCAAAGCCTCGCGTCATCGATGAAGTAAAGGAGAAACGGGATTCGCAGCCCCCTTTGCATTTCTGTTTGCCACCCAATCCATGCTCGATGACATGTTCCAGCCATTCAAGCGTGACAATATGGATACCCCACTGAGATGCCTTAACTACTTTCGGGCTAGACGATCCTTCGTGACAGATCAAGTGTGTGTTTGACTTTGTCATATCACCAGTAATCCGACCTCCAACAGCTTCAATCAATTTCGTTACCGCAAGTTTTTGTGTGCTGGTAAAACCACTCAGCACAATTGAGATGGAAGAGTCAAGTCTACGCAATGGCCATGGTTTTGGAGCAAGAGCTAATGCCAAAGTATCAGTGGCAATTCTTTTCTGTGCCACGACACAGGCCTTTAACCACATTGGAGTGACCTCAATCAATGTGCATAAGTCCTTTCTTTGGAGCTCCGACAAAAAAGGATTCAAATGCATTTGAGGCCTTCCACCCCAACACACAACGTAGCATTTTCGTCGAATTCCTCCAGATCCAGCATCAACGCGAATGGCATCCAGCAATTTTAGAGATAGAATTTGGCCCCCATGCGATTTTATCAAAGCTTCTTGCTCCTTCGATTCAAAGTCAACGGCCCACTGAGGAGGTGCGACTCGCGAGAGAGAAAACAGGCAACCTTTGAATATCGTCGAATTGGAATTCATCTTTTGAAACAGCTTTCTGGATGGTTTGGAAGAATTAGGAGTAACAATTTCAGTGCTTTGGACCGGTTCTGTGGGTGGATACTGACTTGTGCAAAGATTTGTTCCCGCCTTATACGAGTCTATAACCCAGGCAGGAGAAACAGCTGACGGCAGATTCATATGGCATTCTGTCACGGTTTTTGCAGCCTTTCTATTTTCGTTTTTATAAGGTACATTTTTTAAAAGGATCAAAATAGTCGACACGAAAATATTTACCTCAGCGATGCGTCACAGCTTTTGTGAAGAACCAACGTGGTGATCTCTTCATTCAACTCCCAATAAATCATCCCCTATGAAGTACGACATGGTGAGTGAGCAGAAATTTTGTAAGCGACATGAGCCATTCACTTTACTCACCATTCCCCGACGAATGAGCTTTCCCAGAGCCCTCTTAAAACCGCTGTGTCCTTCAAACCCCAAAAGATAAAAGCGGCAGTTCTTGAAAACTGAACATAGCATTTTCCTGTCATTTAGCAGCAGCTCAGCTCGAAGAGCAAGCGAACTGTTATCGACTTCGATTTTGTCGTTTTGTTTGACTTCAGAATCCAATAGGTGAGCCGTCTCCTCGACCCGGCTTCCTTCTTTGGAACAAGCAAGGAGCCACGATGGCTTCACAACATGAATGTGAGAATGTGACTTGGCAAGGTCGTATTTCGCCCCTTGTGCAACATTTGCGATCAAGTGAGTATTCGTATCGATGTTGAACTCCCGTGTGTACCTGGTAAAATAGTTTGTCAAGAATTATATCCTGAGAATTGAAATCTATCAATAACAGGAACAATAATAGTAGTCCTACCTCCCACCAAGAGATTCAACCATATCATGTATTTGCTTCTTCACATCATGTGTCAAACCACTTAAGCAGACAGTGACGTCGTGTAGAGGGGAAGCAGCTCGAGCTCGTTTTCTGGAATCGTTTTCCATTTCATCATTGGGATTTTTATTTCAATCGATGTCATGTCAACTTTTTGGTTTTGGTTTGATCGACTGAATCAATTTGTGGTGGTTTTTTTTGCTCGACTACGTGCGACTACCAGACGTGCGAGCCAACAGTGTACGTGGGAAGACTACCAGGTACCACGTATGGTAGGCAGTACTGTAGATCGCCAAGTGACACCACCCTGGCTGGCAAATGACTGCCCCCAACTTGGGGCCCGCAAGACAGCATTAGATGATACTGTATAGTGTACTGAATGTAGGTCCATTCTACAGCGAGACAGGGAGACGCACTTGTACGATTTCTGATTCTCATTTTATAGTTTATTATTTGAAAAATATTTTGATTTCTACTAATTTCAACAGGTTTCTATCACCATTCGGTCCCTGGTACGGCACCGGTACATACTCTAGTGTTCGTCTCGTATTGCCTCCAGGCAAGCTCCAAAGTTTAAAAATTCCATTTTAAACAGTTCCTTCCGACAGTAGCCCTTGCAGTAGAGGACGCAACAAAACAAACATTGCAGATGCAAGTGCCAGCGTTGAACCAATACTGGCTCTGCCTCCGCCAAAGTCGATTATCGATTTAGTGATCCTCACAGGTGCATAGATCAAACTTCGAACAACCTTTTTAGTCAGGTTGGTTGCATGCCCTTTGGCACGGCTTAGTTGCACGTCAAGAAAAAGTTGCTTTTGGCGATGAACAAAGTACAGGACCTTTACAAAAGGAACCAATACTCGTTTTATCACCAGGTGCCCAAACGTGACATCCTCAGCGGATGTCACAATAGTATCAAGAGCTTCGATCGGTGCTGGAGGTCGACTCATGACTCTAATGTCTGAGTCTTGTTTTGCATCCACGAGTTGGGGATGTTTTTGAAGAAGCTTTTGGCTGGCTAACCCTGCAACACCAAGGACATACAGGGCATCCTCCTTTTGCTGCTTCGAAGCCAGAACTTCTCCTTTTGGTGAGCCTTGTAATAGCCAGTTCATGGCAGACAATGGATTCTCTTCCTCCTTCTCTTCGTGCAAACGATCATATCTCTTGTGAAGGAATTCCAAGTATTTGTCAACGGAGTCTTGCTCGTTGATAGTATCAGATTGTGGAGTGAACAATCCATTCCACCAAACGGGTTCTCTTGTTGATGATGAATCTTCTTCATTGCCGTCGCTATATTGCAGGCGGCTAGTTGTTGGCGCTTGTCTAGGATGACTGCTGGTGCTTTCTCTGTAGAAGTCAGTACTGGTGTCTCGTACATCCCTCCGATAAAGCATAGCAAACGGTTCCCGACGTGATGAATGAAAGGCCGATGATGATGATGATAGGGAGAGCAACAACATAGCAGTAGCGCACATGTTTGATCTTGATCTTGATGCCATTGTGGATTTGTATAACATAGAGTGTTGAGACTGTCTCTGTTGAAATTTATGATAACACGAAGCAGTTCTTCTTGAAAAAAAAGGAACGCGTTCGGAGTCGGAACTTTTTGGTGATCGTAGTTCTGAAAGACTGTTTGAAAGTGAGATTCCCCTAATTATTCCCCCGATGATCATGGCTTTAGTACTGCACTTACGTGGAGAGCAACTGCACGAATCATCAATCATCAATTATAATTGTTCAGAATTCACAAAGTTCTCCAGAACTTTGGAGTCTTTGAAAGCATATGATTGGTCAGCTCGACGCATTTTCATTCGGGAATTCGGAATTTTCATACGACGGACGTGCCTTTTCTCGTAGTTGTTGAACGGATGAAAATTATTTGGCAATCCCAAAGTACTGGTGTAGCCGTTTCTCCATAGCCAGTCAAAATCATGATCTGGTACACTGTACAGTACCATACCGGTAGCCAATTCTGTCACAACAAAAAAGAATCTGCACCATGTCGTTGCTCGGATCCATCTTTGGCGACGATTCCAAGTCCAAAAAAGACAAGGGAGAGCTTTCCAATTTATTTCAAAACAAAGCTGAATTGCCTGACCGCCCAAACCATGAACCTGTTTCAACCATCAATGCAAAACGCAAATTGAATGATGGCGTCGAACCCGAATCGAAAAGGAAGAGAAAGCCTCGCAAGAAGGATAAGGACCAAATCGAAGGTACTGATGGCGATGGCGAGACCACTGAAAAAGATGGCACCAAAGCAGCTGATGGGAAGGAGGAAATGGAGGACGAAGAAACTGAAAAGAACAAGGATAGGACAATCTTTGTCGGAAATCTACCTCTTGCCACTACTACTCGCAAGTCATTGAGTGCGCTATTCAAAGATTGCGGGCCTATTGCTAGCACCAGAATACGGTCGATTCCTGTCAAGGGAATCAAACTGCCACAAGAACGTGCTGGTGACCAAAATCTTATGAGAAAGGTTTGCGCCAATACCAACCAGGTCGATGAAACTCTCAAGGATACCGTCACGGGCTATGTTGTATTCAAGACAATCGAATCTGTAGAAAAGGCGCTTGAAATCAACAATAAAAAAATTGGAGGCCGGCGCATTCGAGTCGATAGAGCATCCCCAACCATTGATCCTTCACGTAGTGTGTTCATTGGCAACCTGCCATATGGTGCCGAAGAGTCTTCGTTGCAAGATCACTTTGTTAAGGGATGTGCCCTAGATATGGGTGATGTGGTTGCTGCGCGAATCATTAGAGACAAGGACACTCATCAATGTAAAGGGTTTGGCTACGTCTTGTTCCGAGAAAAGAACATGATTCCAGCTGCTTTAAAGTTACATGACACTGTCTACATGAAAAAGCAGCTGCGAGTCCTAGTTTGTGGAAAGCGATTGAAGGGAAGGAAGGGCGAACCGACCATCGCAAACAAAAAGAAGGCAGAAGAGAAGGAGAAGGTGACAGTGGGAGCTTTCAGAAGACTACTTTCAAAGCAGCAAAAGGAAGCTTCCGAGATCAACAAGCGAAAGCGCGGACAAAAGAAAGCAGGAGTAGTGAACAAGGGAACCGGCGTTAGTAAACGTGCAGCTTTAGAGAAGAAAGTTGACAAGCGAGTCAAGAAACTACAAAAACGCGCATCAAAGGGCATGGGTAAAGCAAAACGCTAGTGCTTCGACAAGTTTCCAATTATGTAGACTTCACATATATAGAGTTTTCTTGGGCTGTCTACAGTTTACTAGGTCGTATTCTCCCGTATCGGGCTACCAGCTTATTCTTGAGGATCTTTCCAGAAGAGTTTCTCGGCAAAGCACGCAGGAGAAACAAGTATCTTGGGCGCTTATAAGTTGCAAGTCCTCCTTCACTGCACCAGTCACGGATCTCTTCAAGCTTCATAGGGCTGCTTGTAACCAAAGCACAAGCAACCGCCTCGCCAAACTTTTCGTCCTGACAAGGAAAGACAGCACATTCCGAAATCGAGGAATGCTTCAAGAGTATCCGCTCTACTTCGTTCGCTAATACTGTTTCGCCGCCAGAACGAATAATATCCTTCAGTCTACCACTGAAATATAGTCGACCTTGGTTGTCGTAAAACCCCAAGTCGCTGGTCAACAACCAGCCCTCAAGGTTCTTTTGTTGCTTTCCTCGATTCCAGTATCCATTCATTACGTGTGGACCCAGAGTCGCAATCACACCCACTTGGTACGGTAGATTGATTATTTTTTTTGCTCTTTCTGAGGTATTGTACAGCCGGATTGAAACGTGAGGTGGAGGTACCCCGACACAATCGCCGTTCAGTTCTTGATTCTCATTTTTTTTGGAGGGCAGAGCTTTCTTTCCCGACTGTTTGATCTGAAGAAAGGTTAGAGATGAAGCTGCTTCAGTACACGCGTAGGTTTGAATGATCGAGGCATTAGGAAATGTCTCTTCGAGCTGAGCTATCATTCGATTTGGAGCAGATTGACCTCCAATCAAGATTAGTCTAACATGTGGAAAACTTTGTGGTGGGTCTGAATGCTGCAATATCGAGACCAACATTGCAGGAACAACAACCAATGTGTTTGCAGGTGCCTGTGAATTCATGAGGGATCGTCGAGTGGCATTGACATTGAAAGCACTACGCATTGTTAAACGTGGGAATACGAGCTTTCCGCCAGCGAAAAGAACCGAAAAGCAGCTACTTATCCCACCAATGTGAAACAATGGAACGGTGGACGCAAGCATCGTGGTTTCTTGAGAATAGTTGCAAGGATCACCAAGCTTTGCGAATGACTGAACAACAATTGCACGGTGGCTCAGTCTTACTCCCTTCGAACCACCAGTGGTACCAGAGGTGAATATTATCAGTGCATCCTTGTCAGAAAAGGAAAACTGGGTCGCATAGTCTTCGGCTGGAAATGATGATTGTTGTCTTGAATGTCTCACTTCATTCGCAAACTCGTGCTCTAGAAAGCCACTCGAAACGATTGGAAGTAAGAGGGGAAAAGCTCGATGCCCAAGCATCGATGCAACCTCCTTTGCTATTGATTCAAACCCTGGCCCAGCAATTACGATTGTTTGTGAATTTCTATCTTCGCTCTCAAGTGCACCTGACATCTCGGAAGCAGTCCATCGCGTATTGAGGAGGGCGAGCAATGGAGCTGGACCATCCATTCTAATGCATGCCAGCATAGATATTAGCATCTCGATCGAGTTTGAACAGATTAATGCGACCACAACATCTGTGTTCTGTTCATCGACCATGAGAGACTTTACGGCTTGTGAGATCCATTGCCTATATCTCAAGACGCAATGCCACATGGACTTGTAGGACATATATAAATCATGCCCCTCGTCAGTCTCGAGCACACAGCATATAGATTTCGCGAAAGTTTGACTCTTTTCTTGGACAACGTCTGATATCGATGTCATTGTAGAAGAAGCAGTGATGCGTTCTTTTGTGCTACCGTATGTGTCTGGGCAAAAGATTTTGAACACGTCAGTGCGTCGTCAACCAAACCAACCAAATGCAACAGAACCGATCCAACAGTCGGTCTACAAAAGATTCATTCAACGATGATGTCCAGAACCCTTCTCATCAGCCTATTTGCCTTGGCATTCAGTGGCCTTGCTTCTGCGTCCGTCTTCTTACCATATGAGGCAAGAGGATCGGCAGCACGATTCTCAAAGTTCTCGAAGACACTTCCCAGAGACAATTCCTCGTACAAGCAAGTTGCCAGAATGCGTCGTGCGTACTCCACAAATGGAGCCGCAGTAGCTATTCCAGGTTATGGAATTGCCGAACAAGTCTTCGTTGGTGGGTTCCAGAACTTCCTCAGCATCTACAATATTGTCATCACTGGTCGCATCCTCTTGTCTTGGTTTCCTCAAGCACAGAGTGTTGGCATTCTTCAGCCGATTTACCAAATCACAGACCCATATTTGAATCTATTCCGAAACATCATTCCACCAATCTTTGGTTTGGATTTGAGTCCTCTTCTTGCATTCTTTCTGCTCAACGCGTTGACTTCGGCAACTGCTGCAGTTGGTGCGGACCTCACAATTGAAGCAAAGAAGAAACTCCAAACCACTCGAGTGTTCGCCTCACTATAATTCGGCGAGTCAATGTAGCTAGTTGCATAATGCTAAAACGAATGGCACCTTCCTTTAAATTCTGTTGTACGGAGATCGAGCAATGCTACTCCTCGTAATCCTTGGGGTGATGTGACGACAAAAACAATTTGTTACACAATTTCGAGTCCAACCTTCTTCTTGGCCTTGGTACGATTAAAAATATCATTGGAGGAACAGAGGGATAAGATAGAAGATGAATGCAGTTGCCAAATAGTTGTAACTTTTATCAACTTCCAAACCATTTTATTAAGTAACCTTCTTCTTCTTGGGCTTCATGTATGATTGAATGTAAAACTGGAGAAACAGAAGGAAAAGAGAGAAGATATATCCAACGTAGACTTTTGCGATGGGAACAGAAAGCTGATCGCATCCACTGGTAAATAAGTATGTTCCTTGCGACATCATAGTCACGAATTGAATCAATTGAAGAAGTGTCAAGTAAGACTTCCACCAGATGGGAAGTGACTTTCCAGTCTTGGTGTCTTTGGTGTGCATACAGATGAAATAGTAAGTGTACATCACCGTGTGGATGAATCCGTTCAACGCAATGGTGAGAAAAATATCGGAATCATAAAGCACATTGGCGTTCAACCAGTAGAACATGAAAATGGTAAGGTGGTGATAGACATGAAGGAAAGAAAGTTGTCTCCATTTCTTTCCCAACACAATAAAAATAGTATCCCAGAAGTCCCAGACCTTAGAAACGTAGAAAAGCCACAATAGTCTTGCTAGAGGAGGGTTCTCTTGACTGTAAGGGTTGCAAGGAATGACGCTGTAGCCGCTGCGGTACGCAAGTAAAATGGCCTCGATTGTCATGTAGGCACAAAGCATAATTTGTGAAACATTGTATAGGAATTTGATCGGATAAGGATCAATTGGATCCCGCTTCTCCATAACACGGGAACCGATAACAACAAACAAGAAGTACGCGATAGCGATACTAATTGCCGAAGCAAAGTCGGTCAAAGGCCATCCCTGAAATGACAAAATGAGTTGACTTGGTTAGATATTTTTGTGAAACTCGGCTCATTGTTTTAAAGGGGTGAGATCCTACCTTTGTGTAGCCTCCAAAGGCACTGTCGGGATCAGCCCATGCGATGATGGAATCACCAAGTTCGTTCAAGGCAGAAAATACCATTGTGCAGCAGATTCTGAGGAACAGACCACAACACACAACACTGATTCCAGACAGCTTGTGCTCGGATGAGTGAAATGACGTATGTGCAGCGTATGACCGCCAGACGCACAAAACGGATCCGATGACGGACTTCAGACTGAGACCTGAAAACGGACTGGCTAGTGCTCTACAGGTGATACCGGGAGAGAGGAGACACCGGGGACTAAATCAACAACCATACAGAGTACTTCTAGAATCTTTTGCCGCAGGAGCTTTCGCAACTAAGGAACTAAAATTCTTTGGAATCGTGAGTGCGGTTGGCTTGTGCAAGAAGACGATGCATGACCACGACGACGAAGACTCATCATATCAGACTGTCGAAAGCTAGAGACTTTCTGAGCACGAGAAGGTTGAGCACTATATATTAACTGCCGGCTACTTTGAAGGCTCAGGACGCACATGGCAGCCGCATTTCTCCAGGTCGTAGAACACCTTCAACTCCTCATCCCATTTTTAAAAAGATGTTAATTCAGTAATCATAATCATGATGATGATGTCAGACAAAAAGATAAGGAGTTATTTCTTTCTCAAGGATCCAAAGACGCCCTCCAAAAGTTCCTGGGCAGCGACTCTTGGTGTCAAGTCACCATGCAGTAGCTCGCTTTCTAGGTGTTGCGCTTTGTCGCCTAGTTCTGGGTCTGATTTCATATACTGCTGCATAAGTCGTGTGAATTGCTTCCACATCCAGTATTTTGATTGCCTTTGACGCATTTTCTCCCATCGATCATTTTCCATCAAAAACGCTTTGTAGTCTTGAATTGATTGCCATAAGTCGTCCAATCCGTCTTTTGCCACAGAGCTGGTCATAATCACTGGAGGTTTGAAAATGTTTTCGGTATTGCTACCACTGATCTGTAATACACGCAGGGCACCTCTATAGTCGGAGGCTGTCTTCTTTGCCGCTTCCAGTAAATTGCCATCAGCTTTTGTCACAGCAATTATGTTTGCGAGCTCAACGATGCCCTTTTTGACGCCTTGCAGCTCTGACAACATTATTAGACACTCATTTGGTTCTGCATTTGTAGTCTTTCTTCTAGTCTATCGCTTACCATCCCCTCCTCCTGGCGGCAAAAGTAAAATGAGAATATCGACGGATTGCGCTACCTCTATTTCGGATTGTCCAAGCCCTACAGTCTCCAATAGAATGAGTGGATATCCTGCAGCACTCAAAGTTGTGACAACATCATCCGTATCTTCGCCGGATGACAGAAATAGTCAGAGAACAGGAGCTACGTTCAGAACAAAGTCAAGGCAGAAAACTGGTGGACTTACAAGCAGCCAACCCCCCAAGAACTCCCGCATTACTTGATGGTCGAACATAGGCACGATTGTGACGCGATAGTTCCGTCATTCGGGTCTTGTCGCCGAGAATGCTCCCACCTGAAATTCCAGATGCTGGGTCAATGCAAACGGCTGCCAATCGTAGGTCGGGATCTTTCTCAAGAAGATGCATTCCAAAGGCTTCAATCATCGTTGATTTTCCAGTCCCTGGAGGTCCTGCAAAGCCAATTCGAAGTGATGGCTCTTGATCTTTCGGTCGTTTCGCAAGCAAGTAAGTGAGCAAATTGTCGGCTTGCTGTTTATGCTCTAGATTCTTTGACTCCATAAGTGTGATTGCACGACTTAGTGCCACCCTTCGTTGGATCGGACCTGTCTCAGTGATGCTCTGTGCCAAGTCTCTGGTTGGTTTGGACATTGCAGCCCATGTTGCATGATTCGATGCTTTAGAGAGAAGTCTGTTTGCCCCCGACGTAGAATAGAAGCAGAATCTTCGCGTAAATGGAAGTTGGAATGCTGCTCGATTCATGGTGAAGTATTGATAATATGTTGTTGATGGACTTCTTTTGAATTTTAGGACTGAAAAACCGAACCCAAGAATACTGATTTGCCTTTTGCCTGATGACGGCCAGGCTGCCTGAACGTCAACTCAAAAATACAGCAGGCAGGGCGAAGAAATTCCGGAAGACAAAAAGATACGTGTATTACACTTTCACTGGGTGACCAAAAAGGGATAGAAGATGATTCGAACAATAGCGAACTCGTGCAGATCTTCTCATTTCAGCTTTGAGCGACACAGTCAGATTCTGCGCTCTTTACAAATACAAAATGTATCAGGACGCACAAGGCATGCTGCCCGTCACTTTTCAAATTCGAACGATGGATCGTCTGGTACTAGGACGGTTTCGCACCGAGTATCAGATATCTCGCCCGAAGGATCAGTAGACTTGCCACTTGGCTCCAAAGCGTTCGTAGATTGCGATCGAGAAGCCATTATGGATTTGTTTCACAAGGTTAGCATCTTGTTTTGTTTGTCGTTGCTAGAAACCTCATTTTCAAAGTTCACTGTACTAAAACAATTTCTCTTTCGATCGCAGTTTGCCGTCGATTGCGATGTTTCAGGAAAGTACATGGACAAGGAACGACTTGGTGACTTATTGAGAGCTATTGGCGAAAATCCAGACGAAGCGACACTTGACAGGCTCTTTACGGTCGCTGATGAGAGTGGAGACGGAATTATTGAATTGGATGTAAGAAATTTATTGTCGAAACGACATGATGTGCGGATTCAGCAGTCGCATGTGATCTGATCGATTCGTCCATAATTGAACTAGGAATTTTTGCGCAGCTCGGACATTATCTTGGGTGGCTCGCCAGCTTCGATTATTCTCATCGTCGGAGGCCCCGGTAGCGGCAAAGGAATGCTATCAAAAAGACTAGAGGAAGAGTGCGGCGTGGTACACTTAAGCAGTGGAGATGTGAGTACTCAAGAAAAAAACGCTACATGTACTTTTGATAAATTTGTCGTTTTGCTGAAATACTTTCCTCGTTGAAACGTAGCTGCTCCGGGACGAAGTTCGCAGAGGTACGGTTCTTGGAAACCAAGTCCGGGAGATCATGGAGAAAGGTGAGCTAGTTAGTAGTGCCGTCATTGTCACATTGGTTCGTCGGATAATGCGAAATCATCCTGGCAAGCGGGTCCTATTGGATGGGTTTCCGAGAAGCCAGCAAAACGCTGAAGACTTGATCGAGCTTTGTGGAGTCCCAGAACTTGCTCTACATCTCGTTTGTGATGACACGTATCTAATAGAACGGATCATTAAACGTGGAAACGAAGAAAAGGGTACAAGAGATGATGATAACATTCACACCGCCTTGACTCGTTTGAGAACATACCACAAGTACCATCATTCAACGATGGAATGGTTGCGAGAACAGCATATTCCAGTCGTGAACTTGGATTGCTCAGGGTCACCCGAAAATGTCTGGGAACAGCTCAGCGCAATTGGGAGACTAATGAGGCCCGTTGCAAGACACAAGTGAGTGAAACATTGGTAGGTAGTGGAAGGAGCTTTACATTTGAGCAGTGATGAAGACTCCGAAAATCTTTCTGATCTATCATGATGGTTTGCTGATGGCTTTGTCTTCTGCCTAATATCAAATAATTTTGGTTTTTGGTTGTGTACAAATGGCGCAGTGGGGTATAATTTCTCCATACAATGATGAAAAAGTAGTTATGGTTATTGTTAGAGCCAACTTTAGGTCCGTGGCACTTGCTCGTGGAAGGCGTCCTTTGCTTCTGAAATCTGTGGGACAATATGACATTCCGTTTCACTTCGTACTTGCTTGTCTCAATCTTACCCTACAGACAGCACTGCCAGATGAGCCATCTCGTCTCATCTTAGCTTTCCGTACCACTACGATGCTCTTACTAGTAGTTGGGTTCCTTGCTCTTACTAATAGTTGGGAGCCACGGCTTGCACTCAAGAGCCAGTCCAGTGGATGACGGACTGTATTCCATGCAGCTGAATAGTACATGGGGGTTGACTACCTGGTATGGTACCCACTCTAGTACACCAGGTTCGGTACCGGTAGTGTACAGTACTACTGTACCCTTCGATCATTTATTCAGTCGTGGGTGTGGCCAGCTAGTCGAAGCACTCGTACTTTAGTGGTTGACGTCAGCAACCACGTGGAGATGATTCATCATTCGATTGAATCAATCGTCGTCAAATCCCCGAATGTTGAAGTCTCTGATGAGAGACGTCTGACTCAAACTCCAACAACCTGAAACAGGCAACGACTATTAGCTGATTCAATTTCTTGCGTGGACACGACCAAAAAAGCAGGAAGACTCCGGCTCCAATAGACCACAAATCGTGTTAGAAAAAATTGATCATGGTCCGGTTTGGTATTGCCCTGCCCGTATTCCTCCTATCTGTGTCGTCAGTGCAATCATTTCAGACACAACCGATGGTGTGCACAGGAAATGAAAGAATTCAAACACGGCAGAGCAGTGTAAATATGAAGCTAGATGTATCGTCCTCCTCTAATCCAGACTATAGTGAGTCTTCACTTTCCGATGCATTGAATTCCGTGACAAACGCAGCGCGAGATCAACTAGCAAGTGAATTCTCTGTCGATCCTGATGACGATGAAGCACAGATCTCACAAAGGAAGAAAATGGTCGAGCGACGACAGAAAACATATAGGGTTCAGCTCCCTCTGACTGCCGCCAGAATCGAGGGAAAGTCAGACATTCTGACAATCGGAATGAGTTTGTCACAGATAAACAAAGGACGCGCCTTTGACGACAAATGTTTGAATTTGGACACTCTGGAATTGGAGGATCCGAATATGATAATGAACGATGAGAAATATGACAGATTTGATGAGCAGGGATCATCACGGCGCATTGATGGCGAGTACAAAGGCGCAGTGGTTTCGTCTGTACTAAAAGGAGGGGCGGCATGGACCGCAGGTGTTCGAGCAGGTGACATTCTGCAAGCAACCTCGGCAACAATGGGTAATCAAATGTGGCCAAAAAGCACGCTGGAAGGAGTTAGATCAGCAATGCTATCGCGCAAAGCGACGTCGTCCAGCATAGCAATGGAGTTCCAGCGGATAGGTGACGCAGAAGACAACCAATTTGAATTGTCGCTGTCGAAACCGATTGGGATGCAACTGAAGGGTGCGAATAAGGCTGTGAGAATCATTTTTTTCAACTCGTTGTATACTAACGTTTGTTTTCTATGTGCAATCATACAGAAACCGACGATGGCTTTGTCGTTGTCACAGGTTTAACAGAGAATGCGCCAACGCTTGTACGATATGCTGTGAAAGTTGGTGATCGGGTACTTGCAGTGGACTCGTCTCTTGGGGGAAAGATGTGGCCAGTATCCACTGTCGAAGGAGTAGTTTCAGCCGTTACCGCAAGGTTACCGGGACAGGAGATCACGTTCCGATTTGAACGCCCAACTGAGAATATGGAAGATCAGGGTGATAAGGCAGTGGAATCGGTCGTCCAATCTTCGAACGGAATGAAAACTGCCACGAAATCGAAATTGAATAACGAAGAGCTGCTAAAGAGATGTCGAGGAATCATCAAAAAATACAAAAATTCGGAAGGTAGCAAGTCTAGTTTCGTTGGGAAATATGATGTTCCTGGCCTGATTGCTGATAAGGTGCTGGAGGCGCTCTCTACCGCAGAAGCAAAGGTTGACGCAGTTACACTTTCGATGATCATGGGTGCATACCTCTCGTGTAAACAGGCAAATAAAGCCGTCGAAGTTTTTGAAGATGCTACTGGGTTCAGTGCCAATGGGTGCAACAAAGAAGTGACAACAGTTCCGAATGGTAACGACGGCAAGAAAATTGTAACCAACAGGGAAGCCCTTAACATTTTCACTGTCAGCGCTTTGTTGAAGGCGCACGCAATGGTTGGTGATCTTGATTCAGTAGAAAGAGTGTTGGCAGCTGTTGAGGGAAGAGCAGGCGTGGATATCGCAGGACTTCCAAGTGCGGATTGGCCAGGGACTGGTGTTGATGGATCACTGACACCGGATACACGATGCTACAGCATTGCACTTTCAGCTGCTGCAAAATCAAAAGGAAGAGATGGCTTGAAAGTGGCACTGCGCATTTTCGATGATATGGCTGAACCAAATCAAAAGAAAAGTCCAAAGCAAAAAGACTTGGTTTCCTACAATATAATCCTTAACGCCCTGACAACCCGTCATAGGTATCAAGAGGCAGTGAATCTTTTCTACCAAATGAAGCGTTTGGGAATTAAGCCCGACAAGTTCAGCTACACGTCACTGATGAAGGCGATTGCCTCGGATATTGACGTTGAAGGTGACATCGAGGAAGTCATATACGACATGAAAGAGCAGGGTGTTTCACCCGACATTGTCACTTTCAACACGGCAATTAGATCCTTGTGCGCGCAGCGTAGAATAATTGCAGCCAAGAGAATGGTTGCAATGATGGAAGACTGTGGGGTTTCTCCTGACTCCATGACGTATGGATACTTGATGAAGAGTTTGATAGATGCGGGAAAAGCTTCTGCAGCGTTGACTCTCTTCGAGACTGCATGTTCCGAGCGTAAAACAGTGGCTCTAACAGAAAACCCATATCTATATACAACTGCAATCTCTGCAGCTGCCTCACTGAGAGACCATGAACGAGCACTTGAGCTTTTGACTAGGATGTCGTCGATTGGAATTCAGCCAAACTTGAAGACTATGACAGCAGCAATGGGAGCGTGTCTTTCTGCTGGGAAAACCGACTTGGCAGCTGGGATTTTCATGAAGATTAAGAATCCTGACGGCTACGCTTTGACACAAGGACTAGAAGCATTGTGTGAGTCGGGTGAAACAAGCAAAGCGTTGAGCATAATTTCCCAGAACCAAGGAAGTCGGGGTTTGCTGAAAGGGAAGTTGCTCATGAAGTCATTCAAAACAATAATCTCCGTTTCTCTGAAACGAGATGACTTTGGTATGGCACGTGAGGCACTTACAGCACTAATCCGAGGTGGCAATCTTCCCTCAAGGGAAATCTACGAGGCATGTTTCGAGGCAATGGAGCTGTTTCCAAAAAGAAGAAAAGCGTTCCAAGTTGCAGGGGAGGCCGACGAATTTGCAACTCAAAAGTTCCAATTCTTACTCTTCCTCTTGGATTCTATTGCAGGTAGAAGGCTGCCCTGTGAAGGATCCCTCTACTCTGCCGTTCTGACTTATGGATTCACCATCGGTGGACTTCCAAAGAAAATATCAACAATGCTCGTTTCGGCTAAAACCGATTTTTCCAATGACAAGAAGTTGATTGACGACGGAGATGAGACTGTAATTGTTCCATTTTTTTCAAATTGGGAAGAATTGTTTTTGAAGTACAATGCGATGAAGAAAAGAATTGCCACAGATGGGCTTCCCGAGCTCATCGTCAGAGTATCAAGCCGTGACACTCGAGCTGTTTTGAAGGCTGAGAAAAACCTGACTTTCAAGCGGACACAATTGGTATGATTGCTGATTCTTGATTCACAACGGTCTTCAAAAGACCCAAATAATAGACCTAGAACGCTACTGTAATATAAACGCATATACTCACAAGACAAAACCATTTTCAACTGCTTAGATATTGTGTGATTGTTCTATGCACCAGACCCTTTGCCGCTGCCTCTGTTCTTTCTCTTGCCCTTTTGAGTCTTCCCACCGAAACCTCGAGGTTCGTGCTGCAAAGTGGGGAAAGCTTTCATCGCCTCGACCGATTGAGTGGCTCTAAACTTCTCTGCTGGATCGTTACTCACCAAACCCGGAACCTCCAAGCAATCATACAGAAACTGCAGCGCTTCCCGTTCTACTGAAGTCAAATCTGGGTGCCACAGCCGTAGCATCAGAATGTATCTCATTTCATCGCTCTCATTCACTGCGTCATGCATCAGCGACGTATCAAATAGTAAGACGTTACCGTTTGTCCACTCTCGTGTTTCATCCCCGACGGAGATTCGACACTTGTTCTCCCCGGGGATATCTAAGGCCAGGTGAAAAGTGCAAAGGAAATTTGTGAAGTCTGTGTGTTTCTGTTTTGATGCGGAGTGTACTGGTTAACAACAGAAGCAAGCAATAGGCGACACATTATCAAATCACAAGCGAAACTTACTTTGATTTCGGATGGGCCTTTCATACTAGCAAAGAAAACTTCTGTCGCTGGGACTCCGCTATCATGGACTATTTTTGCAGTATTTGGAAACAATTGGACGTTCGCTGGTGCCCACCGGCCACGGTCCATCAAGACAAGTGTCTTCCAACCCTCGCCGTAGGCAGCTGCATCTTCGGTCAGTGCCCCAGCCCAGACATTGCTGCCTTCTTGTTGTAATCGAAGCATGTCTGCATTTACCGCATCGAATTCTTTTCTAATCTTCTTGTAATTGTTCTTGATGTAAGCCGTCCAATCAAACTCATCCGGATTCCAAAAAGGTTTAATGGACAATCCTGGTACGTAAGAGTGGCACTCCTGGACCATATAGCTTCCTTCCTCCTGTCCGTCTTCACCAACATATTCTCTATGAAAGTAATCTTTATCTAGCAGCCGCCATGATTGCAGTACTCGCTCAATCTCAGATGCTTCGAAACGCTCGAGAATTTCACGTTCAACCATTCCAGCAAAAGTATGAGGGGGAAGAGGAGCAGAAATATCAATATCTGGAAACGCAGTACTCTGGGCGCTAGCAGAGCATCTTGTGACAGCATAAGAGGGTTTGTTTGTTATTTGGAAACCATGACCGAGTCCAAAAAGAAAGATAGTTTGAATCCAGGGGTGACAATTCTTCATCTTCGGACCAATAGCGCCTGTGATGTACTGTAGGGTACCTGGTAGTGCTTGGATGTGAAAGAATAATTTTGTTTTGATATGTTTTTCCATGCGTTTTTGATCACTCTGAACACTTACTCTTGCTCTGAAGCCATCCTCAATCGGTTGACGACGACAGACCGCATGATACTTCTTTAGTTTTTTAGTACTACGTTTCAAACCGTGTAAAACTACCAGTACAGTATTATACGCACCGTACCGGTAGAACGAACTGCCGAACAATCCAACGAGAAACAACGCCGACGAAATACAACATCGTCACTGATCAATTAATACTGACTGATCTCACAACCATGTCTGCCGCAATTGGAAAACTTTTCAACCCTGCATCCTACACCAAGGCTTGGGGAAATGTTGCTACCCGGGCACAAGCCTACTACCATCCAAACATGCGTGACAATGGGTGAGTTTTGCTGTCGAAGACATCAGCACCCTGTAGTTGGTTGCGATCGTTTGGGTCATTTTAATCAATTTCCTTCTGACCAATTTCTCGTTGCCAATTCAACAGATCCACTTTCCTTTGGCACATGATGTTTGGAGTGTCTGTCGTGATGTACACCGGCAACTATGTCTCGCGCAGCTGTGAGTTTCTTGTAATCAGGTGATTCTTTCTTTCAAAATTTGATATAGATCCCTAACCGATTTGTTTCCATTGGCGCAGATCCCTTGGTCCAAGAAACAAGAGAGCAAAAGAGAGTGGCCATGAAGGAATACTACGAAAAGCACGGAGGAGGTGACCATCACTAGATTATTCCACTCGCGGAACTGATATCTGCGGGTTTTAAGCATATAGCATGGGTTGTTCCATTGGTTTTATCTCGCGCATGTATTTGTTACATGCTTTTGTATTTCAGGAAGACGAATACTTCTTAAACCCAAAGTTTACAGTATGACACTTTCTTGAAGAATTTTTACATCTCTCGTTTCGGTCCAGGCAACCCTGATGGCCGGTTGGCAGTCAGCTTGACGCGCCTTTGATCCATATCCACATCCGAAACCCAGACACGAACCCGATCACCAAAATGCATAAACTCCGATGGTGACATTCCATTCTCCCACGACGGATGGTCCATGAAATGCAAGAATCCATCAACTTCAGCTCCAACCTCAACGAATGCACCGAAATCTGTTACACGTTTCAATTCTCCCCACAGCTCATCATCGATCTCAATTTCATTCAGCTGAATCCTTTCTTCGTCGTCATCTTCGTCCTCTACGCCTAATGATTCCTCGATAGCAAGCATCGTCAATTGCAACTTTTTCAGCTCTGGACTGGAAGATCGTACCTTCACAAGAATTTCTTCTCCAGGTGTCAGTGCCTGCCTCGGGTGCTCCACGAAAAAGTCGCGTGTAATTTGTGAAATGTGCAGCAATCCATCGCACTCGGTTCCAACATCAACATATGCACCATAATTTGTCAGTGAAATGACAGTACCTGTCACTTCCATTCCAGTGGGGAATGCAGATAAAGGGGCTCTCTCCTCAAAACCTAACGGACGCTCGATTCTAGAACTTCTCTTCTGCTCTTGTTGGAGCTTCTTGTAATGCATCAACATACCTACGAAAACAAGAGAACCTTTGAGTAACAAAGGTAACAAAGGCAACAAAGATGAAATGAAAGGGTCGCGATATCAAACATACGTCGCTTCTTCTCTGCTGCTGGTTCTCGTTTCTTTTTGTTGGCTATCGCCTTCGCCTGGCCCCGCTCAATCAGTCGTTGCTTGATCTTCGGATTCAAATTTTCCCACCGTTTTCTGCCTTCGCCGTTTGGCTTGACATCTTCTTGATCATTGTCGTCTTCGTCGAGGAATGTCACATTGAGATCGTCATCATTGAAATCTTCGTCCAGAAAAGTAGAAGGCCGGTCAAAATCAGCTTGATTCGATGAGCTTCTAACGATTTCGTTTTTTTGCAGTGATTGACCAACGAATGCCGATGCAGCTGAGACGATAGCAAGCAATGCCAAGATGCAAGCAGGGTTCATGTTGTGTGATGATGGTTTTAAAAGAAGAATGTTAACTATTTCTCCACTGTTTCAAAGAAAACACATCAATGGTTTCGACATGGGCCGGGGCGCATGACGGACACTCAAACTTCCCAACCCTAAACTATGACCTAAAACTATCACCCCCGAAACCACCAAATTATGAAAATGTCATGGACAACGCTTCTACAGACACGAGAATAAGGATACTGACGGTCGGGGATGGAGATTTGAGCTTATCTTTGGCCCTAGTCCGTGCATATGGAAGGCATGTGTCACTGACAGCTTCGGTCCTTGAATCAAAGGAGAGGCTCCTTGCGTGTTATCCAGATGCGCCTTTGGAAGCCCTTGCAGATCTTAATGTCGAGGTTTTGTATAAACTCGACGCTACGAAATTGCATGAGCATTATAAGCCGAAAAGTTGGGATCTTGTATGTTTTCATCATCCACACTTGGGCCTGGGCTCCTTAGAGAAAAATGAAGCCGAACATGCGAATCGACACTTTCAGCTCGTTTGCCACTACCTTTCTTCTGCTAATGCTGTATCGGATTCTGTCCATATCTGCCTGTGTGGAAGTCAGCCAGAGACATGGAAACTCTTGGAAGCTGCAGAGTTTACTGGCTTGGAATTGAAAAAGAAAATGTCGACCTCTGCTCCGTTCTCGAAGCTTTGGACAGATGAAGAGTTTCCTCCGACTGAAGCAAAGCCTGGCTACGCTGCACCACGACGGTATCGATTTGGCAAATTGGGATCTCGCCACGCGCTTGGCAAATTTGGCTATAGACATCGTCGAACTGAAGGAGAGCTGTACAATGGAAAATCCAACGATACGAATGTGGCGGGATCAATGCACTACTTGTTCAGAGCTAAGCCAGGAAGCATTTATGTCATGGACGGCACTGGTATTCCCAAGCACAAATGCAAAATTTGTCGAACGCCCTTCTCCTCCGAGAGAGATCTAGTGAAACACATGCGGGCCCCGGCAGTGCCTGACACGACTTCCACAACCATCGTGCAAACGGTGAAAAAGGCTTTGCCTATACAAGACGATCAGGAAATCATGCCTCCTATACCATGTACAACGAAGGCAGATGGTACTGAAACAAGTTTAAAGGTCGAAATGGGGTGTGATGGAAAGAGACTTCGGTGGCTCATACAGCATGGTATTGAGGGGCTTTCAAAAAAGCAAGCCAAGGTCGCAATTCAAGGCAGCAAAGTATTTGTCAATGGTTCTGTTGCAGTAGATGCCAGTCGAGTACTAAGATTCGGGGATATAGTGCTTGTCAAGGCGATGCAGCCTGCAGGCTCCTCGTCATCAGTTGCAGAGATTGAAATATTGTATCGAAAGGACCCAGTGCTTGTTGCTTTCAAACCAAGTGGCGTACGTACGAAAGGACAGTTTCCTGGAACATTGGAAGCGTCAATAGAACAACAAGAAGGTCATAGATATGATGCCTTGAGCCCTCTCGATACGTTTTGTCCCGGTCTATGCGCTTTGATCAGAAGTGACCATGGTGCACAACCGCCTACAATTGCCCATTCAATGACTGCACTGGTATTCAAAGCAGTTTCGGAAACCTGGAAACCGTATAGAGAAGTGACAATTACTGTCGAGCCAAAATGGAAGAAACGAAAACGCAATATGTCACCCCAGAAAGTCTCACTGAAACTTGTGCCCTTGGGAACAACAAAAGAGCGAGAGGATTCAACGCAATTGACAACCATTCGTTTGGAAACAGGAACTCGTTGTTCTACAAGCAGCATTTGCCAATATCTTCGCAATGAATCACATGGGGTCGTCGGAGACAGCAATTGCCGGCAGGAGTATCTAAAGGTGCGCAGTGCGACCGTCCTTTCTTTTCGCCTCGTTTCTTTTCCAAACTCAATCAAACTGTATGAAGGTACGAAGATCCATCAGAAACCGAATCAAAGATAAAATGTGCATCGGATGTTATCGGGTTGAAATAGATGGCGTGGAAACAACCTACGAAGTCCCAGAAAAACTCTTGTGGAGCTATTGGGATGCCCATTGCGATGGAAAAAATTGTAGTCGAAAAGATTAGGATGACGGGAAACAATGGAAAGGATGTGATCACTCTATTTGTCCAGTTTTGCTCTTGGTTTGTAATTTATTGAGTAAAGGAAAGGTCCGCCGCGAGTCCCGACTTGTAAATCTCGACTCGACACCCCTACTGGTACGACCAAACAGTGACAACAAAGAGAAAAAGAGAAACGTATCATTGCGCTATAAAGTACCCTTCTTATTCGATCCACCTTTTCGTAGTTTGTCTAGTTCTTGTCGCAGTTGCTCATTGTCCCGTTTCAAACCCTCCACGTCAACATTCTGTGGCGCCCCAAGGTATCTCCGAACATAGTCGACTGCATTTTGCGGCCGTTCTGGCTCTTCATAGAGCCCCACCAAAACTTTAATGAGAGCATCCATAACTCCCGTCTTTTCCAAGTACCTTCGAAATTCTTCTTTCTTGTTGTTATCAGAGCTATTTCCGTTGTTGTTATTGTTGCTGCTGGAGCCGCTATTGTTGTTGTTTGATGAATTCATGTTGTCTGTTCCTGAGTGTGCTTGCTACGAAAACAATCGTGAGAAAAGTTCCAATTTCTGAGTGCCTCCGCTTTGTGTAACCAAGCTTTGTGAGAGTACCTACAGACACGCACCTGTGCATGTAATTTCATAGCAATCGTCGTTCCGAATTGATCTTGTATTGATCTAAAGTCTGAAAGTTGGTTTGTCGAATGAATTTCAATTTTATTTGAATAGCAAGCACTACGGATGATGTACAGACGATGGGCTTGTGGTCGCGCATTGATTTGAGATTTTGAGATGATGATAGGTGTACCGGTACAACAGAAAGAACCACCAACCAGACAGACAACCTATCACACGTTTGAGCATAACGTTGGGAAAGGTGATATCATCAGTTTCACGGACAAGAAGGGAAGCATTAATCATGTCCTATCTGATTCAAAATCTGAAGGTTGTAAATGAGTCGAAGGCTGGAGTTCCTATCCTCACAGGCATCGGCTACTTTGACCATATGCTGGATCAATGCAATTCGCACGCACAGGTGGGAGTTGGATTGGAGGTCGTGTTCGGAGATAAGACAGATAGTACTGACAAAAACCGGTTGTCCAGTACTAATCAGGCAGTTTTGTGCACAGCAGTCGGAGAGGAGCTAGGAAAGACACTGAGAGAGCAACTGAGCTATGGGAAGGAAGAATCCCGGTTTTGCTGTCCTCTGGATGAAGCCTTGGTCGAGTGTGTCATCAGCAACGGCGATGGTAATCTCCTAGAGTATACGCTTCCTCCATATGGAATTTATCCCAACGGAAAAGGTCGGTCCAAGATTGGAAGTCTGGAAACTACCGCCATCGAATCGTTTTGGAAAGCTCTTGCGGGCTCATCCAAGTTGGACATCCGATTCCGAAAAATTCGTGGTGACAACGGTCATCATATAGTGGAATCTTCGTTCAAAGCTTTTTCTCGGGCGCTTCGCAACTTTTTGGACAAGCCAGCCATCTGGGGACCTGGGAGTGACAACGATAAAGCAAGTGTTGCTCTTCAACGTGAGGGCAAGATAGAACGGTCCACGAAAGAGACATCTATCTCTGTCCATCTATTGCTGAGTGGCAAGAGTGGTGACACTCAGATCGAAACAGGAATTCCAGTGTTGGATGAGTTCTATACCATTTTGGCGAAAGAAGCTAACATGACACTAAAAGTTAAATGTAGGGGAGATCTCTGGGTTGATGATGTAAGTGTTTGAAGATTATGATGATAGTTGACTCCCTCCATTGCTTACAAGCGTTTCAATTTTTAGCATCATACAGCTGAAGATGTAAGCATTGCAATTGGGCAGTGTCTGACTCAAGCTCTCGGCTCCAAAGCAGGACTGAACCGAATGTGGTTGTCGGAAGCCCAAAATGAAACAGCAAAAGTGGAGGTGACAATGGACTTGAGTAATCGACCCTGCTTTCGACACAACCTTCATAAATCCTTAGGGCTCCAAGAATATGTGGACACGGACGCTGCATCGAGCAGTTGCCCCCTAAGTTGTGAGATGATGGAACACGTACTCGACAGTTTAGTAATGAATGGTCGAATGACCGTGCACGTTGTTGTCAAGCAACCTGGAGCGACATTGCAAGACACTGTCATGTGCGCTGCTAGCGCTTTTGGAAAGGCACTTCGCGTGTGCGCAATGGTGGATCAACGAAGAGCTGGGCAAACCGCCAGCAGCAAAGGAACACTATCAGTATAGTCATACCTAGCGAGTGAAAGTTTGTTCTCAAACGGAACACCGATTGCAGTTCATATCTGCTATTGCATTACTTCGTAGTTCTTCGTTGTTTTTTGTTGCTTTTGCTCCATAATTCAAGACGCGCTGTACGTCCCGGTACTGTACAGTATTAATACTGTATTTTTTTAACGTTTGACACACCTCTTACGACGAAAGCGCGTGCGAAATGCGCATTTTGTTGATTTGATGGAAATCCCAAATCCCAAGATAGTATACGTACTATATGCTGTGGGTTCTTCTGAAAACAACAATTCGATCACATTCATTTGCGAAAGCCATCGGTCAATCACCATTTACATCACAAGAAAAGTGACGCTCTAAGAGTACCACGACTGACGATTATATCATGTCGAACATGGAAAACTTGCTGATGGACAGTGGTTCATCGTCAGGAGAATCCGATGGCGAAGTCGACGTCCCAACCGGTCTTCCAGCTGCCACGGTTGCTGGCTCTGCACCAAAACCGGCTCATGCGGTCGCCTCAAATGCAACAGCCCCAAGTATTGCGGAAGATCAGATGAAGGCACGGTTGAAGAATCTATATCAAACTCAAAACAATAGACCAGCTCAAACGTCAGCATCGCAGCCTCCACCATCTTCTACGACTTCTAGTAGGCCTGGAGTGCCGATGAACCCGCGTCCGGGAATGTCACATCCAACAAGCGTTCCTCCATCTTCACGCCCACAATCCCATGCGCCTTCGCAACAGCTAAAACAAGCAATACCGTCATCGCAACCTCGAATGAATATCAGCAGACAACAACAGCCGCGACCGCAACAACCGATGCAGCCAGTTCATTCCCCACTTCCTTCACGTCCCGGACAGTATAGTCAAAGTAGCCATAGCAGTCACACCACGCATCGCAATCATAGCACGCATCCCAGCCAATCCTCCCAAGCTCATTCAATATCTCAACCAAGGCCATCCCATTCCGATGTGCGCGATCCTTTTGCCCCCACACCCTTGTCCAAAATACAACCGCGTGAACAGCAAACATTAGGTCGCATGCCATCCAGCAGTTCAAGACCATCGTCTTCTATTCCTGGATCGTATTCGGGCTCTCAAAGTGGTGGTCGGTCGTCGCAAATGTACTCTTCCGGTTCCGGTTCTAGAGCGGACCCCACCCTAGCAGCACGCGAACAAGAAGTTCGACGCCAAAAAGAAAGGTTTCTTATTTTCACACGAGTGCTCATCAAATATCTAGAACAAAAGGACCCAAATATGCATCGACAAGCAAAGGTCATTATAAAGGATTGCGCAGAGCGAAACAAGAAGCAAGAGCCGGGATATCAATCTGTTACAGCTTCCATGAAGACGCGCCTGAAAGAACTCGTCGGAGAAAGCTATTGGAGAAGAGCGGAAGTTTATCTTAAGCATTACCTGGATCAACAGAAGAACAAAGCTGGGGCGCAGGGATCATCGTCTTCGTCGTCAACTCACGCCTTAACACAACAACAATTGGAACGCAAGAAGTTACAGCAACAAGAGCAAAGGCAACGCTCAGCACAAATGCAGGCTAAACAGCGTGCAACCCAAGCTCATCACCATCAACAGCAGCCACAGCCACAGAATTTGGCTATGTTGCAACAAGAGGTCTCAAATCGAAGAAGCGAAATTGCTCGTGTTGGTGGCGTCGGAACACCAACAACTACCAATGTAGTTGCTGCCAAAGGAACGGTTGCTCAACAAAAGAAACCGACAGTTTCTAAAGGGAAAGAACGTACTGTAACACCGACTTCACGCAAGCCTGGTACTCCCGTGATGGGTGGACCCGCAAGAAACACAGAAGAGCCTCCCCAAGAGTATTTGGAACTGATGCAAGCTGTAGACCACGCTGTTACGTTCGATTCCAAAGCAGTTGGTCAGCTTATCAAATCCAACAATGCCGATTTGCAGGTTAATGAAGAACAAAAAAAGCTTTTGTATTCCGAAATCAAACCAAAACCCTCTCCTCATAAGAAGGCTGGGCCGCGGTCTGGTTGGGATAGAACAAACGTTTTTTCCGCTCGTGCTGCATGGGCTCGAGTGAGGTTGCCAGAACGCAAGAGGTCTGCTAAAGTTCCAGTCGTGGGAGGTGGTCTTTTGACACTGCCTACTACAAGTCCATACACAAAGGATAATTCAATGACCTGGACTAACGAAGAGAAAGCAGAACAAGACATAGTCTTGGCGATTCTTTCGGAAGGTTGTCAGCAGTACCTTAAAAGCATCTTGCAAAAGGCGGTACACTGCGCCCGTCAAAGACAGAACGTGGATGGTGTCCGTCTGTGGCATCAGCAACACAAGGCTGCAATCCAAGGAAAAGCACCAGCACTTTCTTTGAGATTCGGTTGTGATATCTCGCGGCAGGTTGCTCAAACAGCCGGAAGTGCTACACTAACATGCAAAAGACTGGAAGAAACTTTAGAACGTCAAACTGACATCCGTGCTAGTGCTAGAATCCTGAGGGACGAAACGCTGAAGGAAGCAACTGGTATGGGGGATCTATCGTTACGTCCACAGTTGCCCAAAGGCGTTGAGGTTGCTGACCGTAGTGCTCGGAGGTCTTACGAGCTGTACGGCGGGAAGCACTCCTCGGAACCACCCTTGGGACGCATTCCGAAAAAAGCCAAGGTTGAAAAAATTGATCTCATTCATGGGTCGAGCATAGGAGAGAACATAGGACGACACCGAGCAGTAACGTCATCGGGGTCGACTTACTACTAAGTTGAAAGAACTCAATCACCCGCTGTGTTCCTATGTGACTGCGTGTAAGATGCACGCATCCGTCAGTTTTGCTGATTGATCGATGGTGATATTGTCCTTCGTTCAAGCCGTTATGATTTTAACCGTAGTCAAAATGAACATAATCAAGCACACGATGCAGAAAGCTAGAATAGAAGCAACTAATGCCGTCGCATCTCAACCTATCGAGCCTGAAAATTCCCGTCTGAAGTAAGGTCCGATGAATCCAGATGCCGAAAGGGGAGGGTTGAAACGGAATCCGGGCGGGATCGTTGTTAGTGGCCGCCGCAAGCTCGTTGCAAAGTTTTCAGGAAATTAAATGAATTAAGGGAAGGGTTTGTCGATTCCATATAAGATGAAAACAAATAGAGCACGCATCGACACTATTCAAACGAATTGACACGAAAGAAGTATGATAGAATATCTTCCCTCTATCGCCACTTCACGTTGAAGAATTTTATCGAACTGTAGGCATCCCAAAGCTCATATCACCCATTGGCATCACCGAAGAACGGCGACTGGGCGGGGCACCGAAAATGTCCCAGAAGCGGAGAGACTCGTCACCAGCAGCAGATACCACTGTGCTTCCATCAGGGCTGCATGCAAGACTCAAAACTCGAGATGTATGTCCTGTCAGTTCCTTCACCTTAGTCAAGCTAGAACCGTTGCCGTACTTCCACAGAATCAACTGGTTTTCCGAGAAGCCATGAGAACTGCACAGCTCACGTTGGTGCGGACTCCAGAGGATCGAACAAACTTGAGAACCAGTGTCAATGGAGTTCAGCATTGCACCACTGTTGGAATTCCAAAGTTTAATATTCCTGTCAGCTGTACCACCACCACTTGCTAGGAGGCCGCGGTGAAAGGGACACCAGTCCAAAGCCTTGACAGCAGCTTTGTGTTGCTGCAGAAGCAATCTTGGTGCGAAGTCTTGTGATCGTCGTCCCCGTCGCTGCCCTTGAGACGATGACATTTTTGCATCCCAAATGCATAGAAAGTTCTCATTCCCCCCACTAGCTAGAGTCGTCCCATCTTCGTTCCATTTGAGCCCACACACCTCTTGTTCGTGCCCCTTATACTGAGCCACTAGATGGTTTGCAGAGCGCACGTCATGCTGCAAGATTAGCGAATCACGGCCGCCAGATGTCAGCCAATGCTGATTCCATGCGATTGATGCAACTCGTCCGGAGTGTCCATGAAGAGTTCGGACTTTTTTCATTGACTGACAATCCCATAATTGAACTGTATTCGAGTTTGTCCCAATCGCAATGTATTTTGATTGGCCGCTCATCGTGCACCATTGGACTGAAGTTACGTAGTCATCGTTTCCTTCAATGGTCGTCAGGTGATGAATATCACCCGTTGAAGCGTTCCACAGATAAACACAATGTGCAAGCGCCACAGCCAAAATATTGTCCTTGCTCCAGCTGATAAGGTTAAGATAGTAATCATCGACCAAATCAGGGGCATCCAATATCCTCGATGGTTGATTTGGAATTCGACGATTAACGCCCTCAGAGCCCTTAATAACAGCAGAATCACTGGTACCCTGGAATTTGTCAAGCACATGCAAAGTATCGTGAGAATATGGGTCTTCCAGTCGCATGGAAATCGACGAAGACAATTTCCGCTTCTCTTCAAAACCAAAAGAAAAAAGGCCCTTTGGTTCAGCGTTCTCGTTCAGTGCATCCAAAGGAATATTGCACAGTGAGCTCAGCATTCGTCTTTTGTACTCCTTTTGGATTGGTGTGTCGGCAGGTTGCTGGGGTGATCGTTCGTCATCATGACTACTTCCCTTGTTGCTGTCTTTGTTCTCATCCTGAAATTCATCAGAAAGAAGTGCTCGGCGACACAAATCGACATTCATTTGGCGACGTGAGGGGATGAATCGATCCCCAGAGTACGAGCTTGGTGTTGACTTGTACGAAGACGGGGTACGCATCAGGGATCGAGCCGGAGACATTCTTGGCTTCGTTGATTTTGATCTTCTAGCACTAAATGGGGTGGAAGGAGATGCGTAGGCAAGACTGGATGCCCGTCTTTTTGGACGGGGAGGAGTTTTCAAGAGGCTTGGAGACGCATTATCCTTTGTCATCATGATTGAGTCTTTGCCACTGTATTTTCTGGAAAAAAGTGAGGGATGATTCGCCAAATCAAAATACGCTCGCCAAAACAACGTTACAGTACAGTACAGTATTTTTAAAAAAATAGACCTGGTATTAGATATTTGGAGAAATAGAGACTTGATTCATTCATCATGTCTGTCCTTACTCTTGGTCTGTCTTTGTCTTTGGTCTGTCGATGCCTACCATCTCACATCTTGATTTCGTTTATCATGAGCGGCACGATTGGTGTTCCTATAAAATTTACTCACAAGAGTGGGATTGGCAAGACAGTCGTGTAGCGTAACTGATTTAGCAAACCTGACAAACATGAAGTCCAGCCAAAATGCGTTCAACAGTTGGGCTAGTGTTAATCTTTTGATCAATTTCGTGGGACAATTCTTGTCGATTGAAATGAAATGAAAAATTTCAACCACGCTCTGTACCATACGGCATGATAATGCTTTGTAGCAGTTCTATTTTAAAAATAGCTTTGTACCAGGGTACACTCACTCTGCAATGAAAGAATCGAACTTGTCGACTAATAGTGCTGTAAGGATTTGATCCACGAATGAAAGGAAAGCTCGTGGCCTAGATTCCAACCATACTGTATGAAATTGAGGAACCAACATCAAGTAGGGGATCTAGCCAATTTGAAAAAAATAAATTCTCCATATCAACTTGATATTTGTGGTCTATCTACACACTACTTTTCGGTTGCGTTGTGCCCAGTTGTTCTGCTGTTGCTGTCTCTGTATCGATCCGCTTTGGGTTGCCAACAGGGAGCACACTTGGTGGCACTCCCCTTTACACCAAAACTAACCTACGACCGAAAAATCTTGCAATACTTGCACCACTTGATTCGATGGCCCTTGCCCTATGCAGGCTCCCTTTTCTTGACAAGGAATGGTGGATCCCTTGTTGAGATCCTTTTTGGCGCATGCCTTGGAGGCTATGGGCTTGGGCGCCGTCCTAATCCGCACATTTTGCATTGCCGTTGTGATCTGTTGAAGTAATTGGCCAACGTCCTCACAGACTTCGGAAGATTCAATTAAGAGGCTTGATCCATATTGCCGTGAAAATAAGGTGGCGGGACACCTCGGAGTGGGAGGCAACTCTTCATCATACTAGCATTCTCAACATTTTAGTTTAGTGGCCTTCAGCCTGAAGTTGAAATTTCCGAGCTTTTCGTTGATCCGCCTTGGCACGCTTTTTCTCCTGGAGTTTTGTGAATCTTTGCTGTTGATCTAGTGGCATGGTGTTTTCATCCAACTTTTCAAGCTTATTCGCTTATTGTCTCCAAGCTTGTCCCCGAGCTTTTTGTCAATCAGCCTTAGCACATTTCTCGCAAAGAAATTAATAACCAAATTCAAAGTAAACACCAATAGCAAATGTACGTTTCCGCCCCCGGCGGTTGCCCCTCTTCTGATGGCGTGTATCTGCATTGACGTTTGACAGTTGGGATCGAGAGGAATGATTTCGGCAATCCATAGATTCGATGCAATACGTCCGTGGCACAAACAATCACCATATTGAGCTGTTTACCCTGAGGTATGACACCCGGGATCCCCTTTCGAAAGTGCCTGGGAGCATTGCTAACATTTCGTTTTCGACCCTAAAATGACCGTATCCACAGAAGGTATTCTTCAAGCGCGCATGGCGCATGGGACAAGTAGCTTCTGTTGCTGTTGGCGTCATTTTCCTTGTCAGAATCTTCCCTTTGCCAATCTCCATCTTCAGAGTCATTTTTGTCCAGGTAATAATCGTATTGGTCTTCTTCGTCCGTTTAGTCGTTGTAATTGGAGTCCTCTTGAGAGTGATGTTCGTCCTGCAAATCTCGGTCTTCTGCCGTGTCCGTTTTGTTGAAGTTCAAAAAGTCTTTGGGGAGGGAAGCTTACCGGCTACTGCTGGCATCATCTTGTAACTCTTCGCCTTGGTTTTACTCTTCTTCGTCTACTTCGGTGCATTTGGCATCCTCTTCGGCGCATTTTTCTTCTTGGACTTCAGTATTGTCGCTCTCTTCTATGCATCTGGATGTGATCGTCGCGACACTGCTTTCAAGAGCTCTGTTGTTCTCTTTCTTCCAAAGTGAAATGATTGATAATTGAGTTTTGTATTTATGTGATTGTCCATTTTGAAGTGCTGTGTTTGGTGGTATGGTTTGTGTCGCTTTTGGATTTGACTACCGGGACTCCTAAACCAAAGAGACTACAAGCACTACTAGTCGACAAGTTCGATTTTTTCACCGGTATATCGTCTGATATACGGTAACGTCTGTACGTCCCATCACCATATAAACATAGCTTATCGTGGATAGAAGCACAGGATATCGTTTGATGCTTCTTGGCACAATTTTTTAAATATCATGGCATATTTCACTCCAAGAACACATCAAGGACACGCAAAGAGAGAAAAGAGGGAATGCCCCAGCCAGCTGGGGGGCATGCATTCTCTGGAGGAAACACGATGTGTCAGCTACTGTGAATCGTGGTGATTGGACCATGGGGCATATCTTCGACGCCCAGCACTGCCTAGTACTAGGCTAGCTAGTACTACTCTATAGTAGTAGTACTTCAAGAAGAAGTGTTACCTTCCCAAAAGAGGTGATCAGTCTTGCAAGGGGGTCTACATCGTGCATCCTCTAACTCTTGCCCCGACAATGAGACGAAATTGAAAATACTCCAACCATTTTGGTCAAGGAGGAGATGAAGTAACAATTCCCTGTCATATCTTGGGGGGAAGACCTTAAAAAGTTTAGTAGAAATGATTGTTATATTTTTCTATACTTCGTTGTTTGGATGTGAGGTACTAGTGCATGTGCCCTTCTCAATTAATTGACACGTAGTATTCCAATAGATACCAAAATGGCCGCCGACCCGATACTTAGGAGAGAATATGTCTGGTTGATTCTAGGGGAAGAAGTGCCAAGAAAAAAAACATACAAATAAACGATTCACAGTCAACTAATATCTTATATTATACTGGGGTGTTATATTATACTATGGAGACCTTCGGCTATGAAGTCATGCGTTCTAGGAGCGAAACTTGAACAACGGTATCGCCACTCCACCACATCCCTGCTTTTCGTCGTGACAGAAGCCGCCACTAGTGTTCTGGGCTCAATCCAATTTTGGATTTAAACCAGAAGTTTTTTGTATCTCTGCTGGACCCAATGGTTCGCTGCAAAAGGCAAGGTTGCAAACAGACTGTCATCGGTTTGACAACGATATCGGCCATCTGGCAGTGATCTTCTCAGCAGAGAACACAGACATCCAAGCAAAACAACGACCGGTATCAAATCAAAGCATCGATAGCCTCATGGACCAGCCATCACAGAACAGTGTTGATTGTTGAGTCAGGGGATGAAGAAGTGTTGTCGAAACTGGAGATGAAGAAGGAATGCCATACAGCATGTTCTTCGCAAAAGAGAGCCAAAATAATGCTCCTGACGGTCCTTTGTCGTCATCATGGACATGGTAATATCAACAAGAACTCAACAGACGCCAACACAAAGAGGATCAAGTAGCAAGTTATCGTGTCCCCAATAATGTGGTGGACACTCAAAGCATCGATAGCCTTATGGACCAGCCATCATAGAACAGTGTTGATTGTTGAGTCAGGGGATGAAGAAGTGTTGTCGAAACTGGAGATGAAGAAGGAATGCCATACAGCATGTTCTGCACAAAAGAGAGCCAAAATAATGCTCCTGACGGTCCTTTGTCTTCATCATGGCCATGATAATATCAACAAGAACTCAACAGACGCCAACACAAAGAGGATCAAGTAGCAAGTTATCGTGTCCCCAATAATGTGGTGGAAATCAAAGCCCATTTCCGTCCACGGCTGATTGATATGTTTGGCAACAAAACAAGAGGATTTCAACCTTGCACAACGCCAGCAAAAGTGGGCAAATGTGCATGTGCTGGATGCGAAGCCGAGTCTTGTGCAAAAGAAGGACCTGGAGCGCACCGTTGCAAGTTTTGTTGCAAGTTTTGTGGTATCCCCGTCCATGCAGCGTGTTCCGTTGATAGATGATGGGTTGACAAAAGCGATGCCACCAACCCTTGCCTGGTACAGGTTTTGCAGTGAGCCATTATTGAGAAAATCCACAGCGAGGCCAGAGGTATTACATTTACATAAATATCTTGGTTTCTCGTGTCTCGTTTCGTTTCATTTGTTCGTTCCATCGATATTGATGTTTGATGTTTTCGTACATATTTGAATATATACCGTGCGGTATCTGAAACCAGACCAGTATTCTGGTCTACGTTCAAATTAGTACGATTTCTACGTAACAAAATGAGTCCCAACTTGAATTCGCATCGTGTATTCGTAACCCGGAGTGCCAATATACTTTTCCGCAATACCATGTGGGAACTAAAATTTCACTATAATCGTATGGTAGATGATTTCCAGGTATTGCGGAAAAGTATATGATTTTGATATACGTTTCGTGCGGAAATGCGCGGTAACGGCAATATGGATAAGCCTCTTAATTGAATCTTCCGAAGTCCGTGAGGACGTTGGCCAATTACTTCAACAGATCACAACGGCAATGCAAAATGTGCGGATTAGGACGGCGCCCAAGCCCATAGCCTCCAAGGCATGCGCCAAAAAAGGATCTCAACAAGGGATCCACCATTCCTTGTCAAGAAAAGGGAGCCTGCATGGGGCAAGGGCCATCGAATCAAGTGGTGCAAGTATTGCAAGATTTTTCGGTCGTAGGTTAGTTTTGGTGTAAAGGGGAGTGCCACCAAGTGTGCTCCCTGTTGGCAACCCAAAGCGGATCGATACAGAGACAGCAACAGCAGAACAACTGGGCACAACGCAACCGAAAAGTAGTGTGTAGATAGACCACAAATATCAAGTTGATATGGAGAATTTATTTTTTTCAAATTGGCTAGATCCCCTACTTGATGTTGGTTCCTCAATTTCATATGGTTGGAATCTAGGCCACGAGCTTTCCTTTCATTCGTGGATCAAATCCTTACGCCTCGTTTCATGAAGAGACGGCTGACAATTTTGTTACCATTCTGCTAGAAAGCTTCTACAAGGTCCGGTAGCGGAGGAGACACTGTTTCCAGTCTACTGTCGGTGAGTGAAGGTGCTCGTGATCAAACTCATCATAGTTCTTCTCACGTGTCCACGTAGTTTGCGATCAAAGAAGTGGTAGGCAATGGTAGCCAATCGCAACGTCTGTGTTAGAGACAGAAGAAAACGGTAGAATGTCAGATGTTGAGTGTGAAGGTTGAATATGAAACAAAGCACTGGTTTGATTTTCGTTCGTTCCGTAATTTCACAACTCAACACATTCAGACAATGTTTTGTCTTATTTAGAGAGATTCCCAATGTGTTTTTATTCTTCCCTACAAACAATATAGTAATAATGGATACCCAGAAGAAGTACGTACATGTATTTACTTTTTCATTTTGACAGTGAACCTGTTTGAAAGGTCGATAGGTGTATTATGCTGCTGTTTTTTTTTTGTTTTAGTTTTGGGTCGGTCGGTACCAGTAGCGGTTTTATTGGCTGCAGTTGATTGATTCATTCGAATGTTTTCAGTCAAATTGGTCAAAACTAAAACATGAAATCGAAGAGTAAAGCAAGAGGGAAGATTTCAGGAAAGTGTGCGTGAGATGCATTCCTACAAATTCAACCTACCAATTCTTGTATTGTGATGCGCACGCGTCAACTGGTAACTTTGATCGTCCTTGCGATCTGTTCGACACATACTTACGCCTTAACGCCTTCACAATCCACTGGTGAAAATCCAAGAAATTCACTTGGTACTACTACTATGTCATCGATCGCGCCAGATACGAGCGCTTCTCCAATTCCGAACTGGCGAGCCATTCCCGCTGACGCAACCGACTACCATGAACATTTGGCTGCTCGACCGAACTGGTCGGATAATCAATATGAAGCCTCCCTAGAACTCTACAATAGGTTCATGAGCTGCTCAGATTCATATATGAACTCCGAAATCAAGGATGCACTGAATACGCTGGATCACGCTTTTCGCCTGTACGGGCAACACTCAGTAATCTGTTCATTCAATGGTGGGAAAGATGCAGTAGTAATTCTACATTTGGTGAGAGCAGCTCATGCGCACTATTGCAATGTGACAGGACAGCCTCCAAAGCGCCCAAGAGTTGTCTATTTTGATCACAAAGACGAGTTTCCAGAGGTGTTGTCTTTTCTTCGGGAATCAGTCGATCATTACGATTTGGATATGTTAGCATTTGAAATGGGAGTAAAGTTCTCGGATGGGCTCAAGATATTAGTGGACAGAAATATTTTGCCAGGATGTGATACGCCATTTCCAATGGGGTTTGTTTTGGGTACTAGAAGTTCTGATCCCAACGCCAATGGACAAGATCGCTTTGCACCGTCGTCTCACTGGATGCCACCATTCATGCGGGTCAATCCAGTGTTGGAATGGACATATGGACATATATGGCACTTCCTTAGGCTGTTTCAGTTGCCATACTGTCAGCTTTATGACCAAGGTTATACAAGCTTAGGGACGACAAAAGATACTCTGCCTTGTCCAGCTCTTGCTGTCAACACTGGAATCGCAGGTGGTGGAACATCGTCTGATCTACCAAAGTTTTGGCCTGCTTACATGCTTCGAGATTATTCGATGGAACGAGCTGGCCGCGTCAAGAAGGAGAAGGAAACTTCGTCAAGAGACTCGAAAAAGACGATACCCCGCACAGTCAGTAGCGGAGACACAACTATTTCGGATGTCCGGTTGTCGGATCCACTTCCTCAGACGGATACTGGGTCAAGTGTCACCGGTGTAGGTCAAGATGACAGTTCTGCTTTTACGCTGAATGATTCCGACGGGAATAAAGCGGTTGGGATTTTAATCATCGGAGATGAAATTTTGAAGGGACTCACCATCGATCAAAACACAAACGTTGCTGCAAAAGCACTACGAAAGGAGTGTGTGACTCTAGCTAGAGTCGTTGTTGTATCGGACGATCAAGACGAAATTGTGAAGGAAATCCGAAGGCTCCAAAGCGAGGTGGATGTCATCATTACGTCAGGAGGTGTTGGTCCTACCCATGATGATGTGACAATCAAAAGCGTTGCAGCATCGCTGGGACAAGATATGATTCTTCATGCGGAAATGGCTGACTTGCTGCGAGAAAAAATGAACAACCCCGACGGCGAGTTAACTCCTGCACAAGAAAAGATGGCCACACTTCCCTCCAATGCTAAGCTACGATACCTATCGAACTCTGAATCCGACTGGCCTGTTTTACAATGCAGGAATATCTTCATTCTGCCAGGAGTTCCAGAGTACTTTTCCAAGAAGATTGAAAGCGTTGCAGCCTATCTGTCATCGCAGCTAGAACGTAGCACTGCCTACAGGTTGGTTCTAGGTGTTGAAGAAGCTTCAATCGTTGATACTTTGAATGAAGCTGTCATCGACCATCCCAATGTTTCTTTCGGCTCGTACCCTTTTGTTAGCCACCCCGATTACAAAACCGTTGTGACGTTGGAAGGTACATTGTACGAGACGAATGTCGGCGAACTGAAGGAGACAAGTTTGACGAAGAGAAATTCAGCGGTTTTTGATAGAACAGCAGTGACAATGTCAAAAGAAGCGCGAGACCGCAACGTGCGTTTTGCATTGGATGATCTCATTAACAATCTTCCAGAGGAAGCCGTATTACGTGTCGAAAACGACGACCTGACACCTCTCAACTAAGTTAGCTAACAGGAAACAGTTATTATATTGAATATGCTTCTATTATCGATCTGTCAAATACCCCAGGAAAGTATGAGCCCCTCAGTTGCTTGCCAACTTCCGAATCGACTTGCACTTTTTAATGAATGGAGCCCATCTCGACTTTTTCTTTCCTTTCTTCACAATGGATGGCATTGCCATTTCCCTCTTGATACTGTCAACGACTTCAGGGTCGTCATTTTCTCCACCCACGACATCCTCTAAGTAGACGATATTCAGAGCTCCAGTGGGAGGTTCCAGACGATATTCTTCTCCTCTCAGACCCTTGAAGTAATACTCGATCTTGCCGTTCTCATTCACTATGAATGTTTGAACCCAAATTTCGTTTTCCTGACACTTCACATCAGAAAACTTCGAGTGAATGCTCTTGTTTCGCTTGGGCTGAAAGTCTCTCTTCGAAGAACTGGGAACGCGGATCGATTTGCTTCGGCGATGGAGGAAGTTTGGAGGATCCATCTCGTCTGGATTATTTCGGCGACTGTATTCGGCAACTGAGGCACTGCGCTGAGGATTACGTTGATCAATCATCTCTTCGTCCCAGGGTTCTTCTTCTGGTCCTTCCTGTGGGTATTCGATGAGAGACAAACCACGACGGGGTAGAGGGCGAGGTTTGTCGAATTTGGCTCTCTGAGTATCTCCAAGAAGCCCCGAAAAGGGGTTGGAGGGATCTTCTTCAAGGTCGACGGGATCCTCCTCTGGATTGGGAAGGAGGCGTGGTTTTTGAAGCTTCTTTCGTTGACGACGCGTTTGTGGCTTGGAGGAGAAGTGGCCTTCGTCAACTTCCGTCCCGAGAGAACTAAGGTTATAGTGATGACTTCCCCGGTTTTGAACTTGCGGAAGCTGAAAGTTGATCGCTTCCATGTCGTTGGAATGGATTCCTACTGGTTCCATTGTTTCGTAGTTCTGATTTCTTGAGAAAGTTATGAGCAAAGCCTTGAAGAGGTGGTAACACAATCGAGCTGCAGTTAGAACTATGAGAAAACGATGGAGGATAGATTTGTGACATCGTGCCGTGTGCAAAACTTTGTGTTGCCGTTTCTTCGCTCAATCGTTCCCGGTTTTTAAAAAGGGAGTCGAACGTGTCGGTGATCTTTTTGCGCGTCGGTTCTCTCCTTCACGACAATTTACTCTCATCGGTGACCGTATTGCCTACTTTTGCAAGCCATGAGATCAGGTAGATCTCGAGAAAACGTCTCGGTGAAAGCTAAAGCTTCGCCTAAGCCGCTGCCTGGAGACAAAGAGTTTGAGAATTATCTGGCTTTGACGGAATATGAAGTGTTGCAGGACCCATATCGTGGATTGCAATCGAGACAACAATCCCTTGAAACAGGCATATCGATCACAACTCCGTGGAATGCTTGTGTATGGGGGACACTGACACCAGAAAAAAACGAGCATTTGGATGAAGTAGCAGTCGTTCGCCATGTGGGCCATTGCGCGTGCCCATCAATGAAAGCCTGGACCAGAAAGTTGCACGAAAGCAACAAGAAACGAGGAAAAGGAAGAAAGAGAGCGAAGCTCTCGTCTCCTAGTCAATTAGATGACTTTTATGCTGTTGGAATTCGTCCAACGGACAAATCATATCGTTGTCAGTGCGATTTTAATCCTCTTTGCCTGGCCTCGGCAGGTGGAGTTATAAATGACATCCTGGTAGAAAGGTCAAAGGATACAGTCGAAGAAACAAACGGTGGTACCAGTAAAAGCGCACCTGGAAGTGAAGAACCGGGGTCAATGCAAATGGGCACAAAAATACACCGAAAGCCATTGCACGAGAACTTGAAAGGGGACAACGTTGACAATAGCAGCAGGCTGTCTGCAACCTCTGTTCTCGAGCTGGTGGATGACAATACCAACGGCAAGAATGAAAACGACGATGTCTTTACTTTCATGGAGATAGATCCCAACACAAAAAGGAACGCTATCGGATTGAAGCCCCTATGTCAAAATAGTCGCAACGTAGAAGGAGACCCTGGTCACGTATTCACAATGGAATTGCCGAACATAGACGAGGACAAGATTCACTACTCACAACCGACGAAAACAAGAATTCGTTTGCTTCGCAAATCGTTTACTTTGGAAGGCAGCAGAATTGAGCGTTATATTTCGGCTTGTTTGAGAGCGTCTGATTACGAATTCAATCATAGAGAGAACCAAAATGTTGACAAGTACTTGTCCACTATTGCTGCTTGGGAACGAACACTTCGCTTTGTAAGCCCAGCAAGACAGTCGAAAGTCGATAATCTCTCCGCCCTACTAAATTTGTCAATACCTCCTGGAATCGAAAATCTCGGAGCCACTTGCTATCTTAACACACAACTGCAATGTCTGGCACAGAATCCAGTCTTCCTGAATGGAATTTTTTCTTGGAGACCAGGAAACAGCACACACAGTATGAACGCTGTCATATCAAAGATGCAGTTACTGCTTGCGAAAATGGTTGTTGGAGGAGATTGCAAGTTGTCAACGCTAGATTTCTCCAATGCATTGGGTCTTCAGCACAACGAGCAACAGGACCCAAATGAGTTTGCGCGACTCTTGTTCGAACGAATGGAGGAGTCATTCCAACAGTGCGATAACGAAGGTGATCTGAAAAATCTTCTCCGCCGTATCTTTCAAGGTACTACAACGTACCAAACAATTTGCATGACATGTGGACAATCGTCAGAACGAAGTGAAAATTTCATGGACTTGAACCTCCCCATTGTCCGTCAAGAGAAGACTAAGGGCAATGGCAGAGAAATGAAAATAAAAGATTACTTTGGTGGGAAAATGGTTGACACGGATGTCCAGCATTGCCTTAATGATTACCTCTGCGCTGAAGTGTTGGATGGTGACAATCAGTATTTCTGCAGCAAGTGCAGTAGCAAGCAAGACGCAAACAGACTTTTGAAGCTGACTGCGCTACCCCCGGTTTTAAACGTCCAGCTATCCCGATACGTTTTTGATCTTTCGCAATATGTCAAGAAGAAGCTCTCAGATAAGGTTTTGCTCCCAACCACATTGAGCGTTCCAAAACGTGATGGATCGGAAGTATGTTACAAATTGTGCGCCGTTATGCGCCATCAAGGTACCTCTGCATACGCTGGCCACTACATCGCCGAGGCCATGGACTGGGTTACTGGGCAATGGTTTGAGTTCAACGACGAAGTAGTGAAACACTTGCCAGCAGGACCTTCTAATAGCTACGACTCTCCAGGGACCAACGAGATGAGCGAAGTGCAAGTTGCTCCTATTGGGAGCAAAGACGCTTATAACATGTATTATGTGGATGGAAAATACCTCAAAGAAAATGCAATACAAGAAATCGTGCGACGAGAAAGCCGCTTTACACGCGACCCCATCGGTAGTACTTCAGATCAACAAGATATCCTTTCAAAAATTGCGCAGCAAAGAACTGACAAGTATTCGACTCTATATGAGTACGTTCCGTTCGGTCACCGTGGCTCAAATTCTGTTGTCTTTCTTTCTCACGCTGTCTGTTTCCGTATCGCAGCATGTGCCACAAAGATACTTTACTGGCTGACCGACTTCGTCGCCGTGAAATTGGAATTCGAAAATACATGTTTCGAGACTCTTCGTCGCTAGCAGTGGTGAGCGTAGAACCTCTGATATGGGTTGACGCAGATACACTGAGAAAATTCCTGCGCCTTGATGATGGCCTTGATGAACGCATCCGGTCCGAAGGTCCTATATTGTGTCACAAACCGCTTCTTTGCAAGCACACCAAGTTGCACCCTGTCACGTCTAGAAGGGGCAAGATTCTGCATCGGTCTACGTTCAACGCATACGTCTCTTTGCTGAAAGCTGAACAATCCAGATTTCGAGAAGAATCAAAGCTATGTGGTGATTGTAACCCAGTTTGTGACGTTGTGATCTCCTTGTCAAAAAATCTCATCTGCGACCAGTGTTCCAAGTCTTATAGTAGTCTTTTAGCTACTCGACTAAAACTACTCAAGGATATCAAGGAGTTGTATGACTGCCTCGATCCAAGTTTGGACAACAGAGATCTGCAATTCTACAGTGAGGGGGAAGATTTCGATTGCTCTGGTGATGCATTTGTCTTCGCAGTGTCGAAGCGAATGGTCACGAGATATAGGAATTCATTCAAGGGGTTGATCCACAAATTCTCGAAGCTAAATGACGAAACAGCAGGTTCAAAGCTTGCATCCAAAGAAGATTCGTATCTCGAGGGGCTAGATCGTCTTGATTTGTCTCTCTTCCAATGCGAATATGACTCCGACTTGACGAATGCGTCCTCAAAGCGCACGGCGAACGTCACCATTACAGAGCTCGATATGTACTTCAACTCTGAGATAATTTGTGAGCACAAAAAGTGCAATGAAATGAACGACAGACGAAATGTTCGCTTTGTTTCTTGGGGAGTGTGGCAAAGACTGAAGGCAGTGTTCCCAGAAGCCATCGAATTGAAGAGAGCAAGGGTTCTAAAGGGTGCACATTTTGAAGACCATGGATGTGCAACGTGCCGAGAGGAAAAGACTCGGACTGAAGAGACTATTTCTGATTTGAAGAAATGGGCGAAAGACACTTCTGAGGATCGGGAATTGATGCGCCTGCTGAAAGAAAATGATGTAAACTGCTTTCAGACTGACCCTAGCGCCTCCTACCGCCTAGTGCATCGAAAGGATCTTAGCCATTGGCGCAGTGTAGTGAAGAAGGTTTCCGAAGCTCGGCAGTTGTGTTTCAAGAAATCCCAAGAACTGCTGAAACACTTGTCAAGCAGAATTTTTCCCAAGCACCGCAACGACATGTTCCAATGTAATCAATTTCTTGATGGCAACTTTAGTACAAGCCTTGTGCCCCTCGTCTGCCAGGAACGCAAGCAGGTGATACACGATCACATATTCCAAAGCCTGGATTCAAATTGTGATAAAGAGGAGGGAACGAGAGCTCTGGCGATCTGGGTAACTGTACTGCCAGATCCAACGTATAGGTCTTTTGTCGCTTCACTCGCCAAGTTACTGCAAATGCTTCGGCCTTCATATTTGAACCAGCACAATGTTGAAAGAGCGTGTCAATCCTCTGGTGATCAAGGTCATGCAGTCTTCAGCAATTATGAGAGAGCTGCAGACGCTTATCACCCGACCATTCAGAGCATTGAGAAGGAGCAGGGTAGTGAAGATTGCAGTGCTTTCACTGTTGTATTGGATGGAGCTTCAAAATTTTACCGAGTCTCTCCACCTGTTTGCCACGTCGAACAATCTGCCGATAGGATGCTGCCATTTCTTGCAGTGGATTACGAATTTCAGGAGGCATGCATTAATCACATCACAGCTAACAATATTCCAACAACGAAAAGCAAACGCTCGGCAGTTTGTGTAGATGGAACGAACCCACAAGAACCCATACTGGTAGAATCGGACGTTGAGTGTGCGCCGACTTTGCCGAAACAGTATAAACTTCGTGTTTTCAACTTGGCGGACACGGGTAGTATTGGTGAAGCAATAAACTGCCTTGAAAACAGATCCACTGTTTTGGCCGTTGAAGAGGAGAAAGGATTGTTTGGGTTTGTTCGGCGGTCAACTCGAAAGAAGAAGTCGCAATACCCTCTTGGGTGTTTGATCAACGAAATGGAAACAAAAGTTGACACGCATCTCAATGTTGCTGCCCTCAAGCTCTTGCTATTTGAGCGGTGTCAGGTCAGTATTACAGGACGAAAGCTAACATTGGCTGTATTTTGGAAAGGAAATCATCAGGGACAACTAGATATTAGATCGGAATGGATCGAGAAGCCAGTCAGTGATTTAGTCAAAGACATACAGGCACAAAGCAAGGAAGAATTCCGGAGCGAGACATTATATGATCCATCTACTGAATTGTATGTATTTCACCAACGCGACAATACTGGATCTAGCCAAGGCTTGGACGAAAGTGTTATGGACTCCCTGCTTCAAACTGCAATCTACCACAAAACGGAAGGTACAAAAACATCCAATGGCAAGAACCGGAAAAGAAAGCAATCCGCCGAGCGGGGATTTCAAGGAACATTGCTCCACTCTGGACCATCCGTACAAAAGACAAATAGCGATTCATCTGACGACGGGCAAAGAATCAGCAAACCAATGGATGCTGCTCTCAGAAAAGACCGTGCAACAAACATTCCCAGTGTGGAGGGACTGGCAGCCCTAGAGAAGCCAGCCTCTTGTTTGTCTGAAAGTGACGACGACATTCCCAAAGCTTCCCCTTTTGCTTCTAGACAGACGACAAAGGTGAAGCTGGCGGAAAATTCAAATGATGATAAGCACGACGACTTCCACCATGATATAGTCTATGTTGAGAGTACACAAGAGTTCCCCATTGATACCAAAGATCCTGACAAAAGAATCGACTTCATTGTTGAAGGACCCAGCAACAATTGTATCTTGCACGACAGTGTTGTGAGCCAAGTACTTAGTATTCTGGGTGAATCTGCAGATCAATCAACATGCTGGGATGCTGTTGAATGGGCAATAAAGACGCACCCAGACGAGAGGAATCAGGAGTCCCTCGTTGCAACTGTTGTGAATAAGGTTCTGGAATCGTACGATTAGTTCTTCCTTTGAAAGCAAGATAGAGCTAAATCTGTCTGAATACGATTCGATTGATTCATTCATTGATTCATTCATCCATTTTCGAATTTTTAGAGAGTGACACGCCCGAAGCTGCGTCACACCATATGAATTCTTGCTCATCAACTGGCAGTCGTAGATTTCTTCCTTTCGACCACAGAGACAATGAGAACACTTTCCCGAAATGCAACTACAGGGTTGGGTCGGTCTGCTAATGGATTCGCTATAAAATCAGGAGTAGAAAAGCGAAGTTTCAGTGGGAAGCAACTAGGCAAGAATGCAGGGAAGTCGAAACCACGTCTGAAGACAGCTTCCATTGATGTAAATAGTGCTTGGTACAGCAGCACTCGTGCGAATCCAGGTTCTCTAGAGATGGGTCGCTATGGTCTGAAGCGATTGGACTACAGAACAATGGAAACTCCAGTTTGGAGCATCCCACCCCACCCTCCAACAAAATCAACTTCAGACAGAGTCGTATTTCCCATTACTTTGTTGACAATCGGCAGTATTATTGTATGGGCATACTTGAATCCAGAAGACGAAGATATGAAGGATTATTGGAAACGAGTCGAAACAGGACAAATTCTTGAGGATGACGACGAGGACGACGAGGACGAAGACTAGGCGGCACAAACAGCCAAATCACGCGAGTGAGTCCTCACAACGTTTCTTAACACCCCCATTTCCTGTTTCATCATTACGTAGATCTTGTAATTTGAGTAGATCATCCAATAGGACACAAACGACAGTTGTATTGTCAAATTGACCATAATCTTACACCATGCATTTTGTCATACTTTATTCCTCTGTGTCATGGAGGGACTGCGCAAGCTATTATATTAGACGAAAACAGAGCTGGTAATGTAGCAGCAGCAAGCTCTCGTCTATACTTTTCATAGTCTAGAATGTTAGTCATTTGAGGAACTTCCAAGTTTCGGGTTGCACTTTGTCTGTGTCCAAAACTTGGACTACACAAGTACCACGTCAAAAGTTGTAGACAGAAAGGGAGGGAATGGAACACATGGAGCTGGGATCTGTCGTGTGTGCCGTTCTCATTGGCTAGAGCTTTTCGTGCAAACCCCGAAAAAGGCCAAAGCAACGACACCACCTAACCCACCTAGTCCACCTTCAGTACTCCTCGCCCCAGGAGGGAAAGTTATGGAATGCAGCCAGGAGGATCTCCTGGCCCAGCCAGAGGCGAGGCAGAATCTAGCTGGAATCCCTGCCCTGGAACTCGCAAGAGCCGCAGGACCAGGATTTCATCCAGAACCAACTCAATTTTCCTTGGGTAGTGACAACAGTATCTATTGCCAAACAATTCTTCGTTCACTTTCTTCATTACGGTAGGTCAAGGGTCAAGGTATTATGATCTTGAATCTGAAACGACTAAAACGACTTGTCGTCTGCCATAGTACGGAAATCAGTTTGGAAGTTTCATTGGTTGGTGATGACAGCAGCACAATAATACTGTAGCAATCAATCAATCAATCATGTTCCGATCATTTTTAACATCTAGCCTCCGCGTTTCGTCTAACTTCAACAGGAGCAATCCTATCAGATGCTTTTCGGACGCCGTTTCATCAGGCACAGTCAAATGGTTCGATTCCAAAAAGGGATTTGGATTCATCGTTCCCGATGATGGATCCGAAGATGTCTTCGTCCATCAAACCGCGGTTCACGCAGAAGGATTCCGATCATTGGGGGTAAGTGAGGTCATCCTCGCATCTTCATTTCCAACTGGCATTCATTAAATTCACCCCGATTTTTGTCTTTCCTCAGGATGGTGAACCAGTTGAATTTTCTGTTGTGGTTGATAACAACGGACGAAGCAAAGCAGAGAATGTAACAGGACCCATGGGAGCATTCGTGCAAGGCGCTCCCAGAAGCCCCCGATTCACAAACGATGATGGCAGCTTTGGAGGAAATGATTTCGGTGGAAACGACTTTGGCAACCGCTAAGTTAGAAGTACTACCATGGGTTATTCTTCCATGGCCAGTGTTCGATTAGATTGAGCACCTAAGAGTTTAGAGTCTTTATGAACAAAACTATTGGAGTTCTCACCATAAATGAAAATCCAGGTTTAGATCCCTGCTGATTCGGCAGCATCACTTGTTTATTTAGCGCATGGCGAGTAGTAAACAGTTGTGACGAACTTTGTTTTGTATCGTTGCGTTATACCCAAGACCATCATATTGTCCCTAATAGCAGTGCAGTAGAGGTGATTCAAGGCCACATGCTGTGGCACGGGCAGCGCAGCTGTGTCCTGAAGCTGCGGTGGCTTGTTCAGTATGATATGACGAAGGTGCGGGGGCAATGGAGGTGGCTCCTTTGTAAAATCATCCAAGTCCGGCTGTAACCTGGAGAACACTTCGCCATCCTTATCTGGTTGATTTGGTCCGGCATCAGAGGCAGCGCTTTGTTGATCTGTGTATACTGTCTCGGTTCCGTCGCCACTGTATCCATACTCAGCAGCAGCCTTCTCTTTTTCAAATTCTCTGTCTCCGGTATAAGCCTTGAAGTCAGTAACATCAATGAAATTGTTGATGCGACCTTCAATATCTGCTACTGTGGGCTGGTCAGGCGCGAACCGCCATTCGTCATCGACAATGAATTTAAAGGCGTGCTTGCCCCTTTTCAAATTGTGAATGTACGTAAAGTCATTACCAGATCGATGCATCGGAATCTGCCGTGACCACCCATTGAAGGTTCCCGTAATGTACACCTGTCGTCCTCCGTGCTCCCACCGAAAGACAGTTGGCACTGTGTCATCATCTATCCAATTCTCTATTGTCCCATCGCCCGAAGCAGCAATTGCAGCAGCCGTTTTATCAGCGTCCAAAAGTGTCATCGATGTGTCACTCCCCCTTCGTACTTGTTGTTGTCCACCAGGGTATCCCCCACCAGGTCCAACACCAATTGGGTAACCACCGTATGCTCCAGGAGCCATTCCAGCCCGATTTCGTTGCCTGGGGTCATCACCAGGTTGAGGTCCGCCAGGAGGACCAGGTTGTTGATTGCCCATCTGATTGCTCGAGCTTTATCTTCTTGAAAAGTGATATTTTTCTACAGCAGTAGGCTGCTTTCGTTGTTACAATGTGAATACAGTCTATTGCAAAGGCTTTCGTCCGCTCTGATCAAAATAACCTCTACTGGTATCGTACTTGTATTGTACTACAGGTACCTGGTACTGTGTTGGGTGTCAACACCAAGTTGTCAACTTGGAAGTTTTTGGGCGGAACCAAGGATTTTCCGTAGGTAGCAAAACTACCGTGTTCTTTTCGACATCATCGGTCTGTGCGCCACATCGAAACTATCCAACGCGTGGCGTACAGGAGTTGATGTTTTGGCATTTGGATTTGACTTTGTTGCTATTTTTGGATTTGTTGCCAAATTTTCTCATCGGTTTGAGAAGCGACGAACCATGGTGAACCAAAGCCGACAAGTCGCTTCTTTGCTCGCAGCGGCTTTAATTGCACAATCTGCTCATGCTTTCGTACCACCTGCTGCACCCCAGGCGACATCTACTCCAATTCCTACTGATGTTGCTCTCTTCGAATCCAAGGAGGACCATGAATCCCCTTCGAGTCTTCGTTCTTCTGCTGTAAAGAAGTTGTTCTCGGGTCTGAAAAAGACTGCAAAGTTCCTTCCAGTTGTCGTAGCATCAGCGGCTTTTCTTGTGGCGTCTCCAGATAAGGCAGAGGCGTCAGCTCCTGTCATGGCCATGCCAAAGGCTGACGAACGCGATCCCGCAAGCGATGCCCTGGAGAGCCACCAACGGAGAATGCAACAAGTCGCCCAAGAAGAGCTTAGGACATTCACGGAAAAGGCACGGCAAATTGAAGTCTCCGAAGGACCAACAGCACGTGCGGATTTCGAGGAAGCCTACAAGGCCAATAAAAAACTAAAGGCTCAGGAGAAATTGGATGCAATTGAAAAACTAAAAAATGATTTGCTGGATCAAGGAATCTGCCCCTTCATTGATATTGAAGGACAGCGGCAAATGATTTCGATTGAGAAGGGAGTCGATCTGGGAGAGGTGTCAGGTACTGCGTTCAATCTAGAGAAGGAATTTGAAAAGCGCAACCCCCAGCAAACCTTTAGAGTTCGAAAGCAGGCCAACCGTGAAGTCATCAAGTGCATGGTCGAAGATATGAGAAATCGAGATATTGATCCAGTTGATTACTTCAAGACTCATCAGCAGAGAACAGCGGCAATCCTGGAGTTGCCAGCAGCCCAAGCAACGTCAATGGCTACAACGTACCGGGCCAATCTCGACTTGTATGGACAAATTACAGTTCCAAAGGAAGGTGAAACCAGTGCAAAGGAAATTATGGCAAAACAAGGAAAGTCAAAAAGTAAGGAGGAAGCAAAGCGGATCAAAGCTGAAGCGAAGGCAAAGGCTGCTGCATTGAAGGCCGAAGCTAAGGCTATGGCTAAGGAGGAGAAGCAAAGGGCAAAGGATGTGAAACAAAGGGCAAAAGCAGAAGCTTTGGCTTTGAAGGAAGCAGAAAACAAAGCAACCGAAGCTGCGACAGCTGAGATAGAATCATCATTGGCGTCTGAAGACGATTTGGATCCGGTAGTTGGCGATTTGGAGCCGGGGTCAGCAGAGGAGACGAATCCAGAAGTTGTCGCGGCAGAAAAGAAAAAGCTCCCAATCGTTCCAGCTGCCACAGTCCTTGTTACTGTTGGGGGTGGTGGTTACGCTCTGAAGATGGCTCGCGATAAAGCCGCAGACGAAGAAGCAGAACGGCAACGTCAGTTTCAACTGTTGATGGGGGGCCAAGATACGGAATCTTCTCCTGCTGCAGCTCCGGCTCCAGCTCTAGAGGAAGTAGATGCTGATTTGTCTGAAATTAGTTCTACAGACCAGAAAAGTAAGGCAACCGACGAGGTTCAGGCTCCACAAGAAGTTGCTGCTCCAAAGAAGAAAAAGAAGCGTGGTTTCTTTGGAAAGAAAAAAAACAACCGCGAGACCGATATCACTGCTCTTGTTAGCTCGGATGCAATGGCACCTGCTTTTGCTACGGTTCTTGCTAAGATTTTGACATTTGGGGCGCCTGGACGATTTCCTGAAATTTTGGCTCTTCCAGGTGATATGCCAATGCAAGAGTTTTCTGTAGAAGCAGCAACCGGAATGTTGGTTGAGGCGCAAGCAAACGCTGGTCTCAGTCGAGAAAACGCAGCGGAAATCTTTGCAAATGTAGTCAACTGCATGTTGATCGACATCGTGGACTTGGCTTCCACTTCCTTGAAAGAAAAGGACAGCAAACTCACTGTTGAAGCAATTGGAATTGTGATAGACTTCATGAATCACGCCTCTTCACTATACAACTCGATCGCAGAAGGGGTGGTCATCGTGCCGGTCACTTATGGAGGAGATCTTGCCAAGGGAAAACTGGAACAAATGTACAGTGCATACGCAGTCTCTGCCATGACTAACCTCGGTTCAGTCGATGAAGACTTTGACGATCGAGTTAGGCTGCTACAAGATGTTTTCCAAATTAACGAAAAAAAAGCAGAGGGTTTGATGATGAAGGCCATGCAAAAGAATATGATGGAGATGATGAAGTCCGGTGAAGGAATGGAAGGGCTTGAAGAAATGATGAAGGGAATGGGAGATATGGGAGATATGGGTATGCCTGGAATGCCTGGCATGGATGGAGAAGAACCGAGTCCAGAGCAATTAAAAGAAATGCTATCTGCATTGAAGGAACTCAAAGATTCTGGATCCATTCCTGACTCAGAATTGGCCGAAGTGAAGAAACAATTCAGAGAAGCATTCGGGTCTAGTATAGATGAAGTGATGAAAGATGCGAACAATGCAGGAGGTGAAATGTCCACTCAAGACAAAGAGCTCTTGGAGCTAATGAAGTCTATATTAGATTAGGCGGAGTTTTTCGTAGACCACCGATCCTTTGGTATGATAAATTGTTTACAACATTGTACCAGCAGGTATCTAGATACCGGTACAGTACCTACTGTAGTTACAGTAAAACCTCAAATTGAGTCCAGCGCAGCGCGCACACAGGATCCAATCTTCAACAAAATCACAAAAATAGAGTGAGTCGTTGCGAATCATCATGACAGCAAACAGGTTCATGACATATTCCCTTTCGACGCTGGCGCTCTGCCTCCTTCTTTCCACCACGAATGGTTTTGGACCACCTATAATTGGCAGGCATCTACAGGATGTTGTTTCGGTATTACTGAAACCAACTTGCGCAACGAATTCAGACACATCGGAACAGAGTAGTTCCAAGATCAGACAAATGTCTTGGTTCCTGACCACACAACTCCTAGAAACGACGTTAAGAGAAGCTTCGAAAGGAGAAGATAAGTCGAATATTTCAATGGATGACATTCAGAAGCTTGCCGATGTTCTTCAGCGAACTGAAGAGGAAATGCTTCAACCACCAAATGCAGAAACCTCTGAACTTGACGAGGGAGCAATGTCCTCGGAGGTCAAGGATACAAAAAGTGAGGTCACTGTGGTCGATGAAAAGGATGAATCTCTCATGGCGGAAGACCAAGCGCAAAATGCAAGCGCAGGAGCAGAAATCATGGGCTCTCAAGCGGAAGGTCTTGTCACTACTAAATCCATTGAATCTGAGAATGCAAGCAATGAAGTATCCTCGCAAGAGGCATCGACTTCTGAGCTTGCTGTCCATCAGCAAGAAGGTGCAAAGTCTGGTATTACCGAACCAGATTCACCGACCGAAGCGACAGCAGAAGAGTCAGAAGCAGAACTTTCTGTGGAATCAGCGATCGATTCTACAACTCATGTCCAACCTGAAATCGGCACTGCAGAGGAGAAGTCGAATGCGGAAGTCGTCAAGGAATCAATATTCGACGGTGAAACGAATAAAATTGCTGTAAGGGAAGGAGACACTCCTCGTGGCGAGGAAGAGGAAACCGACAACGGATCTCTGCGGCCTGGCGCTGCCAGAATCCCAGATGTCATTTCAACAACATTTGGCCGTTCATTGGAAGTAGTTTCGTCGGCCATCCCACCACTGCGTGATTCTTCTATACCCAAAACTTCAGGCTGGGCACCATCAATACAAGCCCCTAAAAAATCACGGGATGAAACAACAGGAGAGGCAAGTGAATAATCATGCCACGGGACTCTCTCTCGTCTGAAACAAAATCCTAACCATAATGCAGCAGATTGAATCAAATACAGTTATAGAGAGATCGTCATCTACCACCACCGCGGTGTCACTACAAAATTCATGGAGGGTACCCTTAGAAAAGAGTGGAACCGAAGATGACATTGATCCTGAGTGTGCAGCAAAAGCGTTCGAGGATCGAACGTTTTATAATGTTTCGCCAAAGGAAGAACAACCAAACAGGATCGAATCCACTGATAACAAAGAAGATGGTGTTGTGCACAACGAAAGTGTAGAGGTCAAGGAGGAATGCATATCGACAATAGGAGAACCATCCACCTCCAAGAAGCTGATACATATGGCTTCGAGAGTGACTCCAACACCAGAGGTATCGCAAGATGCACTTGGAGCGAAATATGCAGAAATGACGTTGGAGGACAAAGCCTTCGAGATTCTAAAAGACTTGGGAATGATTGAAATTCATGAGTTTTCGACTGAGGAGGAGCAAAGAAACGATTCAGTAGTCGTTGACTCCACAAAAAGTGGTTTCGAAATGATAGAGGGCGTATGCGACGAGGAGGAAGTGATGCTGGCGAGAAATACAGAATTACCACAATTGAAGAATGAGACGCTTTCCAAGCGACAACGATTCTTTCGTCCTATTCAGAGAGTGCTAGATAAGTCAAAAGAAAAGTTTGTTGTAAAGAGCGCTGCCACCACGGTGACACCGGAAGATACAACATTATCTTTGTCGGAAGCCACTACGAGGGCTCGACGGCAGCCGAAATCCGCTTCGGAAGAAGCAATACTAGCAGAGAAGTATGGTCAACTGTCGATTGAAGATCGTGCTTATGCAATTCTATGCGATCTAGGGATGATCGAATCAAATTAAGAATTCGATGCGACTGATATATTCAAACGCATTATTGGGGGTTTCATTACAGCAAGATCATCAAAGGAGCCTTCCTTGCTCAGAAGCATCTCTTCGCTTTGGTAGCTTGGGCGTTCTTGGATTCTTGCCGCCTTGTCTTAGCTTGTCAACCTCTGACCGCACAATTTCAATAATTGCCGATGGTACCAAGTTAATTGACTCATTTTTTCGAATTGTGTTTAGTATCTTGTCCGCTGCTGTTTCATCCCAACCAGTTACCCCTACAATCTGTTCAGCTCGAACAAGATTGTCATACAGCCTCATGACGATCACAATGCCATCATTTAGACTACACACAACTTGATCGGAACCAACGACCTTCGTCAAGACTTCTTTACGAAGCAATGAAAGATCCTGGACTCTATTTCTATGTATTCGGACACGTGCACAAGTTTCTCGCAATATGAAACGGACATCATGGGGTGGAGACAAGTTCGTCTTTGCCACTTCTACGAGGTCATCCAATGAAGACATTGGCAAAGAGTATGGGTCTGTATTTTGTACAGGACATGGCTCATAAACTACCGGCTTGGTGATCCATTGAGCATTGACGAGCTTGAGCTCAGATTGGCGGTACACTTCAAGTACAATTTGCACTTTAAACTCGTCGTACATTAGCACTTTCAACACCAGATGTTGCGTCTTAGAGTCTTCCTTGACTTCCAATATCTTGATTCCACCCAATTCTTCCAGGACTTCACGAAGGCTATCGTAAAACGACTTAATCTCTTTGAGCTCTTGAACCCTTGCCTCAAGTTTTTCCTTATCAAGTCCTGCTGTTTCTTGATGTAAAAGCACAAGATTCCGCTGCTTTTCCTTGGTAGTATTTTCCAATTGCTCTCTTTCCTTTCGGATTGTACTCAACTGCTGTTGCAACTGTATTTTCTTACGTTGCAATTCTTCAATGTTTTCCTGCTCCGCGACGATGTCGTCGTCAAATACACTATCAGTATTGCCATCACCACTTTGGTCATCATCGATTAGCATTTTGCTTTCATCATCGTTGGTTTCTTCCTCTAAATCTTGAATCATTTGTTTTAATTCGAGTCTTTTGTTGGTGATAGACTGATAGGAAACACGTAAATAGTCGGCCTGCTCATCAATTCCTTGCACCGTTTTTTGTAGTTTTCCCAAAGCTTGTTCACGTTGTTCCTCTAATTCTTTATCCTTTTCGACCGTAGGGAAGTCAAAGTGACAAGGTTTCTGATCATCGAAAGTGCCTATTCTTTCCACCAGCAGTCCTTCTAGTCGCTTATGGTGATATGACTGTTTTGCTCGGCAATAGCGCTCCATCAAGGTTCCATGATCAACGACTCCGGTGGGAGAAGGGGCTCGCTTGTCTGCTATGGCATGCCATTGCGAAAAGTATTCAAGGTTTGTCTCGGCATTTTCCATTGTGGAAACGACATCTTGTAGGTCTTCGACGGTACGTTTTGTCATGGTGAAGCACTTGTATTCGAGAGTTGAAATGGATGTACAGTACTGGTATTGGTACTGTACAATACAAAACTTTTTGCCTACCTCTAGAAATTCAAATTCAAAATGGTTACATCATGTACATATATATCACGAAGATAGTATTGTTTTGCGCGGTGTGCGCATTGGCACGTTTCGGGAGACGTGTACATGTACGGTTGACGGTCGATCCAAACCTCATTCATTCGTTCTTCATCTCATCATTTTTCATCGGAGGACGAGTCCGTTCATTCGTTCCTGTTATTGTTGCACTTATTCTGTACACATGGGAAAATTACGGGGATTGAACCAAAAGGCAGCAGCGGCCGCTGAGCAGAAACTAGCGAATCAAAAAGTGAAGGATGCAGCGGCAGCCGCGACCGCCGAAAAACAGGCTGGAGTGGAATGGTCAAAGGGAGCCAATCTTAGGGGACAGCAAAAGATGGAAGCTGCGGCCTTGAAAGCTGACGAGCAAGCTCGAAAAAAAAGAGAGAAGGCAGTATTATTGGCGGAAGAGGAAGCAAATACTGGTTCTTCTAAGCCCAAGAAAGCACCAACTCTATCCAATAAGGGAAAGAAAAAAAACAACGACCTTTCGCTTCTAGAAGATGCTTTGGTCGGAGCTGCTGATAAGAAGGTCAAGTCAAAACGAGCAGCAGAGCGACAAAAAGCAGAAAAGCAAAAAACCGAAGAAGCACGAAAGCGAGCCGAGCAGAAACCAGTCGATCCTCTCTTGGCTAACACACAGAGTATGATTCTCGGTACGGAAGACGAAATGGTGGGCCGAGCCGCCAATAAGGCACTGGAGGTGGAAGGTGCAGGTGGCATTGATAATGCCCTTAATGCTTTGAATACCGGCAGTGCAGCAACAAGTGAACCCACGAAAAAGGCACTCTATAAAGCTTTTGAAGAGCGAAAGATGGCTGAGTTGAAATCAGAGTTGCCAGGTAAGAAGCACAGCGCTTGTTGATCAGTGCAAGAACTGGACTTGTAACTTACACGTCCTTTAATCGTAGGCCTGAAGATGTCGCAATACAAAGACAAAGTTTTCAACCTTTGGAAGAAATCTCCGGAAAACCCCAAAAATCAGCAATAAATATTGTCAACTTTGGAACTTGACGGTTCAAAAGGCAATACTCTACGAAATTCAGGGTGACGAGGTTGGTTTCATATGCCATTTGGAAAAGATGAGAGCTACCGGCTGAGAAGACAGGCAACGTACTCATGCCACCTTGCTATTCTCTGAATGGTTTTGAACCAGTTGGAGGAGGACTCGCTCGTCTTCTTTAAGGATATTCAATATTCTATCACACTATGCAGAGGAAGGAAATAAGTGGAGTAGTAAACACTGCATTGTTATCACTCGATTGCCACTTATTACTGGCTGTCCCCACATCTCTTTCAGACGCACTTTTCTGGTGCTGCTTCTCGCAGCAAAGCCCTATCCGACCCCCAACTGGATTGAGCTCCCACCGCCACCTTCTCGTCCATCCTTTCTTCCCTTGCCGAGTCACAAATTGCACCCTCTTTGTCGAGGACCACTGTCTCAAAAGTAAATCCAATCTCCGACAAAGCCTTGACTCTATCAGGTCCCATTCGTTTCGTAACGTCCTTACCCTTGTTCTTCTTAAGTAGACGCAGCCGATATCTTTGATCCAAAATATACTTGTTTAGCTGAGGCATACTCATAGCGTCAACCTTGAAATGACCGTTGGAACTATGGAACTGAACAAGTTCTTCAAATCTTTGTTGCCAGGTAGCACGAGGTCGTTCCAGAGTTGCGCGTACGACCCAAGCAAAGTCAAGTTGATTCAATAGCTCAAATCGATCAATTGTCATGCAGCTGGATGAAGAATGGTGAGTGCAACAAGTTTCTCCCAAAGCGCGCAGACTGTATGACGCTACAATTACACCGTCGTCGGCCATAACTTACGACTTCTTTCCTTTGAGACGCATCCGATTCTGGTGCCGTTGGGTGTGGACCCATCGTCCTAGCTTAGGATTTTCTGTAAAGTGGGTTGGAACTAGACAATCCTGTCGAATTGAAAGACAAAGAGATTGTCAGAAGCGGTACAATTGAAACACCTACTGCAAGTCAATTTTCAAGGCTTACCCCGTGCTTTTTACGATATTCTTTAAGCTGACCCCACTGTTCCATCCACTTGTCATTGTGGACCGTAAAGTTGAAGCCCACCTCCTTCAACATGGCAATCCGTCCCTCCAATAGGGGGTTTGGCTTTGGATTCTTCATATGAGTATTGTAGGCCGTTCGTTGACGGTGAACCCATTCCCCAAAGCTAGGATCCGGTTTGTACCCGTGAGGGACAAGAGTGTCACCATTTTTATCTTTGTAGGTTTTGAGCTGTTCCAGCCGCCCAGCCCAATCTTCACTTTCGAGCTTGGATCTTTCGGTAGAGAATACAAATCCCAACGCCTTTAGCTGTTGAATGCGTTCAGCGGTAAGGGAACACCGCTTTTTGTAACCTTCTGGTTCTACCTTTGTAAAAATTTTGTATTGTTCACGAGTATTATGCACAAACTTGCCAAGAGATGGATTAGCCTTGTATCGAATTGGTATCAATAGATTACCGTGTTCCCTCTATTTCAAGAATCGGGATGGGTTTGATGAGATGATTTCCAGCCGTAAAAACAGTGGGTCGTCGATCGGGATGCTCTTTTCTTACCTTATACTCTTTCAGCTGCTCAAGCCTAGTAGCCCATGGAATGCGTGTAGAGGACGTTCTTGCCCGCTTGCTACTGTTGTTGTTTCCATGGTTGTCGGTGGTATTTGTTGTGGACGACGATTGCGGTAGCGCTTCTGCAGAACGCTTCTTTTGATCAGCTTCCATGAGAATCGTTGCCGCTTCTTGCATTGCAGCCAAAGCCACAGCTTCCGCTCGTGGAGGAGTTCTGTCGGAAGATGATGAATCTGTAGGTCGTCCCTTTGAAATGGCAGATGTCATTGGTGATCGATCAGTCATATTCGTTTGAATGGCGGGTGTGTTCATTGTCGGTTCGTTTGACGAGGCAGCATCAAAACCTGTTCCAGCATCTGCTGCATTCTGGATCTTAGACTCCCTCATTGAATATAGAACGCAGTTTTGGTTTTGATTTTGAGAGCTGATACTTCTGTGCCGGTACCGGTATGTAGTTGAGTTGTCGATCTAATATAAATGATGGTCGGTGTGCTGAAGTTTTTTCTGGTGTTTCGATCCTGGTGGCGGCTGGTACTTTTATTACGGCATGACCTCGTACAAATTGTTCTCTTCGACCGGTCAGAGGGGCCGAGGTTTCAACAGAGGACTGCTGTGCTCCATCATTGTGCTGTCTTGACATCGAGCAGCACACAAGCATCAAATAAACACCCTTTCCATTTTTTGATCATCTGAATATCCATCATGTCAAACCTTCCCCGTCGGATTGTAAAGGTGAGAATTTTCCTTGTCTTATAATGGATTTGGAATGCCCTTTTTGTTCTCAATTTTATTGTTGCATTTCAACAACCATATGTATAGGAAACACAAAGACTCGTTGCAGAGCCTGTGGCAGGTATAAGTGCAACACCTTATCAAGATAATTTGCGATATTTTGCTGTAGCGATTGAAGGACCTCAGGATTCTCCCTATGAGAAAGGTGTTTTCCAGTTGGAATTGTTCCTGCCGGCCGACTATCCCATGGCCCCTCCAAAAGTCCGGTTTCTCACAAAAATCTACCATCCAAATGTTGACAAGCTTGGTCGTATCTGTTTGGACATCCTCAAAGACAAGTGGAGCCCAGCCCTTCAAATTCGCACCGTCTTGCTGTCAATTCAGGCTTTGTTAAGTGCACCCAATCCAGATGACCCTTTAGACAATAATGTGGCAGAAGTCTGGAAGAATAACGAGCAAGAAGCGCTTAAAAGAGCCAGGGAATTCACTGAGAGCTTTGCGATGAAAGGGAGCAAATAATACGCTCTATAAGTCTACTTTCCGCCCTCCCACCATTTCCACCAGTGTCATGTCAAGTGCTCCAAAGCGACATTTACGATTGAAAGCTGCAATGGCTCCTCCCATTCTAGTGTGTACCTTCTATTTACGCGACTCGTATATATATCAGTTCAATAAAGTTGGCCTCTAGACTTAGAATATCAATTTTGGAGCTGCATTTGTAGTGCAAACATTAGTCCACCTTCAAAGCTCCATAGATTGCTCGCACGAAGACAAAGCTACACATGACACCCATCGCACCGCAGAACAGTGCAAAGCAGACGGAAATCATTCCCATGTAAGAAATGTATACCATCACTGGCAAGACTCCAACCAGCTGAAGACGACTCGACAAGAACCATAAGCTGTACAAAAAGAGGTACAGCCCCGCACTTGCACAATTCCAAAACGATTTCCAGTACCACCGATGATCTTCTGCACAAAGTTGCAGATATGTCATCGCAATCGATACTTCCGCACAAGTCGCAGACAGGATGAGTACTACAACTAAGGAAACGATCGGAAAAGGGGCGGTTAGAGGCTGCAAAAGGAGGTAGCGAAAAAAGGTTCAAAGCGTACCAGCCAACACGCCCATGAAATAATATATCTGATGTAACCACAATGCACTCAGAATAAAAAAGAGTTCGATGCAAACAGACCCAAACGGAAGGATTCCTCCCAATAGAAAGCTTATTGGCGGTTCCGAGTACCAAGGGGACTTTGGGACGTAGCGAGTCACCTTGTTGACTTTAGCAGGAATAGACAGCTTTTCTGCTCGGAACCCCATGAATGAACCAACAAATACAAGTGGCGTGCTCACGCAGACCCACAAAGCAAAGATGGCTAAAATCATGAAAAATCCGACAGCAGTGGCAGCTCCAGCCATATGGAGGAAGAAATTCAATATCATGAAGATCCCAACCAATACCCCCGGTAATCCGGCTGCAGTCAGAATCATGTTACGCTTCCAGGCCTTAGCGTCGCAGAACTTAAAAACACGAGCAGAAACATACCCAGCAACGCTTCCACATAGGACGTAAAGCACCAAGATCCCCGTCAATGTTTGGCCCTTGTGCATTGGATTGATGAGGCGCACCATGCAACTTAACATTGTCAACAAGAAAGCAGTTCCGATTTGTACGCCTGTTCCAACCAGGATACTGAAAAGCATTGGAGAAGCTGAGGGAGGGCGAAAGACATCTCCGTGTACCAGTTTCCATCCCGTTTCTTCCTGGGCTTCTTCCATCGATTGCATATCGTTGTAACCTGCAATATCTTTCTTGAGAGTCCTGATCAAGATTGTGGCAATTGCTCCTGTCAAGAACAAAACAATCATCAACGAGTTGATGATCGCAAATGAATGGATGTCATCATCTGGGGTACCAATGAGATACACATCCCAACGGTCCTCCCAAGGCAAGTCAGTTTCAATCCATTCAACTTCGTAGGAGAAAATAACTGGTAATTCAGCTTTTCCAGTATTTGTTTTGAGCTTGAGGTACGTGGCTGGATCGTTAGCAACTGCTTTTGCCCCTTCAGCATTGCAAGTGTCAATTTCTGTTGCTGGAGTGAGCCCAGATGCCGGAATCTCGTGAGCGATACTGATCGGATGGACGTCGAACCCCGTAATATGAACCCCAGCATCTGCATCAGACTCAGAATCTCCCACATTACTATAGGTGATTGTAAACTTTAAATGGTTGTATAAATAATACTCATCTTCATCAAGACCAGTGTAGCTTGGTGGTGCCATGAATCCAATAGGATAACCTCGAACAGCATAGTTTAATTGCTGTGATCTCATTAATACCGGAAGCGTGTCCAGTGTCATGTGTATGCGGTACTGCCTTTCAACTAGTTTCCGTAACCATCGCAGTTTTTTAATGTCGACATTACTCTGACAAAGAGGCGTGCAAGGAATATCTTCCTTGATTTTCATTGTGTACGGCGCAGGTTTCAATTCGATTCCTTGAAGACGGGCCCCAAGATTTTTGCGCTGGCGCTTACGTCTGGATTCAGTCATTTTTGGTGCAGGGCAGCCAGGTAGTTCATAGAACTCAAATGGAACTTGCGTCTTCTTGCTGTTGACATGATCTGTATACATCAGAACTTCCTCCTTCGGCATGTATACCTCAGGAGATACCCCAGGAAACAAAACTGATGCCAAATCTCTCTCTTTTCTTCGCAATAAGCCTTTTCGTCTCTTCTTTCGGAGCTGATGTTTCCGCAACAAAGCAGCCTCAGCTGTATGGCCGACTTCATCATGGCCTTGTTTCTTCAGTTCCTCCACCTTTTCTGCTTCTTCTTTTGCGAGTCTCGCCTCTTCCGTACGCTGCTTGCGACGCTCCGTCATTTGACCTATGGGATCCAAGGACACCACGGTCGTCGAAAGAGCGAGTAGAATAAGCAGCAGTAGAGGCCTCATCATAAGATCAATTTTGTTGTTGTTGGTATTTGTCCTGTTTGTGTAATACTGTAGTGTTCGTTCCGTTCGTGACAATGCGACTCAATCGAATACTTCGAATGAATCAATCATCAGCAGCCAAATGAAAAAGATCTGTTCCAGTTTCAAGTTATCTTCCTCCTCAAGGGCCTCGAGGCAATGACGGCTCAGTTTATCGACTTTAGTTAACTGATACGTTCGTTGCCCAATTGCTCATCTTTTTAATCCTTTACCCACCCTCTTGGGCCACTGTCGCCTTCTTTCATTATTGCCTACTAGTACTGTAATACGTGCCGCGGGAGTACCAGTAGGCAAGCAAGTCTCAGCAGTCCCGCTTCCCGGGAATTGTGATACAGGACTTCCGGGTTTCCTACAGTACGTACATGTACTGTACATGTTGAATGAGATGAGGGACATCACACCGCGACCCAAATACTCCATTCTGCCACAGTATCTGACAGAAACCAAACTAGACCAACACTTTCCGGTCATATATTTGGTGCTTGTGCAACTTTCCAATCCTAAACATGCCGAGATTTAGCGATCAATGGGTGATTGATAAAACAATGTTTGACGTTGTTTATGGGGGAGGCTGTGCATGTTGTTCCTTCAACTTCATGCCAAATGGAACTGTTGGACTCATACAATCGCTTTCGGAGCTCGAAACTGATGCAATGGAAAAAGAAGTATCAGCCCTGGAAAAGCTTCCCTGGCCTCAAGAGGTGAGTCGAGATGACATTTGGGGTGCTGTTTCATCATGAGTTAATAACAAGGTCGTGATGTATTGAAGCTTAAGGATTCCGTTTGGATGGATCGCTTTAGACTGAGGCAATTCTGCAAGAAGAACATGAAGGACTACAAAGCATTTTGGTTAGATCATGGTGAAGATTTTGAATGTTGGTTTCGTTCAAAATCCAACGAAAAGCTACGGAAGTTATTTCAACTCCCACGGCAGGAAGTTCTCGACCGCCTCGAGAACCAGAATTTCAAACTCCACACTTCATTTGGCACCGTATTTTGTGCTGGTAAGTCTGCATTTATCGACTCGGAATCGAAAATATGCCGATATCTGATAGTAAGCATCTTGTCTTCTCCATAGTTCTTGACCAAGTGGCAAACTTCACGATAACAGGATACGAGACTGATGGAAGAGGTGATGCTGAAATTGGCTTTGAAGGGTGCTTAAAGTTCGATCGTAGAGGTGGCTTCACGTTGATGGATGTGGACTCAGAAGATTCTAAGTCAAAATGGTTACTGAGACACAGGACTCTTGGCGGACCCAAACTGCTGGAACGAAATATGAAATGCGAAGAAGACGAAGAGCAAGAAAACAACAAAATTGATTTTGACCACGACAAAAGAATCGCTTCAGATGTGCCATCATTTCGTTCGGATCGACGGATTGTTCGACTTTTGATAGCTCGACATTTTGCAGATGTGTTGCAAAGAGCTTACTTGAAGGAGGAAAAAACAGTGGAAGAAGTAGAGAAGCCCAAGCCTTGCTAAAAGATGCAATGCACACCAATTCTGCAAAACGTAAACAGCAGGAAGTCTAAGGAAAGAATGCTAGATTTGAAAATGGACGAAATCTTAATGGCCTTTGTTACTTGCAGCACTTACAAATGGTCCCAGACTTCCCCAAAGATGTCAAAGACAAGCATTTGGCGGATAACTTTTGTTGCATTTCGTACATTTCTAAATTTTGGAGTTGGCTGGATCCCATTCAAAGATTGTGCAAGGGAGCGCTGTATCATGTGGCCACCACTAGATGTCTTAAGAATGTAGTTTTTATCTCGTTGGCCCTTCAAAGGTGTATTTCGTGCCACGAGTTCCATCGGACTTCACAGCTTGCGCTGTCCATGGTTCTGTTGGATGTGCTTCAATCGCAATCGTGGCCTTCGAAACTTTCATGATTAGACCCATTCACGTTCCATTATTGAAGAACGAAAGAAAACTCGCGAACTTACTTTGTACCAATCTTCACCCACAGAACCGGTAAGCACTTCCTCTTGCCATACTTTTTCGGAATCTGTCTGGACACTTTCCAACACCTTTGATCCATAAGGCCCTCCGGCGTTTGCGTAAACAACTTTGAAGGCATCCTCGCTCTGCACTGCTGATGATCCAGCCTGAATTTCTTTGATCATTCGCTTATCGACAGATTCTTTGGCCTGTGAAAGATCATTAATGACAAAGTGTAGAGCGAGCTTGTTGTATCGAGTCGAATCGAAGAAGTGGTCAATGTAATGAAACATTGCTACATCTTTTCCGGATGTTTCCATCAAACAATTCAAGTTCACCTTCTGTGCTTGCTTCAGCAAAATAGCACCCATTAGTTCTGATAGCGTTCTATACCTCGAAAAAATAGCAGCCTTGTAGTCGGAGTACTCTTGGACGGTCTCAGCCAAAGGAATATCCGAATCTCTATTTATCATTTGACTCGATGCCCAAGCGTACAATTTGAAAAACTCTTCATTCATCAATGTTGCAATGATGTGATCAAGCTGACGAAAAAATGAACTGAGGAATTGGGAACCATTAGAACAGTGTGCTAGACTACAGCAACAACCTGTTGTCAAAAAGAGAATCAAACTTACTTCCTTCCCGTCGGAAGATTCCCCTCCACACTTACCCCAGCTGGTGGGGACAATGCTTCGGAAAGAAGTTCTTCGAACCATGGTTGATACATACTCGTAGTTTTCCTGATGCCATTCACTCCGGTGACGAGAACTGCCCAAGGTTTCTCGCCCTTTCCCTGCCCAGCGAACGTCGAATGGGCCTTGGCTCCATCCCAGTTCCCTTCCAGTAAAATTCGCTCGAGCAGTTGCCGAGCGTGCTTCGAAATGACATCGTCTGATCCGTCGTCGTCTGAGCTTATTGATAAACTACGGCTCAGTGCATCACTGTTTCTCGACGTCCTACTCCAGTCCTTGTGACTCAGATGTGCCACCTTCTGCACCACATCTCTCAATTCTTCAAAATTTATCGACGCATCGATCGGAACCAAATTTGCGATTCCGTCGCAGATAATCGAAACTTCCTCATCAGTCATGGTATCTCCACAATTGGCCCTTTCAACCATTTTCATCACTCGTTGCTTGGTGTCGTGTTCCACTTGACCATCATCGGACAGGGTTGAAAGCTTCCGAATGGTAGGATGGCGTTGTGATGTGGTAGGAGTTGTCATCGCGACTAAAGATTTGGCAAAACACGCTACAATGAATAAAAAGCTGTATCCAATCTTCATGTTTCCATGTGGAGTTTCTTCAACTCAACAAAAACGGGCTGCGGGGCAATAAAACGTGATGTTGCAAATATTGGTCGATGTAGTCATATAATATTTAAGGACTTCGCTAACTATTAATACCTGTACCAGGTTCAAAATACATGACATGACAGATCATGTGCGCAGTCCAACTGTTTTCAAAATAATAATAATAATAAAAGGATTCAAAAGCTATTCTTCGTCTGCCGCTGCGCTTTCGACTCCAAAGGTGAAGACCGGCGCATCCTGAAGCGGCTGAACATTGACATGGTCCAGCTGGTCAATTGCTTCCATGTTGGTATCGGTCCAAAGGAGGAACTTAGAAACCTGGTTCTTGTGTAGAATGGATGTGAATTGATCTACAATGCTTTGAACTCCTTCATTCAGGAGCCATTTATTCTCCAACATGGTCTGTAGGGACGAGATTACGGTTTCCAAAGCTTCGATCTCATTTTCTAGCCCTTTCGCCGAGAGTCGCAATTGCTCTTTCTGATCATCAGAAAGCTGTAAAATACCTTCGAGCTCTTGCGACAGCTCATCTTGTTCGCCTTCTGCAAGCATGATCAAACACTGTTGTTCCATTTGTGCTTGCCTCAATAGTTCGACCTGTTGAAGTTGTTGCGTCAATATGTCTTGAATAATCTCACTTCTTTGTTCTGGACGAATGGCCTGTTGCCCCCTTTCCATGCCTAGTGCATCCAACAATGCCTTGTGGTCATCCGTTTCCCCCCATTGGTGTGCTCCCAGCTGTTTCAAAGTCTTCTCTAGAGTACCCACTTCAGTTTCGTAAGCATCGACCTGACGAAAAAACGTCCAAGTTAGAGAATTTAGTCGACAATCAACAACATTTCACGCAAAGTCAAGCATACCAGATTTTTCTTCCTCAAGCGACGGAGCCTAGCCGATGCCCGATTTCTGGCTAACCTCTTTTGTCGCTTCTCTTCTTCCGCTTGAGCAGCATATCCCGTCATGTCAGGCAAACTAACCGACCTCGGTTGCGGCTGTTTTGCGGCTGCTGCTTGATTTGGTTGGGCGACATATTCTTGTTGCTGTTGTTGGTGCGAAGGTTGGGAAGCGGATTGCGAATGATGTGGTGGAGGCTGGTGATAATGTATTGTGGATGGGTGTGATGCCGCCGCAGAAGGCGGGGGAGGGGGCGGCATTGCCGAACTTAACGGATCCGGAATCGCTGAATGAGTAGGGGTTGGATGCACTTGATGCGCGTATGCAGCTTCTTCTGTCGCTGGAGACATGTGCATTCCATGAGGCTGTGGTGCAGCCGGGACTGTCGAAAAGTTTGGACAAGACAATGCCGTCGACATTGTCATACCGTGTTGCTGCTGTTGGGCAATGAGTGCTGCGGCTTCTGCCCCCTTTCGGTAGGCCTCCTGCAAAGCTTTTGCATAATCTTCAGAGTTGTTTGGAATTGAAGACAGAGCCGTTATTCTTGGAATAGTTTGGTCTGTACCTACTTGTGCCTGCTGCTGAGGCCGAGAAACGGCTGAATGCGGATGTCCATAACCGGAAGCGTACACAGGTAGAGGAGGTGTTTTCCATTGTCCCTGGAGCGCCGCTCGCTTGCTTGTGGAGTCCGATACTCCAGCATTCATGACATCTCTCCGAACACCGCTACCGCTGTTGCTGTTATTGCTGTCCATTGTTATAGAGATTGCGTGTTTGGGATCGTATGAACCAAGACAAACAATTTCAAATGGCATGTGATGATGATGAATAAGAATTCTCACTATGCCTACTGTACTGCCAACGTCATTTTGTGGTACAGAAGTAGCTTCTACTTTTCCAAACCGCCCGGTTTTCGATCGCGTTCGGCAATTTTGGAAAAACCAAATTGGTTATTGATCAAATCAAACAGTTCAGTACCTACAGCCCGGGAAAGATCGATAATGCCTTCTGACAAGCCCACCACAGCACCCGAAACAAAGGATACTGCTGAGAAAACCGCCATTGAAGCCATTGAGGAAGATGATGAGTTTGAAGAGTTTGAACCAGCGAACTGGTCCGCAGGGGATGAAGCAGCAGAAGATACTCAACAATGGCAAGACAACTGGGACGTTGATGATATGGATGATGACTTTACCAAAAACTTGAGGGCAGAATTGACGAGAAACAGCTAATGTCTTCGTTTTGATTGGTCACAATTCGTGACAGGAGAAGATTCAAGTTTCTTTGGACTACTCTTTTGATCGTTGCGGCGACTGAAAGTCACAGTTTCACGATTGCCTCTACGATATTGCAAGTTGCCAGTTTCCGTCACAGTTTTTTACCAATAAACAAAACTATAGAATTCAGTTTCACGGTCACCGATTATAAATACATATCTTGCGTATAATATTTGCTGTACATAGCACTATCCTGGATCCCAAAAGTTTTGACTAGCGAAAACAGTTGGACGTCCATCCAGAATGCCACAGAAAGGATGTTGAGCAATTAGGAAAGGAATGACATGTGCGACGCCTGGTACCGGTACGAGATTCATTTTAGATAAATTTCCGAGCGAGGAGCAACTGAACAAAAAATACAGTATCTCTGTGCAGCCGTGGCCTGGATGGATAGTTTTATCATGTTAGATAAACTCTTGACAGATGATCTAGAAAGTCCAAGGCCTGGTAGCTTGATTTTTAAAAAGAAGCAATTGAGTGCTTGTTAGGATACTTACTGTACCTACTCTTGTTATAACGTACGAAGTGCAGTGAATCGAAAGGTACCAGGTACCAGGTACTACCAATATATGCAGGTGGTCGATCGTACGATGGTATCATATGGCCAGTACCTGTACCTGGTACCAGGTACACTGTACCTGGTAATACCGATACGATACGAGTACCTCCTCGTACCAGTACGTATACATGGAACTGGTGGTACAGTACGTACCAGGTACTGTCCGTGCAGTGCCTGCTGGTAGCTGGCTTGCAGGCAGGCATTTATTGACTATGTTGATTATTGTGAACGACTCACTCACTCACGAACCGACCACGATCTGGGGGCTCTCTCGACTGATTCGACTCAAATCCTTTCGCAACGGTTCGATTTGCTTTGCCTGCTCATTGGTATTTCGAATAGTTATACTTTTATTCGGAACTGTATATAATATAGAACATTGTTTGCAAAATCCAAAAATCGAGACGACGACGATAAGACTGAGTCCAAAGCGCTGTTGCATTGCACCCGTTCTCATATCACAGCAAAATGTAAGACTTTGTGTTGAGATCTGGCCCCAACTGGGCTATTTTCCGTAATTTGCATCCTTTGTTGTAGTGGATATCTCACAATAGTCTTTGTTTCTTCCTTTGCATTTCTAGGGTTTCCTTTCGGCGCAAAAAGAAGGACGAGTCAAAGAAGGAGTCTGCCAAATCCAGCTCCGCTGCCCCTGCGAGTGATAAGGTAGGTTGCCTCGTAGCAGAAGAAGTTTTGCAGACGAAAACGGCCCTTCTCACTCTTATCGATTAACCTTTGACAAATCAGGCTCCATCCTCCAAGGGAACTTCATCGAAGCCACCAACGCTCGATGACATTCCTGAATTGATTGAAACCATGCTCAACTCGAAAGGGGAGAAGAGCGCCGCTGCCACAAAGCGCATCTATGAGCTATGTGATGTAGGCCACAAGCAAAACCGTGTTCCCATGGTTTGCAGTGGAAAGTATGATGTGCTTACTCCCCTTGCCAGATGCTTGACTCAGGAATCTGGGGACGGTCGCCATCTTGCATGCCTTGCTTTGAATAATCTTTCTATTCCAACAGAGAACAAACGCGTCATGGCTTTGGGTCCAGCTTCAAAGGAGGTGATCGGAGGACTTTGCAAGGTCATCGCTGAAGATAAGCAAGAATCCTACCTATGTTGCATCTGTTTGATGAACTTGTCATTCCTCGAGGCCAGTATTACCAGCATTTTGCAGCATTCCCCTAGTCCCAGTGGGAAGGAAAAGGCACCTCTAGATAACCCAGCATCTTTGATTCGGGTTCTCGAGAAATTGCTGTCAAACTCTCCAGCTGCTCCCAAAACTAGCTCTGGAAAATCGGAAGGAGTTCGTTGGGCCTGTGGTCTAATCAAGAACCTTGCCAAGAGCGAAGATAATGCTTCCATCATTGGAAAGACGGATATTCCAAAGTGTGTCATTGAAAATATTCGAGCATCGACTGCTCCTCCCTCAAGGTGGACTTCCAACAGTCTTGAGGATTTTTCACTTTTCGTAATTCTCAATCTTGCTCAATGGCCTGGATCGCGCGAGGCCCTGATGAAGGCTGGTGCTGTTGACGTTGTCAAGCCGATCATGGCCGAAGGAGACCTTCAAGGGCTCAAGGCTACCATGGCATGCGCTTTCCTCGATGCCTCGTGGTCTTCCTTCCCCGATGGAGGAAATCCTGCTGCCAAGTCTGTATCCGAGCTCATGACTAACATTGTGGAGAAGAAAGGAAAGGATGGACAATATGCATACGGTGTGTTCAAGCTATACACAGCAACCAAGGCTTACGCGGATCTTGCCAAATCTGCCTCCAAGGCTGACGGAGCAGAGGGTGATGCGAACACGAAGGTGCTTGCCGTCCCTTCTGCAGTTGCTTTGAATTTCCAAATCATTTCTGATCTTGTGCTTTCTGCGATGGATGATGCCGAGGGTGGTTCCAAATACGTCCCCGATGCTATGTCCGCCGAACATGCTGTTACTGCAATCGAAGCAATGCTGCCTGCAATTCTTCAGGCAGGTGAACCCCCTCGCAAGTCTGTCCAAAGTGAAAAGGCCTGCGGTGAAATTAGTCAGATGCTTCTAACGTACGCCGACATTTCTGGTACATCTCCTCAAGCCAAGACAAGCGCACGGGCTGCTGCCGAGAAAATCAAGGAATCCGCTAGTTCTGCCAGACCAATTCTTGAAATCTCTCATGATTTGTGGACCCAATACCGCAAGAGAGAAGGACAACCACTTGATCAATTTGTCTCGAACGATAAGGGGGTCGAAGTTGATGAATCTGGTCCACTTGATTTCTTGCCTTGTGCCAGTTCAGATGGGGGATGCATTATTGCATAGCCAGTGAAACCTGTTGTCGAAGAAACGTCTGTTAGTTCATGAAAATTATACACAAAGTCTCACGAGTATCATTATTAGCCTTTATTTCGAGAAAAAAACAGTATGTAAAAGGCCAAAGAAGTTGTACTCGAGACCTTTTCCCATCTCTTCCAAAGTCTTTGCAAGGGGTATTCTTCACTATCCGTTGTAGAAACATTCCATGTACAGTACATGTAGTTCTTGGACTTCAAATTCCCCCTTCTGGACTTCGTCCGTTTATTCGGCACGTGCATAAAAAAAAGATGTTCGTTTCGGAAATGCAATAGGAGACAGTTTCAAGCAGTCTTTTGTTCAGCCGTCAGGAGAGAACTATAGTCACTGCAAGATGGGGTTCGGTGTGTAAGCTACGGGGTCGATCAGTTATGTAGTTGTCCAACCTCGACTCAATTTTTTTTCTTTCAGCTTGATGCATCCTCAGAACCGTGAGACTGGGCAAAAACTGGGGATTGCCACGGGTCTCATGTTCACAGCGCCTATTCTGTCCTTTTACACTGGAATGTGGTACTTTTCAGAAAAACGATATCCCGAAAATTGGGCTGGTGGTCTGGCAGTACTTGTTATCAATGTGATTGTCGCAGGGTATTGTTATTCAGCATTCATGGAGGAAGATGATGACCGAGATGACTCAGATGGGCCACAACAGGGCAAATTAAAACAAAGGATAGACTAAAGACAAAGTTTGCCTGGATGCGGCGATTCTCAATTGCCAACCTGATAAAGTCGAAATTTGCAGTTTAGCCTTGGAAACAATGGATTTGTTCTGTTCAATCGAACTACAAAGAAACAAGACAATTATACAGATGGCTTTTTGCATCACAATATTCAGTTTGAAAAATGTTACGCCAAATATTAGACTTCTTGCCCAAATGTTCAACAATGCGGTATAAACATTCCTGGATTTCTCTTTAGCCAATGTCCATTTCAGGATCCCTCGTTAGTCAATGCTTGCAATTCGAATGACTCTTTATTGCTATGGGATTTGGATGCAATCGACCATTGTGAATAAAATCTAGGTGAGTTGGTACTCTGCTATCGACTGGTAGCCCAATGCGCCGGCTCAGATTTTTGTGAAGACACTGAAAACATCCATTCTTCGGCTTTCAATGTGGTAGCTTCATGGAGTAAAGTAGTGCAAATGTTGAGCGCAAAGGATGAGACCAGAGCTAGATTTTTGCGAAGATAGAGGCAAAAACATAGCAATTGAATTACCTAAGGAGCGAAGCTGATCCAAATTCTCTGACAAGAGTGCACGATGATTCCCTACAGAGCAACGCTTGTGATCTTCTTCATCCAACAGCTGTCCCATTCTTGCTTGTGTCATGAGAGCTTGTTTGATTGAAACTGGTTGGGCGGACGATGGTGTCGTTGTACGGCTTGCATGGCTCATTTTTTTTAATCATTCAGTGTCAAAGCGTTTGATGTTCAAAATGAGTTAAGTTTTTTTTTAAAAAGCAACCATTTCAAAAATAATGTTCTATAACGACTATGGAAGTACCTACAAAGCCAATGCCCAGTTGAAAGGTACGAGTACCAGTACCCTGGTACCGGTACTGTAGGTAGCGCAACAAAATCGTGTCATACGATCATTGCCATCATATTCAGTTTGGCTAGCTTTTCTCACCACTAAAGTAGCTAACGCACTGAAAGCTAGTGCTCTTCTCAAATCTGGCGGCCGTGATGCTTTCCAGGCAGCGGCGGAACCATCATCGTTGTCAATTTTGGGGTCAGGGCGTTTGGGAACTACTCGTACACGTTCAACGTTTACCAGGTACCTGGTACTCGTACTGGTACTGGTACGTACCTGGTACGGTACGAGTACCTGCTGTAAATTAAAATGTCGAGCCGGCCAAGAGCAACGTGACTGAAACCGTAATCACGCAACGCTGACGTCATACAATAACGAAAAACAACCCCCACCCCCAACCAAGCGATCTACACGTTACATTGGAAGTAGGATTTCTTTGAATCCAGCAGTTGTAAGGTCCGCTGGTCAAAGGAGCTGCTACACCATGTGCGAGCCAGGTAATGATGTAGAAAAAAGTTTGTTGTCGAGGATTAAGTGCAGACCAGCGCAACCGACAGATATTCTGCAGTGCCTCCAGCTTGACAAGAGTTGGAATCCAAACGCAACAAAAAACGACCTTCAATATCGGCAACATCACGCAGCACCGTTTTTCCGTTGCGCTGTACTCGAAGGTGATAATGATGAAGATATAGTCGTTGGTTTTATTTGCAGTGTACGAATTGATGAGTTTCGAGATCAAGACAGCAGTTATATGATGGCAACAGCTCATCGACCCCTAGGCACAATTTTGATGATACAGTCCATGGTTGTTGCGGAAGCGCACCGCCGTGGAGGACTCGGAAAACACATGTTGACAAATTACCTAGAATTTGTCTGCGGTGAGAGTTTGAAACAGCCCGTGTTGGAAGTAGCTATAGTTGCCGAAAAGGAATATTTCAATTTCTTCCTGACTGCAGGTTTTTCGATCATGAGACCGCTAACACTAGTTGATGGAAAGGATCAACAGTATCTCTTCCAGAAATCCCTCGAGCTAAAGAAAATTGGGAGAGAATGTTATATCGTGGATAGTTTCGCTGCGGAGGCGGGTACTGGGAACCCAGCTGGTGTTGTTTTATTGCCCGAGGATTCTGACGAGAAGGCACTTTCCAACTGGATGCAAAATGTTGCCGCTGAGTTCAATCTTTCCGAAACTGCGTTTTGCTGGCCCCGAGCTGCTTCTGAGTGCTCAAATAGTGAGCTGCATTGGAACATTCGGTTTTATACACCAACAGTTGAGGTCGCGCTCTGTGGTCATGCGACTCTGGCTTCTGCTGCTGTGCTATATCAAATTCTTCCCAACTCATCGCAATCTCGAATCGTCTTGCATGCTCTTGAAGATCTATTAACAACGGAACTTGCTAAAAATGCAGACAATCATGGTCTTCGCCAAAGGAAAATATGTATGGAATTTCCAGCGAAGCCTCCAATCGAGATCACTGCAAACAAGGACAAGAATATAATTTCAAACATGATGAAGGAGGCATTCTCTTGTCAGCTAGAGCCGTTGTATGTTGGGTTATCAGAGATTGGAGATATTTTGGTTGAAGTTACGAGAGAGTCATTTGAAAACATTGGTTTCGAAAATTTGAATTATTCGGCCCTGCTGGAATGGGACGGTTATTCCCGAGGAATTATAGTCTGTAGTTCCAATGATACGGTTGACAATAAGGAAGGGAATTTCGATTTTCTATCCCGTTTTTTTGGGCCAAAAGGTACAGTATGGAACTCGGAATTATGTCGGATGTTGTACATAATCCAACTATCTTTCTCTTTTCTGAATTAGCCGGTATAAACGAGGATCCAGTCACTGGTTCAGCGCATTGTGCACTGGCTCCATATTTTGCATCGAAGTTGGGCAAGGACTCTGTAGTTGGAAAGCAGATGTCAGTTCGTGGAGGATTTGTTGAATGCATGGTAACAGGAGAGAGTGTACAATTAACTGGAACCGCGATAACAACGATGAGTGGCGTTTTGTGGATATAGTGGAGATGAATTAACTTAATGCAACGGATATGTACCAGTATTTTAAAGATGCTCGAGAGGACCTGAAAGTTGCCCTTCCGCGCTTTCGTGGAATAGACTGAACATCCCGATCACAACATTTTCCTCTTTGCCACCCCTCCATGTAACTATCTTTGGATGAAATAGGTATAAGATGCCCAATAGGCTTCATAAAGAGCTATGAGTGGCGTTTTGTGGATATAGCGGAGAGGGGTTACCTTAATCCAACGGATATGTACCAGCATTTTGAAATCCTCATCGAGAGGCCCTAAAAGTTGTCCTTTCGTGCTTTCGTGTACCAGGTACCGAGCTTAGGTAATAGCTATCCACCACATTTTCCTCTTCGCCGCTCCTCCATGTAACTGTTTTTGGTATCCAATACTATGGTAGGTTCATGAAGAATCAACATGAACTTGGCGACATAAAAGGCACGGTTGTGTAAAGAGCGTCACAAATATTCTCCTCTGGTACCCTCCATGTTGTAGATATCTGCTTCGTTGTTTACATGCAGTTGAAGCAAATTGAGACGTAAGAGGCATGCTTGCTTGTCCGAGTGTGAGGCGGTCCACGAATTCCCTTCTTGTGATCTCCGCCATCTTGCAGATATCCGTTCTATTTTATTTCAATGCAAGGACCCAGGGCCAAATGCATGGCACTCTTGGTCCGGAGCTACTGCCATTTTCATCGACGACACCTCATTATCACAAGACAACTGTGGACATTCTTTCGATCGGGTCACAGAACCGGTTAGATTACATTGAAACCCAAAAACGGAGTTTTGCAAGTCATCGATCCGTGAGGAATTTCGTATCCTTTACTGAAAGCGATGATGCTGATCCTATGTGTGCAAGTAAGCTGACTATCACTGATGTCTCTGAAATCAGCCAGTATTGTAGAACAAAGGCCTACCCTCGAAGAATGTTTCTAATGAAGTATTTGAAGCATGCATACGTAAGTACAATATCTATTGGCTTTGCTCAGAGGGAAATCACAGTCGTCTATGGATAATCAAACGATTCCATATTCATTTGTGCCCTCGGTTTGTCCGTTGTGGTCTGGTCATATCTCAAAATCTTGTGTTCAGGCCAGAGAAAGATTTCTGCTCAAAAAGTCAAATCCCCAAGGTTGGATTTGTGCACAAACGAGACCAGCACAGGGTCTCCACAGAGTACTCCAATTGTATAAGAACCAGTCCTTTCCTGATTTCTTGATTATTATGGATGATGATACGTACTACAATATGAAGCTCTTTGTTGAACATTTCAGAAAAGTTGACAGCTCGAAGTCAATTGCAATTGCGGGATGCCGAGTTCGATCTCCCACGAAACTGATCAATTGGACATTTGCATTTGGGGGTTATGGATTGGTAGTGTCTATGGGATGGTTAAAAAGGATGGATAGGCCAATTATGTGTCCTCGTGATGACGAGTATTGTCGTTTCATTCGACAAAAAAATCATATAGGCGAGAGGGAAGTTTTCAAGAGTGGAATGACGCTTGCTGATCTCAGCTATGCCTACGCACTTCATCAGCCGTTCGAGCAATACAGAAATTGGACAACTGGATTTTGTCTGCATAGTGACTGGTACGTCTCGCACAATCTAACTGTCTTGGGGAAGAGAAATCGCTCTCACCAATTTGCCGATTTATCATCAAACCAATATACTGTACGTGTAGGCTTTTGGGTTACATAACGAACTTCTATAATGTATCGCGTCATTTGGATGCGTATATGGGGTCTGAAATCAATGCAGAGCGGCAAGGTAGTAGACGGCTCTGCGATAATCTTCGTGGCAATTGTCATGGATTTTCTCACGTCTGCCACTACAGTACTCCTACCGAAATGATTGCGATTAACAACATTGTTCGGAGACGGAATCCAGAAGAATTCAGGGCCGACACAAATGGCTGTGTCGCGTGTGAGAAGGATGGTCTTCGTCACAACAACCCCAGTCCCACCATCGACTTCTTTTCGTTTGCTCGGAATACTAGTGACTTTCTTGCTCAGAAACAAGTTGTTGGATCACACAAATCCATACGACACTTCTACAAGTTTTCTGCTCTTGACGAAAATGATCCGTCATGCTTTCAATCGCAAATTGATTCATCCGAGGTTATCAAAGGTTGCAAAGCTAAGAGCATGAACTCAAAAAGAAATTGGCTTCTAGCTGGGTTACGATCTCCACACTCGCGAGACAAACATTCGAGCCCACCTTGGTTGTGTGAGCAGAAAAGACTACTCCGTGGTGTTGGCGAAGTTCTGAACCAATACAGAACACGGCACGGAACTATTGTCCTCCCGGACTACTTGATCTTAGCCGACAGCAGGAGCTATTGGAATTTCGATGTCTTCAATGAAATGCTACGAAATATCGAGATCGAGGTTAAGAATTCGTTGACAGGAGCCTTTGCAGCATCGACACCGCTAGTTGTCGGTGGGTGTACTGTTGAGAAAAAAGTTTTCCAATTTCTCTATCGCGTCCCGTTGCTAAGCCATGGCATAGTCTTGAATCGTGGAATGCTTGACAGCCTTACAAAGCCTATGTATTGCAATGCGTCCATTGTTGAAGATCCCCGGTGTTTTGTTGTAGAAGAAAGTCAACTTTGGGAGCGGTAAGTAGCGTCTTTTATGGACACAAAAATTTCTTCTTTCGTTGATGGTCAGATGGTCAAGTTCTCAATTAATTCCTGTCTTTGAAAGGGAGACTTTTCGTCAAGGGATGTCACCAATCGACTTGATGAGATCTGATGTCATTAGGAGGGCCCTAGGGATATGCATAGAAGCCGAATGGTAGGTCCAACTCGCAATTGTCGGTATCCGAACTACCGGTAGAAACTCATTTGCTCCAAGGGTGTTCAGTTTTTTCTTTCAATTTTATGCGTCAACAAAATCTAGTACTCTGCCATTGCAGGCGAGCCTTGCACCTGCCGACTCTACCATACGAATTTATTTGAGATCAGTGATGAAGAGATCCGGACCAGAGATGCTTTGTAGATACCAAAATGTGAACTGCAACGTACGTGGACAGGAAGAATTCATCCTTGTATAGCCATTCCTACGCTTACGTTGCTCATTCTGTGTAGGTGGATGCTCCATATTGTAGCGACGTATCAGCAGACCAAATGTTGACCTATTTGAGAGATTGATCAGTATCTTCAGCAAAAGAAGGCAATATTTCATTTATGATGATTATATCATACATATGTTGATTAGCCCAGCCCCTACTATTCAAAAAAAGTAAAAAAGAGTGCCACTTCACTAGTCCGTGATTTTGGGGGACGCCTGTAGGAGCAATTTTGATCTGATTTGCTTGATGCCATCCCGACGGTGGATTGGAGTTTTGCCTTTCTTGTTGATTGTTGGTTTGTGTGCAGGCTACAGTACAGCACGGCTTCTATTTTATTTTTTAATTTAACAAAAAAATACGTTGAATTTGTTCACAAAACGGTATCTTTCTAGTCTACATTATCGTATAGCTCAGCAGAACTTTGCTTTTTGCTGACTGCTGTCGTCTCTGACCCTTCTTCGTCATCTACTGTCCGAAACGGTGGCGGAACTTCTTGCATTTGGACCGAGGGGGCTCCTTGTAAGTCACACAATTGTTGCAAAAGTTCCGTTCGTATATTGCCGAGAGAATCATTAGCATTCTCCATGTTTGGATCAGGCTTAAGATGCAGCTCGTAGTCCGGCGCATAGTATTCATAATAATCATTGAAAGGAATTTGATTATCAATGTCCTCTCCTAGCAAAACTGCAGTTTCGTACGCCCAGCACCTAGCAACGTTTCGAATCGTGTACCCCCCTCCCCCCAAAACCAAAGTTGGCCGATTGTATGATTGAACGTGACGAACGGCTTGGGCATGACCTTTGGTTGTAAGATTAAAACATCCGAGACGATCTCCAGTCAAGGAGTCTGCACCACATTGCAATACAATAGCACCCGGGTTGAAAACTTCGATTATTTTGTCCATCACCGGGATGAATAGCTCTTCCAAATACGTTTCATCAGTAATTCCGGTTTGTAGCGGTGCATTCACAGAGTAACCAACTCCTTCTCTTGCACCCATATCCTGAAGGTGGCCAGTTCCAGGAAAGAAGTCACCATACTTGTGCAAACTAAAGGTCATTACTCGATCTGTGGTATAAAAGGCTTCTTCAACTCCATCCCCATGGTGGACATCAATGTCAATATACAGCACTCGAGCATGAACCTTCAGGAGCTCCAAAATCGCTAGCACAATATCGTTGATATAACAGAAACCAGACGCTTCTGATTTCTTTGCATGATGCAGTCCGCCGCTCCAGTTGATGCAAATGTCCGCTTGTTGCTGGTTTAACTGGATCGCTCCATCTATGCTTGCTCCGGTATACAATTGGGTGAACTCATACAGCCCATCAAATACAGGACAATCAGTGGTATCACCAGCATTGAACTTTTGTAGCACACCAGAATATTGTCGTAAATTGTCGGGTGAGATTTTGGCCAAGAAATTGACGTACTCTTCCGAGTGGAAGGCTGCCATTTCACTGGCCGATGCCGGATGACATCTATAGCAGTCCATTTTTGGATACAAGTGATACGCCAATATCAAATGATGCGCTAGCTTTAGGCGATGTGGTTTCATCGGATGTGACGGCCCATAGTAGAAAAGTGGCTGCGGCGAAGTCCAAGGTTAATAGAAGTCATCAATCAATTCTGTCTCGAAGCATGCTTTCATCCGTAACTTACACAGGTTGGGTGGTAAAAGTACGAGACCCGTTGTTTCCCCATGTTTTATACGCTAGCACAGTGCCGTTCGATGGATCAGTATAGTATCGAATTGTACCTAAGTACAGTTTAGGTACAGTATAGTGAGAGATGTGATTGATAGTGATTTGGAATTGGCTTTTCCAATATAGAAGTACAGACAGACACCCTTTTGGCGAGTTGGAAGCAGCCAGATATCATTAAACAAATCAAACCCACGCAAAGTGATTATTGGTAGGCTACGAAAAGCAAAGGATGTCTTGGCAACCCAATTGGCAAGGTGGCCCACGCGGGACATTTCAAAGAGGACGTGCAGAAAGCGAAGAGGGAGAAGAAGGTGAACAGAGTGAAGCTCGCGCAGAAGATGGAGAAATGGAAGAAGAAGGGGAGATAGCACCTTCTGGTCCAATACGAAATCCCCATCCAAATCCAGATCACTCTCTGGAGTTCAATGGACCTCAATTTCGCGGTGGAGGTAGAGGAGGACCAAGCAACCCCCGTTTCGGTGGTGTTGGTGGTGGATCTCGCGAACGACCACGACCTCGCAATAACTTTCCTGGCATGCCTAGTCCACGAATGCCTCAAAGTGGTTCCGGATTTCAAGTTGGAAACAACAATGGACCGCCATTTCAACGAGATATAATGCAACAGCCTCCTGCAGCTATTCCCTTCCGACAGGATTCGTATCGAGACTCACAGGGGAGTTGCGATAATATTGACGCCCAACCACAGCAACCACGCCCTGGAGGAACTAGAGAATACAGGGATTTCAGTGGGGGAGCACCGACTCAGAATGGACCGAGAAATGAGTCTGGTCCTCCTTTTGGAAATAGAGATTTCCGAAACGATCCTCTGCCACCGAAGAGGGACTTCGATGGACAACAGCGTCCACCGCGAGACTTTAGAGGAGACTTACCCGGACCGAGGGATTTTCGCGGACCTGACACTGTAAGGAATTTTCGAAACGATCGAGACTATCGAGACCGGAGTGACGAGCTACCCAACAGAGACTTCAGGCCTGGAATCCAGCCGCCGCATCGAGATGTGTTTGGGAGGGATCGAGGAGGTGTCGTGCCAATACATCGAGAAGGTTCCATGGGATCCTTTGGTCCTGGTGGACAAAGAGACCCACCTTTTCGTGAACGAGATACTCATTTCAGAGATGGTCCAAATCGGGAAGTACAGTTTCATGACGGACCAAAACGAGAACCGCCATTTCGAGACAATGGGCCCAGGATTGACCCACCAATGAGAGAGGGTTTTTCAGTTCGCGATGCTGTAAAACATGCGCCTTTCCCTTCTAGACTGCCAACAAATCGAGACACTGGCCAGGGAGGTTATCACAGGGATGGCAGTCGGGGCCCACCGTTTGATGAGGGAAGGGATGAATCGATGGTGACGCCTCGCAGTATTAGCGGGCCGATGATGCAAACAGGAAATACTGCTTCGCAACCCTCTCCTTTCTCCCCTTCGGTGCAAAAGACTACGATTGGTCAGAGTATACAACCGCATAAGTTACGCCCGACTGATCCTCGACGACGGGCGAGTACCGGAAACTCTGCTTCTCCATTCGTTGCAAAGCCGAAAGTTATGGATGCGACAGCAGATCCCCGCAACGTCAATGGACCACCTCCTGCTGGAGTTGGGACTTCTACATTCAGTTCGGTCCCTCCACCTTCGCATCCACCGCGTAGAATGTCCTCATACAGCAGTTTAGCAGATACCTCGATTCCAGTTCCAGCTCACGTGATGTCAGGCGATATGAATGGAATGGATGTGGCGCATAGTCGCCACGGTGTCGTTATGCGTTCGCCTGTCCCAGCACGAAGGCCACTGAGCGATTCACTTTCTAGAAGTGAATCTGGAGGATACGTCCCTCCTGGACTTGCCCCTCACCAACAGCGACAATGGGGGGACCGTGGTCGAAATCCAATTGCAGGTCATCCTTCGAGCCCTGGCAGAGGCAAGCAACATCCTTCTTCACCGTCGAGATTTCCAGTAGCTCCGATGCTGAGACCATCCAGCAGCACCAATGATCCAAGATCTCGTCTTTCTGAAAGAGGAGGCGATGTTGGTGCTCCCCCCAGTGAATCCAACTCGTCGATTTCAAACTATTCGAAAGTGAATTCTGCAAACCGCAGCAGGGATTGGAAAGATCGTCCTTTCGGTAGTCATCCTGAGGCTTTAACACCGCGAGTTTCCCCAACAAAACAGAAATGCATTCGAAGCCTCTCTACTGAGGGGTCGGCTCCAAACCTAGCAAAGTTGAGCTCCAGTAAAGCTGGAAATAGCACTGGAGAAAAGCCAAGAGCTATTCTCGCATCCGAGGTGACTCCCAAATCCAAACCTGAGCAAACGCCGCCTTTGCGCACTGACGTCCTTGGGGATGACAGCGTAGTCAAAAGGGCCAAGGCCGTCATGAAGCATCTCGGTGAGGTTATTCCTAGTCACACGAGATCAGATGCTGATGACTCCGTCCTACCTTCTAAGCAGACAATCATGTCTGCTGTTGCGGAGATTGAACGAATGATTAAAGAGTCGCAAAAGAACTCGCTCGAGTTGGAGGACGAGAAAAATGTTGCAGAGGAAACTGAAGAGACGGTGCGCCAAGAAGAAGTGGCACGGGTTGCAGCCGCAGAAATGAAAAGAAGGGAAGATCTGGAAAAGGCTGCCGAAGAAGAGAAACATGAATATAAGGCTCGTCGATCTGCTGAGTTGAAAAAGATGATCGAAGATCGAAGGAGCCTATTTGCGGAGGCAAGGAAGAATGTCGAGCAAGGCTTTCTATCGGATGTTCTACAAAGAAAAGGTGATACGAAGCCTCAACTTAAGGAAGAAATGGAAAAGGAAATAGCCAAGGCGGCAGTCATCTTTGACAAGAACATCACCATTGCGGAGGTGGATTTAAGGGAGACCACTTCTTCTGAAGCGAAGATCGAGTCAAAGATTACAGCTTTGGAAACAGAATATCAAACTTTATTACAGCAGAAGAGTACGGCGAGAGAGCAACAGCTAGCACCGGCGGAGCCAGTTCCAAAGAATCTGGACGTAATTCAATCAATTACGGCACAGAATCGAAGAAATGCGGCTGAGGCGAATATTTTCCGGTTATCGCTCATCGCGGACCATTCAAATGATGTTACTGAAACTGAGACGAATCTGCAAACTGGTGTAGATCCGAAGTACACCAAGACGAATGGCGATTGGACTGCGATTGCAAATAAAGTCTCCTCTTTGGACGAAGCTCTGTTTGCAGACCCATCTGAGGTACCATACTATGAGCAATGTAGTAAACTACATTCGTTGATTGGCCTCGCAGTCAAAGAATACGTTCGAGATAAGCAGGGGCGGCTCCTAAAGCATTGGACTGAGCTTGCTGAGGAATATGAGGTGAGAAAGCGTCTTTTCGAAAGACAGCAGAAGAAGCTAGCAAAGAAGGGGCAACAACGCAATTCTATATCTGTGGGTGGGAGAAGTTCAATTATGGGCGATAAGAAGACAAAGGAAGGCGCTGGCCTTATTCGAGGGGGCAATATCCTGGAATCGACTGGACGAACTTCGAACAACCCATACAGAAGAGCGCGTCGTGGCAATGAAGTCCGATCGGAGTACGAACAAGAACAGATAATCGCCGAAATTGCAGCGAAAGAAGCGATGGAAAAGAGGATCACTCATGGAGGCTGTAGGGTGCCTCGCCAATTATGCCGCCTCGAAAGAGTAAGTACCTGGAATTTCAGAACATCAGTTTTCATGCCACGTCGTCTCACGACAAAACGACTTGTTCTGTAGGAAGTTACAGCCTCATTTGTCGAAACCTTTACAGCTCAAAGGATCGAAGACCCTGTAGCTGAGGAAGAGAAAGCTTCACGCACTAACATATGGACTGACATGGAAAAGTGTATTTTCCTTGACCGTTTTCTTCAATTTCCAAAAGATTTCAGAAGAATTGCTACATTCTTGAGAAACAAAACCACAAAAGATTGTGTAGCATTCTACTATGATTCAAAACAGGCTGTACCCTACAAAGGGGCATTGAAGGAACATGTGATGCGCAGAAAGAGGAAAGGAGATTATCAAGTTTGGGACTCATCAATCCAGGCGGCAATATCTGTTGGAGCCGTTGTCACAGCTGGTACGAGCGAAGAAGTCCCTGTATACATTTCACTTCCTGCCTCAGACTGCACCTATGCCACTAGAATGCTACACCCCCTTAAGCTTCAAGTCCTTGACCGCATGAGTGTAGAGAAGACTTTAGATGGATTAGAATCGGAGGGTCTTCACATGGAAGACCTGAAGCCGAAGTCACGGAAGCGACATAGAGACCCCCTTTTCTCACTTGCGAAAGAACATACAAAGTTTCTACGAATAGCTTCACAGGAATCGATGGCTGCAAGCCAACTGAGATCAGCTATCATTGGAGAGAGAGAGGTTGATCCGTTCGATACGCAAAAGGGGAACGATGCAGAGACTTCTGGGTCAAGACAAGGCAGGAAGGCGCCACAAAAGTGGACGAGCTCAGAGAAAAAAATATTTGTTGCGACGCTGGAGGAGCATGGTAAGTCGTCACACGGATTCTTTCCACACCTCTTTTAATTCGCTAACAAATATGCAGGTCGCAACTGGGGCAGGCTTTCGGATGCAGTGGGCACGAAGTCAATATCACAGATAAAAAACTTCTATTACGACTACAAGAAACAGGCAGGCAAACACCGATTGGTAGACAAAAAATCGCACCAAAAGGTATCATCGAAGCTACACAAAGAAGATCTCCCAATGGAGAGCAGCCAAGAGAAGGACCAAGAGGACCATGTTCATGCATCGATCGATAGGGATCGATGTGAAACGGCACTACTGGCTCAAGACGGGAACGGGGAAATAGCAATGGCATCGCAGCAAAACTTGAAAGAAACTATTGATGGAAACAACATTGCTTCTATGCATCATGGGAAGGTCGACCAAGTCAGTGAACATGGGAACGCCGAACTCATCAAGCATATGCTGAGCCAGCAGTTTCAGCAGCAGCAGCAACAACAACTGGGACATCAGCAGCTGCAACTGAACCAGCAGCCACAAAGTGCTCTGCAACAGCTACTAAGTCAGCACCACCAAAGAGATCACCATCCGGCTTTAGGGCAGTTGTCTCTTGAAGATGCTCATCGATTACTTCAGCACCAGTCGCACTCCCATCAGCACGTTCTTTCTCATCTTGTTCCTTGGTTATCAGCATCGCAGTTATTGCAGACCCAATCTAGGATGCAACAGGCACAAGCTGCCGCAGCATTACAACAGCAAGACAGTGGTCAACTTTCCTCTGCTTCTGACATCGCAGATGGTGAGTCAGTTGGTATCTTTCCGTTTCTTGCGAGTATTGAGGAGCGCTCACCTATCAATTTCACCGAAGTCGCCAATCTTCAGCGCTTGCTTCAAATGCACCAGGTGAATCAGAATCCTTTTGGAATCGCTCAACCGAATCATAGTCAACTCCACTCTTTGCTACTTTCGAACGCCGGTCTAGGCTCTTCGGCCGGATCAGCGTTGCCAACATCGAGCCAAGCCATGACTCAATCTGCAAATTTATTGTCGCAACTTGAAAAACTTTCAGCGCAGGGCTCGTCAGCTTCGGACTCATCAGCTGAGAATATTGCGGCGTTCGCAGCTGCCCAGAGACTTCTTGGATTCGGAAATAGTGTCCAAGGAACCGGTGCTTCCAATGGCAATATCCCTAATAATTCTATGCCTGGTGGCCTTGGTTTGGGTTTAGGAGCGTCACCTGCGACCCTGGAACCTCGCGGAATGTCAGACGCTTTGAACCTGCTAGCACGATCAATGCCGATACCCGAAACGAGCAATATTGGCAGCTACAATGGAATGCCAGATCGTCAAGATGGTGGAACAGATCATTACAATCCGAACTAGATTGCAGCCTGGCATCCAGCAATTAGATTACCACCTTACCCAATAATTTCAGCAGACTGGTAGTCAGAAACAGGCAAATTCTCTTCTTACGCAGCGTCTCAGCCTTGGCGAGAGCTAGCCCTCGAGCCACATTGATCCAAACGTGGGGACGAAGTTTCATCGAATTCATGGCGTCTTGTGCCTCAACTCATCCGGTGGACACCGTCCTGTCATCTGGGGCATTCAAAGGTGTCAATCACGATGTTGGCTTTAGTTTGGGAAAACATCAAAGGTAATACGTTATGTGTTGGATATCTTTTTGCGGACAGCAGAAGAGATCGCATTCTTGGAATTGGTATTACCTAAACAACCGAGTAATGAAGACTTGCTCCTTTTATTCCAACGATTTCAGCAACGCATTAAACATTATTTGATATACCTATACTCGTAATAGAAAAAAGAACAAAAACTTCGATGGAATCTGGAATCGTGACGAATTGTGGATATTGCGGTCGAACGACGGACTGTTACGCACTCGTCTCAATTGTCGTCCGCTCGTTTGCCGATCCAAAAGTGGGTGGCAATTTGTGGCTGGTGCCATCCGACTCCTTGGATGTCACATCCATTGGGGGCATCCTAGTTTTCCACGGATACAAAGCTCATCAATCAACAAGATTCGTGACTCTTACACTGTTAAGAAAGATGGTATGAATAACCGAATAAGTCTCCTCGTTCGATCGTCAACAGCAATCTAACAGTATTTTCTTGCAATACTCCTCAGTCTCAGAATTTCTTCGCAGCCCTCGACGACTCGGGCGATGAAGCACCTGCTCCTGCCAAGAGCGTTGCAAAGAAGCGCGAGCCGAAGACCTCCAGCAAGTCTGAATCGAGTTCCGCTGTCACCAGGTAAGTTCTCTGAAGGTTCCTCAATTGGTTCGATTACCAATATGATTTAATGTGTTTTCTTTTGGACATTGTTACCGTTGTTTACTTAGCCGTCGATCTAACAACGATCGCAACACTAAGCATGGACGCGGAGGACGCAATGCTCCCAGGGACGGGAAACGAGCATATGAGCGACGCAGTGGAACTGGGAGAGGGAAGGAGATTAAGAAGGGAGGAGGCGGTGCCAGAAACTGGGGATCTGACAAGGCTGATGCTAAGAAGATGGAAGGCACAATCAACGAGGACGAAGTAAAGGAAGATGCGCCATCCGAATTGCCTGTGGAAGAAGTCGTGGAAGCTGGCATTGAAGAGGCTCCCATTGAAGAGAAGCCTGAGGACAATACCATGACTTTTGCAGATTACATGGCAGCTAAGGAAAAGAAAGAGGAGACGGCTGGTCGTGAAACTGAAGACGAATTCAAGGGATTCAATGCAGCGACAAAGGTAGAAGAAGATTTCCTTGTGATGGGAGGTGCAAAGCAAAAGAAAAATAAGAAGAAAAAAGATGGAGAGAAGAAAACAGTCGAAGTTGGATTCCGTGTTGTACGTTTCTGCTTTTTGTCATCGTCAAAACGAATGTACTTCTCTCATTTCGCAATGGTCTTGTTTTTTTAATAATAAAATCAGGCTAATCCAAACAGTGGCAGAGGTGATCGCGACCGCGATCGTGGTGGCAGAGGAGGCCGTGGCGGAAGAGGCCGTGGCGGACGAGATGGGCGTGGTGGCAGAGATGGGCGTGGAAGAGACGGACGCGGAAGAGGCAGGAGCAGTGGGCGCGGTGGAAGAGGAAGGAACAGTGGCCTCAATGTCCAAGATGAAACCGCTTTCCCATCGCTGTAAAGCGAGTTGTCCAGTATCGAATTAGGAACTCCATTGATGTATGCAGTATGCGCTCTCGAGAGGGGAACAATAGCATCACGCCGCATATCACCCATGCGAATTCAGACAGAATAGACGAAGTATACAAGCCAATAAAGAATGAAAACATTAAAGCTGAATTCAATTTCGTTTGTCGTTTCAACGGGACCCGTTACGCGGCCACCATTCGGGATGGGGGCATGCGGCGTTGAAGTCGGCAACTGATCTTCAGCAAGAGATCTTTGCAACTAGAACTGTGAAACTTCTGTTATCCCACTTATCTCGTCTGCATGTTCTGTAGTCGATCGCATCCCACGGTTGTTGTTTTGCTTAAAGCGAGATATTGCATTTTCTTCGGGCTCGTATAGCTCTATGGGATTTCCTTTTTGACCTTCCCTTTTCAGGTTGGAGGCAATGTTCGATATTATGTCATCTGTGGAAACGACCAGATTGCTGGTTATTTGCGATATCTCAGAGGCTACGCTAAGGGCGCTGCGATCTTCTTCCGAGTTCAACACCGAACGGAGCACTTGCGTTCTTATGTTTTGCGCTTGCTCAAGTTGACGCTGTTGCTTCATACACAACTTGTTAAGTGCCCGTTGGTTGTTTAGCACAACTTGAAACTTATCCTCGATGTGTTTTTCGTTCTCTCGTGATTGGTTTAGTACTTGCATCATATCCCGCGATTCTGCAGTCACACTCTCTAGAGAAGACTGTAGTAGCTGCACTTCAGCTTCAAGTTGCGTTGATCTCATTTCTTTGGCAATTGAATATTTTGAACCGCTATGTTCCGCTAATGATCTCATCTGCAGTTGATGTATTTTCTCTTCGTAGTGGCTTTTCATCTCCTTCATGCGATCTTCATACAGCATTTCGATAGAAACAGCTTTGACATCGTTGCCCGCCTCTCGTCCTTCTGAAATATTGAATCCTCCGTCGTCTGAAGATGCCGCAGTTGCGTATAACTGCACAAAGCGTCCCGAAAATGTAACTTCATTCGCATGGTCAATGGGAATTCTACCTCTTCTATCCTTTTGATTTATACCATTCGGGTGAGCTTCTAAAAGTTGTTGCAACACATCCTCATCTAGTTTGTGGCGAAATGCTAAGTGAAGGGGGAGCATTCCTTGGTCATCTTGTTTCGAGGCTGCTGACAGGTGCTTTGACAAAATGTGTTGTATGGTCGTCTTCGGTGCCTTAAAGATTATAGAAGAATGTAAAGGAAGTACACGCCATCGGAGTTTGCCATTGAGATCCTTTCGCACAATCCATGTGCGAACCTCTTCCGGATTATTGGTACATCGAATCATTGCATCTTCCCACTGCGAAGACTCGAGCAACTCGTACAGCTCCGTGACGTTGCGATCATAATCGCGTGTGAGCTCACAGCATTTGCTTTGAAATTCATAACGAGAACCACTAAACCTATTTCTGCCAATGTTCCGAGTCGATGGGCTGTTGGTAGAGAAGGAAGACGTAGGAAAATCGACTTGGTAGTCTATTGAGGTAGAAGTGTTTGATGGTGGAGGCAACCTCAAGGTATTCATCAGAGCCCCTTGGGATGGGCGAGCTTTTGAACGACTGGATATCCTACTATTGTATGCCTTGCCAATTTGGAATTGTGAATCATGGCTAACAATCAAATTCACCATTTTGTATGGTATTTATGTGTTTCGCCAAATCATTTCAGGCTTTTTTTTTAAAATCGCCAAAGAATTTTTACTGATTGACTGACAAACTCACTCAGCCCCACTTTCCTGGGGGGTGTAGTTTTCTAATTTTACGGCGCTATGTTTGCATTCTAGCTAGTGGACTTTCCATATCATGATTTGCAAAAAACATAGCAGCTGCTCATGAGAACGAATGAATAGAACTTTTAACAAATATTTGATGTTGATATCGACGCATCTGCACATGAGTAAGTATCTGTATCCCCCGATTTCTCCAGAAGTTTTTGGTTCCGAACGACGGATGGACCGTCAATGGTTTGACTCCATGAGCATCGGTGGAAATTCTTTTTGTGACTCGAATCATCATCATCGTTTCTCCTCTCCTTCTCACGCTAGTACCGGACTCCTTGAACCAACTCGTAGTCCATCGAGGTATTCCTTCAATCGTAGAGATAGCTCTTCCTAAGCATGACGCAATATAGGTTACACGCGGGACAACTGCGGTATCATGTATGTCCTTTGGTGCTTTCAGGCAGCTGTGTTCATCTACAGGGTTCAAGACTGCAGCAACCTACACTCGTGTCTCACCCTATATTATTTCGTCATTTCAGGACTACAGCAAGCTTAGGGAATTGCATAGGTCAAAATTACCCCAATATTCTCCATTGCAGACCAGTAACAGCGTGCAGCTTGGGACTTTGGGCATACAACAACAGAGTCGTTCATTCTTAAGCTTCACAAATGCAGTCTCCAAAAGATTAGAAACGCTCCAACTAAAGGGGCTTGAGACAGTTGCAAACTCTCGGCCGAATGATGCCCAAGCACAATTCGAATTTCTTAGTAAATTGAGTCAGGTTCATCCCCAAGTCGTGGTGGAACGAATTACGAATCCGATGTTCAGAAACTTCGCAGTTGATCAGCGGATCGCTGTGATTTACTTGCAAGCCTTGGCAAAGACACAGCACTATTCACATTTTCAGATGGAAGATTTTACTTCTCGGTTACTAGAACACGACGCAAGTATTTTGGGTCTCAAAGAGCTAGTCAAAGATTCCCGAAATATGTCGAAGCAAGAACAGGCGTCATCTTTGCTGAGTGCTCTAACAGGCGGAGGTGGATTTGCTGGCCTAGGGGCACTTGGTTCAGCCTCGGCTTCAGCTACAATGCAACAAATTCGTGGTACAGATCCAAAACATCCACTCCACGTGCAAATGCACAATCCCACGTCTACACGAGCTGCATTGGTTGCGCTGACAGGCAGAGTTTTGATTGCCTTTGTTGTCGTGTCTGCATTGTCTGCATTGTTCGACGAGAAAGGTATGGGTCGTGGCTTGGGTATGAACTCTGGCAGCAAGCATATCCAACAAGCACAGGATACATCCAACGTTTCCTTTGAAGATGTGAAAGGGGTGGAAGAAGCGAAAGCAGAGCTCCAAGAGATCGTTTTGTATCTTAAGAACCCGGCGAAGTTCACAAGACTGGGTGGAAAACTTCCGAGAGGTCTCCTCCTAACTGGCCCTCCAGGAACGGGAAAGACACTTCTTGCGAAAGCAATCGCAGGAGAAGCAGGCGTCCCGTTCTTCTTCAGCAGTGGTAGTCAATTTGAAGAGGTTTATGTTGGTCTGGGAGCAAAGCGCATTCGAGAACTGTTCGAAGCTGCAAAGAAGAAATCGCCATGCATCCTCTTTATTGATGAGATCGACGCTGTTGGTGGAACTCGAAAGTTAAAGGATCAATCAGCACTTAAGATGACTTTGAATGAGCTGCTTGTGCAAATGGACGGTTTTGAAGACAACAGTGGCGTGATTGTTATAGGTGCTACGAATCTCATGGAGGCTCTGGATGAAGCTTTGCTGCGCCCTGGGCGCTTTGACAAGCATATTACTGTTCCTTTGCCTGATGTCGGTGGGAGAAAAGAGATCCTCGAAATGTACGCAAAGAAAACGAAGCTGGACCCGAATGTCGATCTCAATATATTAGCCCGAGGGACCACTGGTTTCAGTGGTGCGGATTTGTACAATCTTATGAACCAAGCTGCTTTGAAAGCTTCGGTTGATGGATTATCGAGTATCACAATGTCTGTACTGGAGTTTGCGAAAGATAAGATTTTGATGGGAGCTGAGCGAAAGACTGCTGTCATAACAAAGGAAACCGCCAAGTGTACAGCGTATCACGAAGCGGGCCATGCTCTTGTAGCAGTTCTAACCGACGGGGCGATGCCAAGTGAGTTTTGTTTTTGTTCCCTCTTTGCACTCTGTCTTAGCACCGTTGAATGCTTGCTTACACAAATTTCCTCGTGAAGTTCATAAGGCGACCATCATGCCGAGGGGACAATCGTTGGGTATGGTGACCATGCTTCCTGAAGGTGATCAAACATCTCAGTCGTTGAAGCAAATGAAAGCGATGATGGATGTAGCGATGGGGGGCAGAGTTGCGGAAGAACTCATTTTTGGACGAGATGAAACAACTTCTGGGGCAATGAGCGACATCTCAAATGCTACCAGGATTGCGAGAAATATGGTGACAAAGTATGGATTTAGTGACGAAATTGGTTTGGTTAATTACGGAGGGTCGACCGGGGAGGAGCATGCATCTGAGGAAACAAGAACCAAGATTGATGCTGAAGTAAAAAAATTGACCGATGCGTCCTACAAGCGTGCGAAGGATTTACTGTCTCGGTATTCCAAGAAACACCATTTGTTGGCCAAGACGCTGTTGGAATACGAGACGCTGACTGGTGATGAAGTCAGACAATTGATAAGCAAGGGTGCGAAGCCCAAACGACCGGTGATAAACAAGAATGGTGGTGCACGGGGCAACGGAGAGGTGCTCACCGGGGGGAAGACCCGGCTATCTGGACTCGGCAGAGACGCTACATGAAACTAAGGATGTGTTTGTATGAAACAGCCACCTTGCACACTACACAAATTACTAATACAAGATGTTCTACTTGGAATATAAATATCATCTACTGCTCATCCGGTCTGAAGCTGTGCATACTCTTCGATTTCCGTCTGGCTTTCTCACCTACCCGGAGATTTGCAACTTGATCTTCACTTCGAGCGCGTGATAGTTGGGTGTAACTTGACGAATTCCTGTAATAAAATTGTGCCATGCTCGTTGTCTTGATGTACCCATTTCTGTCTGGTTCCATTGGGCTTGTGGGGGTAGGCGTTACTTCTGGGTCGGCGAACATACGATAGCTACTGTCGATGTTCAGCGGCCCATCAGCTTCGATGAAAAGACCTGAAGCTGCTGATGGTGACCGCTCGAGACTGCTGCATGATCTGTTGCCGCGCAATCCCATTCCTGCCCAGCCCTGATTGATTTCTACATTTTGTAAAGCGTTTGGGTCTTCACTGGCAGCTGATACACCGGAACCTTGTGTACGCTCGATACTCTCGATATTTGACTGATCCGAGACAGCTAGACCTCCAAGGTTGATCAAACTTGGGCTCGTGAAAAAGCTCGGGACTCTATCTCCCATTTTCTGACCAGTTGAATGGTTTCTTCGTTTCCCCCAGGATTCTGCTAAGAGACGTTTACGTAGACGCTGTACGCAGAGATCTAGTGTTATTTCCTCTGCAATGTGACTCTTGATTGCCGGTAGATGCTTCCAAGTTTCACGCTCCGCAGCAGATACCCAGTCGGTGAATTCTTCCTCAGTTGGGTTGTATAAGCAATGCATCAGTGCAGAGAACAAGCTTCAGGAACATGACGTGAGATGATATAGTGCTGTGTAACATAACTTTGCACCGAGCAAAGTCTTACCTTCGATGATTCAACCACGGAATCAGGGAAATGTCGCAGTTTCGACCTTCATATTCTTGGACGAAGAATTGTGCCATGATCCCGCGCGAAGTTGCATGCTGTGGAGCAAATGTCCTCGCTCCAACGAGCTCCACGATGTGGGCAAGCCAACTTCGGCATCGATCCTTTAGGAATGACAAGACAGCATTGACGAAACCGGATATAGGATTCGACCAGATGCGCCTCAGATGAGCGTACGAGGAAAATATTAGGGCATGAGCTGGAAATGGAATTAGAGTTTGGTGGAATTGGTGTCAACACACAGAGAGCAATTCTAAGAAGACACTCACGATTTGCCTGACTAATAATGAAGTGGTTCACATTGAACATTTCGCTGAGTTGCTGCATTGGAAGGTCTTGTTCCATTGATCCATCAGAAAATACCGCAGATTCCGCACTCTCATATCTCACTGCAATGCAAACAAACTCACTCTATTAATACAATATTGTGCTTTCTGAGAGAAAATCAAAGAGTATTCGTACCTGTGCCGTCGGCATCCTTGACCATTAACCTGTTGGCTTCGAAAACCCCTGAAAATAAGCAAAAAGGGAAAAGTTAATGCTTTGCCCAAGACAGGAATCACCTGAGCAAGACAGTCAAGCAGACTTACCTGGGAGCGAAGAAGACGCGACAGCCGCACTCCAAACGAGACAGTGCGGTGCTGTGAGATAGTTCAGCAACCTCGGGGGATCGCTGGAGTTGTTTGGCGTAACTGAACAAGTGGAAAGCCATGTGAGGTCAAGCTTTATGTTTTTCAAGAATGAAGCAGTGGTACACGTACCCGTGATGTTCAAAATCCTGCCTGTGCGGTCAAATGCTTCCTGGAATGTGAAGTCGCCAATATTGGTCCTTAGAGCCAGGCGAAAGTGTTCTGAATCCGACATCAATAGTTCCTGTGGACGCGTTTTCAAAGTCAATAAATCAAAGATTACGGAAGTGATTCGCCTCACCGGAATAGGGCATAGGATCTGCCACGTCTTCTTGACATCATGGAAAAATCCAGCCGAGTTGTTGTAGGCTTCTTGCATTGGTGTAGCCCCAACCTTTTTCGAATTGTTCTTAAGTGGGATGTGAAGTGGTCGAAAGAAGTTGATAGTGAGCTTTCCAGAATGACCCGGTGCTTTCGAAGGAGAATATGAGACGAACGGTATTACTCAGATTATACACATGGAACTCCAACTTACATTCTGTTCCCTTCAACTGGAAGAGATCTCGTTCACATTCTTCGTCTTGGAGCAGCTTATTAGCATTACATGGCACGTGGAAAACACGATTCGAGAACCAGTAACTTACCAGTCCTTGTTCCAACCATTGCGCAAACGATTGACCCAGCAGATGATCCTCCAAGTACTCGTGGCATAAGTCGATTCTGCATCAATGTTTTCACAACACCAACGTGGTAGAATCCAAGCGCAGCCCCTCCTGATAAAAGCAGTGCAGTGCGCCCATAGGAATGCCTGGTTTCATTGAAGAAGGCCAATCTTGCATCCGTAGGAATAGGAGGCTCTCCGATGGGTACTGGAACGTCGCAGACGAAATCTAATGCAGCGCAAACAACATTGTGGTACCTATAATTTGCAGTCAAGAAATCTCGTGAGTGGAGTTACAAAAGAAGGTCGTCAGGCGAAAGAAAGTCTTCCTCACGTTTCCACAAGTACTTTAGAGCCAGCCATGGCCTTACTAAAGAGTCCTTCGTGTAGTAATCCAAATCTGTTTCGACCTATGCCTCCACGCAGTTCAAACATCATCTAGAGAGTGAGAACAAACAACTTGTAAGATTACGGCTCACGAGTCAGCAATAGACATTCAGGATGGAAAGTACCCACCTCGAAGATATCTTGATTAGGGTAAGGTTTACCCCGAAGGTGGAGAGAGCAATGTCAGATGCACGGATCGAACAAGAAAATTTGCTCAGGCCACAGAATATGTGTGGTACACACCTCGTCTCCGCATCAAGTGCACAAACTCATCGATTCTTGCTGATATGCGTTCCCTTTCATAAAGCTGGCATTCAGGATCGCTTCTCCATATGTCATCACCTTGAATGTGATCGATTCTCTCTGCCAAGTCCATCCATTCGTCTTGAGTGACAGCATGTGTCTGTTGTTCGCTCAGATGACGAATCAATCTTGATTTGGACGAAAAGTGTGAAAGAATCATGTTGAACACGTGAAAGATCTGGTTGGCTGTGACCATCCCTGTTTCAAGTGCAACGGCCAATGCTAGTTGTCTTGCTACTGCTTTCGTCGCAAATACCGTTTCCATTGCTTCCGAAACCACCAACTTGAAAACTGGATAGTTTGAGACAAGAATTGCAGCAGCGCGATCGATTGCATCATGAAGCGCTTCCACGAACGGGTCATTCTGCGTGTGAGATGACATGCCTCAGAATATGATTGATTCTGCCGTCGTTGCAAGCTGATTATTGATTTCGCCCTCGATTGTTGATGCTTGATCGAATCTTTTGTCAAGTTTCAATTTTCCGTCTTCGCCTTTCAATTTGGTGTCAACAAGTTGTTCTTTATGAAGGTCCATCCGTCGCCCCGGACTTCCAATTTTTTGACCGATCGGGGGTCAGTGATCCCTGTTCGGGGATCCCCCCCCAGAATTAGAAAGTTGATTTCAGACAAGCTTGTGATTTCGTCATTTCGAAAGCATCTCAAACGTCATGCTACGATATGAACCCAATGGCTCAATCCCCGGGAGCCCTTGGGGATTGAAACTAAACATATCTTATGTGGCTTAGCTAAGCTTTTCTAACAAAGAAGTGGCCGAAGTTGCTACATCTGAAGCTGAGACTCATTACAGTAACTTCTTAGTATTTATAAGTCCATGCACTCAACCATTGAATCGCCAATAGGAGTTGCAAGTGCACTCACAGACTTCCAACACACCGTCTCTAGATTGTTTATGATGCGATGAGCACAATGCATGGGTAGCTGGCTCTGAAAAAAGACAGAAGTACACCATAACTCCACTTGTCTGTCCTGGGTGCATTTTGTCATGGCACCATTCTGCCAGAAAGACAGGAACAGTTTTAGAATTTCCACCAAAAGGTGCGAGAAGCTTGGCAACTATTATTCATCCACAAAACAAAAATTACACTTTCTCAATCATTCTTCTTTGAGAGATGCAGGGTCAAGCAACTGCAGAAGAACAAGCAAATATGGACAATGATGTTGTGATGGAGGAAGCAGCAGCCAATAACAACCATTCCGACGCTGGAAGGAGGCGCTTTGCACCACCAGAAGACTAGGCTACTTGGCATAGGTACTGCCTGATACACAATAACCAGCCAAAAAAGGAGGAACGGCCAGTTGAAGATTGATGAGGCTATTATTATAAACGGTAAGGGGGCGCTGGTGCTGGTGGAGGCGTGGTGGCAGGGAACTCAACTTAGGAGCAACTTGTTCCAAACTATCCAGATAAGTAACAACTGAACAGCGTTGCTGATCGATCTCATAGATTTGAGAGCCTACATCCGGCATCGTGATCGAATTCTAACCAACAACATTTGTGCTATATATAACTGATGCATTAGTCGTATTGAAACTATCTCAAGTTTCTAGATTGCCTTCAACGGCTGTCATGGCCATTTACCATACAGAGGTGAGTCCAGTACTGTTGAATCAGTTTGAGGCATCCAATCCCAAGGAAGTTGCTCTATCGCATATTACATTGCACCCTTGCAGCCTTCCCTGGGAGTTCCCAACGTCCGAGCCTGGTCTCGCCAGCCTCATCTCTTCCAACTTGCAATCTCCTCCCAAGCCAAGCTTGGGGCCCAGGGCCTCCTTGAGGGCCTAGTGTCCCCCAAATGGAGACACCTGCAGGCCCTTCACTTCTCCTACATCGGCTCCAAGAAGTCCGCCAACCTTTGGGCTTCCTGCCTGATCCAACAACTGATCCGGATCGGGCACTACATGTGGAAAGACCGCAACCGGCTTGCATATTCCGAAGACAGTTCCTGGTACACGGCTCGCAAGCGGGAGATTGACATCGGTATCCGCGAACAGTTCGCCATGGGTCTGATTGATATCCCCTAACGCTCGCAGTACCTCTTTTGTGACTCCCGCGAAACTGTCCTCAACAAATCACTCGAAGATCGTCAACATTGACTGCGCCTTGTCTCCCGTGAGAGAGCGATCAACCGTCGCTCTCTAGCCAGGCAACGCCAGATGATCTTTGTCCTGGCGCGACCCGCCAACCCAACATCGACTCGGCCAACCGGCGCTAGTCCATAAACAGACCGATGTCTCGGCCATCTCTCTGTCCCTCTATGTTTCACTCTCCCTCTGTCGACCACAGGACTAGGGAACTGCAGACTGTCACGTAGATGCTGGCCACCTTGTTCTGGAACACTGTGCCATTGGGACGCTCTCCATTCACTTGGATCGATACACCCAGGGCAGTAGGGCGCAAGAACAATTGGCTTCCCACCTGCTACACAATCATGCCCACCATCATCTTCAAAAAACACAAAAACAAAATAAAAATACGCCGCCTCGAGTGGTAATATCGTTTCTACATGTGCAAGGGTGCAATGTAATATCCGATAAGAGCAACTTCCTTGGGATTGGATGCCTCAAACTGGTTCAACAGTACTGGACTCACCTCCGTATGGTAAATGGCCATGACAGCCGTTAACGGCAATCTAGAAACTTGAGATAGTTTTAATACGATTAATGCATCAGTTATATATATTCTGATTCTTCTTTCTTGGAGCTGGCTTCTTGTCATCGTCATCTTTCTTTCTTTTCTTCTTGGTTTCAAACTTCTGCTTCATATCGGAAATCTTGGCCTGCAATGCCATGATTTGCTCATCAACTTGCGTAGGAGCTTCCCACTTCTCTAGCAATACCATGATCTTGTACTTCTTCTCCGCCAGCTTCATAAGCTTTGCTGCAGTGATTTGTTGGTTCTTCAGGTCATGGTCCGTCTCTAGATCGGTAATGTACTTGACAAATTCCTTGTCACTGCACACCATATATCCTCAAAAGAGGTTTGTCAACAGATCCAATGTTTGCTCTCCACACGCCTGCAACCCTTTGAGTAGCATCTTAACGTGCATGCTGAACTTGATGATATTGTTGTTGACCGTTGGCAGGTAGAGATCCAAGGTTGCAAGTCGTTGACGTAGCATACCAGTTGTTGCATTTGAATCCAAATAAGACTCCCAAATCACCACCTTAAGTAAGCAGAATATCGTCCAGCCATAAGCTTGTAGTCAGAACTGTGAATGTTGACTTTTGCTTTTCCAAGAGTAGACAGTGACTTCATGATGCATTTGTAGAGCATTCGGTCGTCTTGGGACTTCCTGTATCCATTGTTCCAGTAGCTGCATTCATGAATTTCAATCTCTTCAAGAGTGATAGATCCATATTCAGTCAAAAGGTTGACCATGGTTCCATCAGCTTTTGGAACATGTAGGATGCCTCCACAAGTTGACCATCCAAATTCATCGGCTCTTTCACCAAGGTTCTTCATGAATTGGTAAAAGGTATCGGAGGTGCAATCAAAAAGAGTCTCCTCGTCCAACCTCCTTGTTGCGTTGCAAAAAAGGTAATAGTGTTGCTTGTTTCCAGCGTAATGGAGTGTTCCTCTTGTTGCTTGTCCAGGAGTCAAACTTCCAGGTCCACCATTTCCTCCTCCTCCTGGAGCAGGACCATCTTGGTAGCCTCCTCCTGCTGCACGATCATTGGCTACTGGGATCTCAGCGTAGTTCTCCTCTTCAGCTTCAGCTTCCGGTTCTTCTTCTCCAGAGTTCTCATCAGAGGAAGATTCATTGGCTTGTCCATCAGATCGTGGACGTTAAATTGAGTAGCGAGGTACAAGAGATTCGGGACGAAAACGAGTACGATGACAAACATGGGGATTTTACAAGATGTGTGCGAATCTCTAGGTTAAACTATCTAACGTACGAATGACGGACACTCTCTGGTCCAATTAACGGTCCCCTCAAGGTGATACTGATGTATCAGAGAACCTTGTACTCCGAATGGGGCTAATATCAACCGTACCCCCTCTTGGGAGGACGTATCATCCAATACTGTCCAAGACTGACAATATCTGGCGACGGATGAAGACGTTTCCAAAAATTTAAATCAGAAGAGCAAGTCTTCCATTTTGCTTTGCTTTCCACATGATGTTTTCCATAAGCCGGTCACGAATGGTTCCAGGTTAAATCTTGGTTAAAACGTCGGCCAAGTTCTCAGCGGAAATGATCCATTCAATTTGTAGGATATCAATTGCGCATCTGGAGCGAACATAGTGATATGCGACAGCATTCGATTTCTTCTTCAATTGAGATTCAGGAACACTTGAGTTCTTGACAACGGACATATTGTCAACACAAGTATGACAATAACCTTGGATTGGGACGCCCATCATTCTGAGTTTGAATCGTAGTCCCTCAAGTAATTCAACACCTGTCTTTAGAGCAGCAAATTCAGAACCAAAACTGCTTGTCTCGACACTGTTTTGCTTTTTCGAATACCAGATAATAGGAGCTTTGTTAACAAAGATCAATACTCCTGTTCTTGATTGACGAGTAACAACGTTAGCAGCATGAGATGCATCAACAAACATAGTGAACTCTACCGCTTTGCCAAGAGGTGTAGGCATGTCACTTGGGAGTTCATCCTTAGTGAACTCATAGAACTGTGAGTAATCAGCTTTCTTTAATGGTCTAAGATGGTTAGCATAACCACAATCCATCACAAGTACACGATCAGGATGCTTCTGTAAATAGGCAAAAATATGTAAGGCAGCATGAAAGTGACCTTCACGAGGCATTGCATTGTATGACGAGAGCATAGACACTTTGGCAGCAACATTGATACGACCAAGTTCCACAAGCCAGCGCAGAATACCGATGAGTTACATGTAGAAAATAGCAGTATCATCATCGACAAAGGGAGTAGAATCAAGTTCCGGCTTGTATCCAGTGGGTAAAGTTGAGTAAACCTTTCTCTTCAAAGTCAATTGCATTGGCGCAATCCGTTTCTTGACAACTCGTAACGACTCTTGTAGATACGCTTCAGATCCAATAGCCCAGGTGAAATAATCATCACCATCCAACTTGTGCTTTGAGATTGTCGCACCGAGATATGTGATTGGCTCTTTTATCGAGTCAGGCTTTAAAACAAAGAAATTGTTGAGTTTGTCCATAATCGCTTTTGGATTCTCCAAGATTGCAATGACATCATCAGTATAAACCAAAATATACTCATAATATTTCGAACCACCATCTTTGCGTTGACAAGGACGACGCCAAACATCCATATCTCCACGACATGGTTGGAACTCCAATTGTTCCTTCAAAACGTCTGCACAGAGGCTCCTCCATGCAAATCCGGAACTTTTGAGTCCGTAAACGGCCTTAACCAGGATAGCTTTCTTCCCAGCATACTCTCCAAACTCCTTCCCTAAAATACAATAAACTTTCTCGGCACATTTGGCATAGATAGGTATATTGATAACGTTTGTTTGGGTCTTACCGTGTCTGGATGCCGACACGGTGACTGGGATAGATTCTTGGCCACTTCTGGATTGAATGCCGAATTGACCACAAAGGTCAAGTAGGTGCAATTCAATCACTTCTACCTTAAAATCTCCGATTCCAAGCCGGCAAACCTTGTTAGATATACCCATGGACGACAAATAAGTGTTAGACTAAGGAAGTTTGGGGAAATTAGGCCAAGAATTCGACAATTCCAGAATTTTCAACAAACTTTCCTTTTCTAATTCCGTTTTGGACTCATGATACTTGATGTAGGCCGAATCATTGTCTCGGTCCCGAAAATCAAGCCTTAGGTTTGAGGAAGACTTTGGTGTATTGTTGAATGGATAGCTGTCTCAATGGCGGCCACAGGGCCCAACAGAGCGGCAGAGAAACCACGACAACACCCAAGAAGGAAATCTCAAAAATCTTCGCAAATCAAACAAATAAAGTAAATCAATAATGCTCCGCCATTGCAATAGACATCAATAAAGCAAATTGATAGGTGGGGGCGCATTTGTAGCTGTTGCAAAGTAGGCGCTGGTGCCATTTTTGGTTTGGCGGTAGAATCCTTGAGCATTCGCACTTTCACTGTCAATGTTTACCAATTTGGCAATTGATAGGGCAACTGCACGACCCAGGTCTGCTTTTGTTGGCTCAAAGTCGAAGGAATTTCCACCATAGTGAATGGTCAACTTCAACCAGTTCATTTATGACATCCATCGCCGTTGGTAACTGTTGTTCAACACAGCAGCAACTTGCTTTGCTTTAGATTGGACTGGCATTTGCTTCCCGTCGGAAAATTTTTCGGCAATATCCTGCCTTAATGTCTATTGAAGGGATTCGTTGAAAAATTTGCCGATCGGAGAGGCTTGTTGGATGGCAACAAGCCTCCAGAAGGTTGACAATGTAAGTCTGCCACCGGTAGGTAAGTGAGCATGGAAATGGGAGATGCTGCACGTAGGGGACGGGTTGAGATTTCCAGGGAGAATTGTTGGTTGTTGGCTGGCAACAAATGCACAGGCGCATTGAATAGGGTGGTAGCATGGGGCTAAACCACCTGACACCGGGTGTCGGTTCAAATATCAGGAAATTTGAGGGTGCCACCGGTGGGCAAGTTAAACAGCGGATGGGCGCTGACGCAACGGTGCATTTTGATAGGGCTCCTGGGAGGGAGGTGGTCGTTGACGGTCAACGAATGCACAGGCGCATTGAATAGGGTGGTAGCGTGGGGCTAAACCACCTCCTGACACCGGGTGTCGGTTCAAATATCAGGAATTTGAGGGGTGCCACCGGTGGGCGAGTTAAAACAGCGGATGGGCGCTGACGCAACGGTGCGTTTTGATAGGTCTCCCGAAGGAGCAGTTTTACGTCAAATTGCGACGCTCTCGGGTACGCGAGAGGAAATTGGGGTGCCACAGGTTGATCGGGCTCAAATCGGATTTGAGAATGCAACCTGGGCAAATTTGGATGGACGACTCCGGGAGTCGGGTAATGAGTAGATGGAAGAAAAAAAGATATAATCGTTCTGAACTGTTTCAGATGATCGTGGTTCCTTAGCTCTTCATCGTCTCATCTTGCACTTGGCAAAAAGAATGCTTCTGTTCACGCCTTCGTTTGCCATGCCGATCGTCCCCGAATTTTTGTCCAATGAATTACCGTTACTTATCTTAAGCGACTGACGACATGACTGTTGGCGTGAAAACAGGAGTCTTCTCTTGCCAGTCCGTCTACCGTCTTGCCTGATCAGATTCACAGGCCCATTCCGAGTAACCAAAATTCGATGTATTGGATTCGACGTATTTGGTCTGTTTTCCATCCGTCCAATACGTCCATTTGAGAAAAATACAGCGAATTAATATCGGCGGGCAAATGTGAGGGTAATTCTTTGGCCTATTTTTGACGTATAGCCAATCAAAATCCACGATTCCAGATCAGAATTTCAGTCATCATTTCACGTATTTTCCCCTGTATTTGGTCGTCATTTGTGCAAACCATCATTTCATAGTGTCGTAACCATGAACAACGCTCTTAGAACTCCCTCCATGGAGGGGAGCTTCTATTATTTATCATCTTCTTGTTTGGCATAGTAGAAACCTCAGCTTCCAGAACGAAGAAACGGGAAAATGATCTTCTTCAATGCCACATTGCAGAACAAGAACAACACAGCATGAACAGATCCCTTCCAATGCACCTAGTCCGGCCTACTTTTGACCAGTTCGCTGCTACAATTTCTCCATCCCACTTCTGAAAGATGTTTCGCATGACCCATCATATGTTTGCCACACTATGCGGAAAGATTTGAAATCAAATTGGACCGCAACTGTTTCGTCCAGAATAATATCTTGCTGAACGCCGTGAACGAATCTATGGAAGTAGGGAGCCAAGAGAACAAGCCTCTGCATCTATCTCTATGGAACTCAGAGTTGCGATCAATGCAAACTGGCATGCGTACCAACAAGCATGGTCATGCATATATGACAGAATAGAAACCCTTTGTTCACTACTAAATACTATCATCACTATCACTATCACTTGCAGCATCACTGAACAAGGCTTCTTCCGAGATTTCTTTACAAGCGCCATGTTTGCATTGATCCGATCCTCCAAATGATCTGTGTAAGCTTTCCTACTTTCTGGTGTCATTGCATCCAAGAACACAGAATCATCTTGGAGTTCAGTATGGGCTAACTTGGCCTTAGCAATGCTGGCTTCAATCTTGTCTAGTTCCTCCTTGTTTCCCTCTTGCAGCACAAGACGCTGAATCATACCACGAGCCGCACCCATCATTGTTTTCATGTCTGAATGTTCTTCTTGTGCAGCTGCATACTTTGATTCCAATTCCACCTTGTTGGCTTTCTTCTTTTTTGCCATTCTCCTTTATGAAGTGGTTCAAACTATTAGTCTGCCTCTTTGAAGACTTCATCATACATGTCATGAAACAATCTCTTGTACTGACGGGTCTCTTGTACTGACGGGTAGATTGCATCTCCCATTCAGTTGGTGCCATGACAATGGTAGACAGATCGGACTGTTGTCCACATTATGATGGTGTGAAAAATTCAAAATCGCGGGAAACCGAGGTTATCGGATAATCTTACTTAAGGCATGTTGGGAACACGTCGAAAAAACAGGGTTCATTCCGAGTGGTTTGGAAAAAATTCGACGTATTGAAACCGTTGAAAACAGACCAATACACCAATGAGGCAGTGGGAATCCCCGGATTTCTCCCCTAGTTGGGAGATTATCCCACAGCTCAATTTTTCCCACAACTCAATTTTTCCCACAACTCAATTTTTCCCACAACTCAATTATGCTTCCCACAACTAGTTGTGGGAATTCCCTCAACAGTGTAGTTGTGGGAAGTTTCCCACAACTCTAATTATTTTTTTCGGGAATTATGGGAAAACTGTCCGTTCTACGCACAAAACAACGTTTGATATGTACTGACTAAAATTATACAACTACATATGATGTTTCCCAAAAACTCTAATTATTTTCGTGATATTTCATGATACATTTATGGCAAAAATAACG